CAGTAGCATCTTAAAAACAGATGATATATATCAGGAAAGTACTAAAGAGCCAGTTATGAGCACCTTAATCATACATTTTAAAACATGCAAAATAAAATACAGTTTAACTTTCTAAAACCATTTATAAAGTACTTGATATTACAGGCAGTAGAAGCATACCTTTTCAATGTTCTCTCTGATGGCATACTTGCAAGCTCGCTGGCAAATCTCAGTAATATCAGCCCCACTAAAACCTTGGGTATACCTAGCCAATGCCCTCAAATCAACATCTTTAGAGATGGGTGATTTTCTCAAACAGGCCTTGAAGATCTGATAACGGGATTCTTCATCTGGAAGTGGTATATAAATTAACTGATCAAGCCGGCCAGGCCGCAAAAGTGCTGGGTCAATAATATCAGGTCTGTTGGTGGCCCCAATGATAAAAACAGTCTTTTTAGCTGACATGCCATCCATTTCAGTTAGAAGTTGGTTTAGAACCCTATCAGCAGCACCACCTGCATCCCCAACACTACTTCCTCTCTGCAACAATTACATAATGTCATCAAATGAGTAAAAATAACTATTTAGTATTCACATTTTAATAGAAGACCAACATAAAAATGTATTTAGATTTAAACATTGATGGAGCAAAAATAAAACCTGTGTAGCGATGGAATCAAGCTCATCAAAGAAAAGGACACAAGGTGCAGACTGCCGAGCCTTGTCAAATATCTCTCTAACGTTGGCTTCACTCTCACCAAACCACATGGTGAGCAATTCAGGGCCTTTGACACTGATAAAGTTTGCTTGGCACTCATTGGCAATAGCCTTAGCAAGGAGAGTTTTGCCACATCCAGGAGGACCATAGAAGAGGACCCCCTTTGAAGGTGACATGCCAAATTTCTCAAACTTCTCTGGGTGCTCCACAGGATATTGCACAGTCTGCACAACCAAACAGAAACAAAAAAACAGAAGTTTTAGCAACAAACTTGTGAATAAATTAAAAGAGTTAAGGCTATACTAATCAAGTAATGACAATCACCTCTTGAAGTTCTCGCTTAACATTCTCAAGGCCTCCAATATCCTCCCAGCTGACATTAGGCACCTCAACCACCTGGATGACCAAAAAAAGAATTGATCCTGATTAGAAACTGATAATCTACAACCATCATGATGAAAGTTCAACAGGAATTAGATCACTTACTGTTTCACGCAAAGCAGAGGGATTGCTAGTTCCAAGGGCCGTCTGGAAGTGCTCGTTTGTAACTGCCATTGAATTAAGTATCTCAGCATCAATAGAATCATCCTCCAAGTCAATGACATCCATCTTCTCTCTGATGCACTGCAATGCAGCTTCAGTGCATAAAGCAGCAAGGTCAGCACCAACATAACCATGAGTGTCTTTTGCAATCCTTTCAAGATCAACCTGAAAAGAGAGAGAAAAGTTAACCAACAGTAAAGACAAAAGAGATCAAGACATGGAGAAATTCTGGCAAAAACATAAGCTAATTTAAGGGCCAACATCTAAACAATATCAGGGCAATCATTAAAGATAAAGGCTTAAGTAGTTAAATCCAGATCCGTGCGACCATCCAAAATAATCATGATCAAATAATTTTATTTGCCAGATATAGAACTACTAAATATAAATAAGTAATGCAGATTTCAAACTAACATCATCAGAAAGCTTCATGTTCTTGGTATGGATGCGAAGGACCTCAAGACGACCAACTTCATCTGGAACACCTATGTCTATCTCCCTATCAAACCTGCCAAATCTTCTCAAAGCAGGATCAATGCTATTTGGACGATTAGTAGCCCCAATAACAATTACATGGGCCCTTGATTTCAGTCCATCCATGAGAGTCAAAAGCTGTGAAACGATCCTTCTCTCAACTTCACCATGAGTCTTCTCACGCTTAGGAGCTATTGAATCGATCTCATCAATAAAGATGATAGATGGAGCATTCTTCTCAGCTTCTTCAAAAGCCTTCCTAAGGTTGCTTTCACTCTCTCCAGCCAATTTTGACATAATCTCTGGTCCATTAATACAGAAGAAGAAAGCTCCAGTTTCATTAGCAACAGCTCTGGCTATTAATGTCTTACCAGAACCAGGTGGTCCATAAAGTAGAATTCCTTTGGGTGGTTTAACACCAATTGATTTGAAGAGTTGAGGATGCCTTAGTGGCAATTCCACCAACTCACGAATCTGAGCCATCTGCTTCCTAACACCACCTACATCATCATAACCAACTTCATCCAACCTATCCTCATCTTCCCTTCTAACAGGTTCCCCCTCACAGAAAATTTCTGTGTCTGGGGCAACGACACAATACTCTGCTGGGTCAGTCTCAATGACCTTGAACTCTACACTCCTCATCCCTCCTCGAACAAGGAATAGATCTCCTTTTCTCACGGGACGATAAGCCTCCAAGAAATAAGCTGCAAACAACAACAAAATCTAAAACACAACCCAATAACACCAAAACAAAGAACAATACAGCAAAAACGAAAGATAAACCAAGAAATTAGTATTATATGCATGGTCAGCAAAAGCTAGCCAACAAGTATATTTACAGGAGATAGACTGAAAACTTACGCTTCAAGTAAACATCAAACAGATTCCCAGTAACACCTTCAATGGTATCGTCTATGGGAAGAATGTGAACACGTAACCCATACTTCACATCAGGGCATTGGTGCACAGACACAACATCTCCAAGTCGGATCCTCAAATTTGACCGAACAACTTTGTTCATTCTAATCTTAGGCGCCTCGCATGTCTCATCAGCAAGTGCAATGCAGATTGTATCCTTTCGCTTCTTTCCCTATACCAACCAAAACCTCAAATAAGAACAACGCCACTGAAAACTTGAAACAGGGGGCAACCCTAAAACTTCAAATTCCAGCTTTTTAATTAACACCAATTTTCATCTAATCCTGAAATTAAGCCTCTTATAATCATTAAATCTAACTCTTATCATGAGAATTTAGGTTAAAAAGCTACAAAACACAGTCTTGAAGCCCCAGAATTAATTAAAAAAATAAACGAACCCTAACCAAGCCCTAAAAGAAATCTCCAAAACCTAACCCTAAAAGAAAAAAAAATCAAGGGTTTTTCACTCATTGATTTATTTATTTATTCACCTTTATGAGAATAGTGTCTCCCCGGAAGAGTTGCAACTTCTCCATAGTGTCGGGGTGCAAAGCAACGACGGAGTTGTCATCGTTGACCGCCTCGTCAACGACCAACCGATTCGGCGACTTTTTCCGTTCCAAAATCGCTGTCGAGTAGTCTTTCTTCCCTGATTTCCTAAACGAAATAAGCAAATTTTAAGATTAAACCGAACAAAATTGAAGATCAAGAATCGTAGGAAAAAATTACTCACGAGTCCGACGATTCAGCTGGGTGACTCATGATTCGTAAAGCGAGACCGAGAGAGCACAAGAGGAATAGTAAAAAAGATTAATTAAAAATGATTAAGGGAAAAAGCCTTCAATGGATATTTATAGTTTTTTTTTTAATCTTGTTCGACAAGAAAATTGATTTTTTAAATTTGGGATTTACAGTTTAAATTGAAGTTGGAGTCCTTTTATTTATTTTTCTCGGATATTATAATTGTCCATAAATATTCTTTGCAATTTTAAAATTTTTAAATTTCTTGTAAGAAAAATTAATTTTTTTTCAATTTGAGCTCTGGGTTATGGCCTACTTTGGGCCTAAAGAAGCACCCAAAGGCCCATATAAGTCAGTGTTCTTAGGCCCAATTAAAATTCTGAAAACTTTGAAGCCCATTTTAAAGCCCAAACTATAAAATTGAAAAGAAAATTTTAGGCATTTTATTTTATTTTTTATTTGAAAAATTGGAACCCATCGATTTTCATCATGGGAAAAAAGGTGTCCGCAATGAATACTGCATTTTATTTTGCTTCAACTAAAAGTAATTCAATTTTTTCTTTTTCTTTTCTTTAATTTAAAGCAACTTGCATTATTATAATCTACTGTATATTATAATTAAAAATAATTATTTTTTCCCTTTTTCCCGCCATGTATTAATTGGTACATCTCTTATTACATTTTTAATCTTCTCAATTATACTCATTTAATTTATAAAAAATAAAAATATCATGATTAATATTATGATATTTTCACCTTAACTTATAGTTATATCATGATATTTTTTTCTTAAATATAATCTTAATTGATGCCACTAAATATTTTTGACATATCATATATCATGCACATGTACCATATTTTAGAGATAGAAAAAAAGATTATTTTTGATTAAATTTCAATTTAAAACATATTAAATATTATCTTTTAAGAATAATTACATAAATTAATTAGATTATCGGTTCAATTATTTTTAATTATTAATAAAATAACTCTAATTTGATTAATAAAATATCAATATATTATTTGCATTATCTTTCATTTCGTCAAAAAAAAAAAGGTGATTTTTTTTATAGTAATATTTTTTACAAATAAATATAGATATTAGAAGTTGAAAGACAAATATTTTTTTATTCTTGTCTGAGTGATTTAAAAAGTTAAGAGTTGGAATTCATCATTTATTTTTTATTTTGAAAGATAAATAGGGGATAAGAAAAAATAATTAGTTAAAATAAATGTTATTATTGACCTTTGTCAAATCCGAAATTAAGCTCAAATCATGTCTGTAGAGATTGCATGGACATTTTCTCCAACATGTCTTTAAAGAGCATTATGGGTTAAAAAAAGAAAAAGGGGTTTCAAATGTTTCATTTATCATATGTGACCCACATGTTTTATTTTTCATTTTTTAATATATTCGCTATATTAAATCATGCTAAAGTAACGAAGATGAGCGCTATTGAAGCGGTGGGTTGGCAAAACTAAGGTCATCACATTCTTCCTCGTAATAAATTAAAAGCAACCCTTACAAAACAGAAAGATCGAAGGCAAAAAAAAAAAAAAAACAAAAACAAAAACAAAAGCAAAAAAAAGAAGAAAGATCGAAGAGAGTTCAGAGTGACAGAGAGATGCCAAGCATTGAAGCAAAGCAAGCCAATGTCATGGTATAAAAAAGAGACCCGGCAAAAGTGGGTCAAGTTATCCAAGAACTCAGTTTTTAGATTTTTGTTTAGTAGTAGGAGGCTAGGAGTATTAAAGACTAGGAGTATTAAAAACCAAGGCCTTCTGGTTGTTTCAGCCACCCACTAACTTCACTCTTTTCACATCTAAGTCTACACACTCTCTCTCTATCTCTCTCTTTGAAGTTCTTTCATTTACTCAGATCAGGTTTGTCTCTTCCTCACACTTCTCCTTAGCTTTTGATTCTCCTTCTTCTTATTTTTTTAGTTTAGTTTGTTTGACATGGGATCTTAGCTTATTTTGTCTGGTGTTAGGTACCTGAAATACTAAGAAAAGACCAAAAAAAACCAACTTGAAGGTTTTGGGTTGTTCTTTTTTGTTATATGTAACTCAGCAACAGCTTTTTTGAGCTGAAAAAAGTACTGGGTTGGCTCATTATCAGTTCTTCGCACGAAGAAATGATGGTTTCTATTCAAAGTTTTGATTTTTGTAAAGCAGGCAGGGTATGGGTTTCTTTTAGTTACTACCAAGTTCAGTTTTCTTTTGAAGTTTTCATTTTTGGAGTATTTAATATTTTCCTACATTATTGTAGACAGGTAATAAAATGGACTCTGGGTAGTTTGAGTTGTATCAAGTAAACAGAAACAATGTGGTTGTGGTCAGGGGGAAGGTCAAATGGATTAGTATTTTGCTCTGTTATGGTGGCAAATAGATTACATTGATGTGGATTTGTTATGTGTAATTTTTAGATGTGCTCTTTTTTTTTTTTGTGCTCCATTGATTCTGTTACATTTCGTTTATTATCTCCATGAAAGTTTAGCTTCTGAGTTTGTTTGAAAGGGTGGGCAATCTTTTGTTTAATTAACTCCTTAATGATGAATAGAGGCTGAGGTTTTTAAGTTTAAATACCTAATGTTAGACTTTAAGCTCTTGTGATTTCCTACAGTCCCTTAGTATGAATTTCAGAATCATTGCTTAATATTAATTTTCATTTAACAGGTGACATGGTGGTTTATTTAGGGGTGGTGAAAGCATTGAAAGTGTAGATGGTACAATTATGTGTGCAGCTATAAATTAGTCTGATCCTGGGGTACTAGGAAGTTTCCCAATTCATTTGCAAGTGCAGTTTCTAAAATCTGAACAATTTGGAATCAGGAGTGATAAATGGAAGAAATACAGTCCCAATCAGACAACTATAGGTCTTCGTCCTCTTCAGCCAGTAGTCCTGCGTGTAGGGTGCCCTCAAGTAACTTTTTCTATTTGCGGAAACCTGGTACTCTCGGACAACCTATCTCGTTTGAGGATTCACCTGAGTGGGAGGATACGGATGTTGTTGTCAGGGTGGAGGAAGGAGGAGACACTATCAATGCTGCAACCACGCCAGTCTCCCCATCTCTCTCTAAGCTCAATAGTGGGTCCTTGCCATCACCACCGCTGCCAGAGGGTGCAGCTGTTGCAAGAAAAATTACTGGTGCATCAGTTGTATGGAAAGATTTGACTGTTACTATAAAGGGGAAAAGGAAATATTCTGATAAAGTTGTGAAGAGTTCAAATGGTTATGCATTACCTGGCACGATGACAGTGATCATGGGTCCTGCAAAATCTGGGAAGTCCACACTTCTGAGGGCTATTGCAGGTGTTTAGCATGATCCTTATGTTGACTACCGATTGAATGACGAGTTTTTATGCTTTCCCTTGTTTCATTTCAGATTTTTAAGACTAAAATCCCGTTTCATCTTGAATTTAGGAAGATTATGTCCTTCGGCTAAGATGTATGGTGAAGTATTCGTGAATGGGGTGAAAACGCGCGTGCCTTATGGTTCATATGTGAGTTTTAGTTACATTTTCTCAAAGGGTGAAATTTTTACATGTTACTTTTGATTCTTTCTATTGTTCTTATGTTGACAGGGTGATTCTTCATGGTAAAAGTGACTACATTTTATGTTCTTTTTGCGCAAATTCATATCCATTCTGTTTTTTGCATCTTCTCAAGTATAACTTTTTGAATTTGGCATTTTGCAATTCCAATTCATCCGACTAACCTTATAGAAGTTGAAATATACTTGAAATCGTTAACACGAGTCTCAGACCAGTAAAATCTCTGATGAGTAATCATCTTATGTAATACTTAGATCCTTGTTTCTTTGACTTGTCTCATTATGCGGATCCTCTTAGTCAATTAATCCTTTAATACTCTTCTCGCTTAGGTTTCCAATTTAGCAACCATCATGAGTTGGGATTCTATGAACTCCCTTTTTCTGAACTGATATTTGATTTTTGTTTCTTATACCTTTCCTAAATCCCTCTTATTTTTGTCGAAACCAATCCAGTTTTTCTTATTGTGAAAGTGCTAGTTTTAAATCTGTGCCTTTTCAAAATTAATTCTATTTTAGTTGAACAGAAATTGCAAGGAAGCATTCAGTTTCAAGGTTGGTTTTTTGACTTTGAAACATCCAATCTGCAGGGATTTCTTGACAGGGAAACCAACCTAATTGGTTCTCTCACAGTCCGGGAGTATCTATACTTCTCAGCTTTGCTCCAACTTCCTGGTTTTTTCTGTCAGAAAAAGAGTGTGGTAGAGGAAGCCATCCATGCCATGTCCTTGGGTGACTATGCAAACAAACTGATTGGAGGTCACTGCTGTATGAAAGGACTTCCTAGTGGTGAAAGAAGGCGTGTTAGCATTGCTCGGGAACTTGTGATGAGGCCACGTATCTTATTTATAGATGAGCCTCTTTATTATCTTGATAGGTGGGTTATTCATTTATTTATTTTCCTTAATTTAATGCTTAAAAGTGTTTTTTTTCTTGTTCCTTGTCTCCTGCATGTTCTACATTGCTGACCGTATGATTGGTGTGACATCTAATTTCCAGACAATCAATATGATTTATGATTTTATAACTAAATTTTATTATTTTATTTTATTCAGTGTCTCTGCCCTTTTGATGATGGTAACACTGAAGAAGCTTGCAAGCACAGGATGCACTCTCATTTTCACCATTTACCAGAGCAGTACAGAAGTGTTTGGTCTCTTTGATCGTATCTGTCTGCTTTCAAATGGAAACACCCTGTTTTTTGGTGAAACATTAGCTTGCTTGCAGGTAAGTGATAATATGAATATAATTATTTTTGCTACTCTTGTCTTTGTTTTGATTTTCTATCAGTAGTGATTCATCATGTAAGCATCATTTGATATGGAAGTGAAAAAAAAAAGCCCATTTAATGATTCTGTTGTATGCTTTCTTGGTCCTGTAACATGGAGCGAGGAAAAGAAGATAGAATCCATTTATAAAGATCCAAATTTCTTTTCTTTTCTTTTACCTTATGAGTACCTGTTGTGCCTTCTGCTTATTCTAATTTATTTCCCCTTTCTTGATGAAGCACTTCTCAAATGCTGGATTCCCTTGTCCAATTATGCAAAGTCCTTCTGATCACTTTCTACGTGCCATAAATACAGATTTTGACAGGATCATTGTGATGTGCAAAAATTGGCAGGTAATGAATGATTCTCATTCCATATATTGTAGTTCAAAGCCCCAATGGTCCTTATGAGAACAAGTTAAACCTAAAATGTGAAAGAGTAATAAAATGTTTCAGTTGGATCTCAAAAGTTGTTGTATCATGTTGGCTTGATGGTAAATTAAGAGGATTAAACATGCCTCTATAGTGCATTATGTTATTTTGTCTTATAACAATAGTATGTTTGTTATTAAACTCCACAATCTAGTCCATCAATTTTGGCTACACCTTTTATGTCACTTAAATTAGAAAAAAAAAAAGTCATTACCCATTTGTGATCCTGCCTATTGGAAGTCTTATCAATCTGAACTGTTATGTTTTATTGGCCAAAAAAAAAAAAAAGAATAATGGCTTCTAGTCTTTAATGTTGCCACAATTTGCATCATTTACTTTATATGAACTGAGACATTGTGACAGGATGACAATGGGGACTTTTCATCTGTGAATATGGATACTGCTGTTGCAATTCATACTCTTGAGGCAACATATAAATCGTCGGCTGATGCTACTGCAATTGAAACTATGATACTGAGACTCACAGAGAAGGTACAAGTGTATTCTTATTCGCATTGAACCATTTATAATTCTTGGCCATTACTAACAAGATTATACAAAGCTTTAATTACATGACTGGTTCTTATATTAGCTGTTTTGTTTGGGTTGTGTCTTAGATTTGCAACTAATGGTGCACCAAAATACTTACTGTTTGATTATACACTACAAGGAATAGTTTAATATACCTCACTTGTACACTTTGAAGGTAAGAAAGAGCAAAGATCAGTGGATGATTGAGTATGGCTGGCTGACATCTGTTTACCATGTATCTTAGCTTTTCTTGCATGACTTCCTTGAGTCTTATGGTGGCTTTAAGTCAACCTTTGTAATTTTGTTCACTTTTGTTGCATTCTGCAGGAAGGTCCAGTTCTCAAAAGCAAGGGCAAGGTTAGCAATGCCACAAGAATTGCAGTATTGACTTGGAGGTCATTATTAATTATGTCAAGGGAATGGAAATACTACTGGCTTCGTCTTATTCTTTACATGCTTCTCGCACTGTGTATTGGAACAGTATTTTCAGGCTTGGGACATTCTTTATCCTCAGTTGTGGTGAGTCAAAACATCTTGGCTCTTACGTTTAGGTGAATTTGACTTAATTTGATCTAAACAATAACTGATTCGCCCCCGAAGAATGGGTGTGTTTCTAACTTTTATATTTTCTCATTGCAGACAAGAGTTGCAGCAATTTTTGTATTTGTATCATTTACTTCGCTTTTAAGCATTGCTGGAGTACCTGCACTGATGAAAGAAATCAAGGTGATCCTACTCGTCTTTGGTACCTTGTCTTTTTTGGTTTGAGTCTGATGGCCTTTGGAAGTTCTTGGCCAAGACAATAGCCTAATGGCAGCCACATCTTACCTCCTAAAAGGGGGTCTCCAATTTGAATCCCTCCATCTGCCATCTTAACCAAAAATCAGAGAAGTTTTCTGAATTTTGAGGTTTCCTCCCCCAATTTGGAAAGTTGCATGATTGGTCCCTTTCTTTAATACTGAAATTGCTTTTCTATTCACAGATATATGCCAGTGAGGAGTCAAACCAGCATTCAGGAGCTTTAATCTTTTTGTTTGGGCAACTTCTTTCCAGCATCCCGTTCCTTTTCCTCATCTCCATATCTTCAAGTCTTGTCTTCTATTTCTTAGTAGGATTGCAAGATGAATTCAGCTTGCTGATGTACTTTGTGCTGAATTTCTTCATGTGTCTCTTAGTAAATGAAGGATTGATGCTGGCTGTTATTTCTTTGTGGCAAAATATTTTCTGGAGCGTCTTAACACTTGTAACCATACAAGTGAGTTTTCGCTATATATAAGACAGTTATTTCTTGCTGTGCCTAATGCTCATTGCTTCCAATTTTTGTACATTTTTCGAATTATTTTCATTTCCAATCTTTAGCTTATACCTAGCCTTTGCTAATCTTATGATCAAAATGTATGATTTTTCAGGTGGTAATGATGCTTGCAGCAGGCTATTTTAGAATCCGAAATGAGTTACCGAGCACTGTGTGGACGTATCCATTATCATACATTGCTTTCCACACTTATTCCATCCTGGTGTGTGCATCTTATAACATTAGTTCATGTGTTCCTTACTACAAACCACATTCATTGCTCAGGATCATGTTATTTTCTTCTTATCGAACCGTAGTTGCTCATATTCAGTCTCTGTAAGCATTAAAGAAGCCATTCTGGGCTATTTTATCTTTGCTGAAAGGATCTTTAATTTTGTTACCAATGTTTTTGCCACAGGGGCTTTTGGAGAACGAGTACCTAGGTACCAGTTTTTCCGTTGGGCAGGTGAGGACCATGTCTGGGTTTCAGGCACTCCATGGTGCTTATGATATCTCTCCTAGCAGTAATTCCAAGTGGGAGAATTTACTGGTATTGTTCCTCATGGCAGTTGGATATAGAATTCTTGTGTTTGTTTTGCTTCATTTTCGTGCAAGGAAAAATTTATCCCTGCAAAGACTTTGCCAGTGTAATCGCAATTCAACGACCTGAGATGCATGCAAGTGGTACTATCAATCTTTGTCGTCCATTTACATTTGTATAATCCCTTTTCTTTTAGCTTTGCTTATCCAATCCAATGTTATCATTCATAAATTAGCCTGTGAATGTCATCTGGGAAATGAGTGCCAAACTTTGATGCATCAGTCATTGGGAAAGATCTCACCTGAGCCTAATTAAGATTCTCAAACAATTTCCAAAATTTCTTATGGCGGATCCCCCAGTCTTAAAATTTTTGGGTGGTTCGGTTGATCTGTTATTGGGGATAATTGAGTTAATATTTTATGCAAAGAAAGCAGCACAGGCTGCTGCTCAAAATAACACACCTGGATGGAATACGTGTAGAAAGCACGAGATAGTACAAAGAAGAGATCAAGCCCACAGAATATTTGGGCAGGCCTCCCTAATGGGCAACTATATAATCAAGCCCTAGTTGTTAAACTGAAAACATCCGTCTAACGTTTGCATCATCAGCATAAGATAATGCTCCTCAAAACAAATACTCCTCCCTGAAATATCCATGGTGCAACAGGTCGGAATGGAAAACAAATTGACAGCTATCATAAGACGTTGATTGAGTGATGAAAGGATAAAGCTCCTAAGCACCGGAAATTAAACAGAATAGATATTCATTCATCTTTAGGTTGAGACAAAGTCTCGCATATTTAAACCTAAAAACAAACATCGATAAATAATCCTTGGTGAGCAAAACCAAGGATAAAAGCAATGACAAGAAATACACACCTACTAACCCCAACAGAGGATAATGAAACCCAATGGCTTCAAATAATAACAGAGCCCTCATCACCTCTGCTGCTCTATAGATATTATCTTCAGTCCCACCACAGGAGAACACTCATCCCGGGTAATTACCATAAGTTGAAGTTATACTACTAATTAATGCTCTGCTTCAATCAGATAAACCAGCTTTACTCTTGAGATGCTCCTTGAAGTCCATAATGTCACCCTCCCACCGTGTTACAGTTTGATTTTCACACACCCATATCTCCTCTGCTACCTGGTTTATGAGCCTGAAATCATGACTAACAAGTACCAAGCCACCATCCCACTCATTCAATGCCTCAGCCAGTGAATCAATTGTCTCAATATCCAAATGGTTGGTAGGCTCATCCAGCAGCAGTAAGTGGGGTTGTCTATATGCTAACCATGCAAAGATGACCCGACTCCTTTGTCCATCAGATAGATTCTTCATTGGCATCACTTGTGCTTTCCCTGACAATCCAAACTTGCCAATTGCAGCTCTCATTTTCTCTTCCTCATTTCCAGGGTACTCTTTTATCATATACTGGAGAGCGGACATTTCCAAATCAAGTTTCTCGGCCAAGTGTTGGTGGAATTGTGCAATTCGCAGATGATTATGCCGTCGTACCATACCATCAATAGGAACCAAGTCCCCTGTCATCAGCTTCAGCAGTGTACTCTTCCCTGCACCATTAGGTCCTACCAGTGCTATCCTTGAGTCCAAGTCAACCCCAAAGTCCAGGTTCTTGTATATGAGATTATCAGGTGTATATCCAAATGTAACTTCCACAAACTGCAGTACTGGTGGAGGAAGTTTTCCAACATCAACAAATCGAAAGACCAGAACCTTGTCTCTCACTACCTTCTCTGTGAGTCCACCTCGCTCCATCTTTGCCAATGTCTTTTCTTTACTCTGGGCCTGCCGGGCCAGTTTGGCTGACCCATGACCAAAGCGAGCAATGTACTCCTTCATTGAAGCAATCTGTTCCTGCTCCCACTTGTACTGTTTCATCTGGTTCTCTTCCAATTCAGCACGAGTTTGGACATACTGATCATAATTGCCAGTATACAGCTTAAGTTTTTTGTTTTGCATGTGGATAATATTTGTACAGACTCCATTCAGGAAATCCTGGGAATGTGATACCACGACAAGGAGACGATCAAATTTCTTCAAATTTTCTTCCAACCAGACACAAGCTTCTAAATCTGTTTCAAATTAAGACAATTGTAAATTACATCAGAGTTGAGAAGCATAGGGAAAAAGTTCACCATGTCAAACAGCTTTCAGATGTGAAACAGAAGAAAACCATATGATCAGTATCAATGAATCATCCCAGACCTATGTTACAATAGTTCCCTAACTTGGTCGTATTTCATTCTTACTAAGTGAACTCAAGAAGACTACCCCTATAAAACCATGTTTCGGGTAAGTAGCAATCTGCATTCCCGTTCCATGAACCAAATCAATCTGTGTTCCAGTTAACTTACCCAGACCGAGGATAAACAAAAGTAATCAATAAAGACTTACCTAAATGATTGGTGGGCTCATCAAGCAACAGAATGGTGGGATTCATGAATAGAGCCCGTGCTAATGCAATCCTCATTCTCCAGCCACCAGAGAAATCTCGAGTTTTCTTCGCCTGCATCTTCTTGTTGAAACCAAGACCAAATAAAATTTCAGCGGCCCGTTTCTCAGCAGTTGATGCATCCATGGCATCTAATCGCTCATAGATACGTTCAAGTTGCTCTCCACCACCATCATCCTAAAACAAAATTTAATGTAAAAAGGAAAAAGGTTACAATGCATCCTTCTGAAGAGAACCCTCAAGCACGATTATGACACTTGGTTAGCTAAACAAACCTGTGCTGCCAAGGTTTCGGCTTCTTTCTCCAATCTCAACCTCTCCTCATCACAACTTATGACAGCCTCCAATGCAGACATGTCAGAAGCTTCAATCTCCCTTGTGAGATGATAGATATCCATGTGCTCTGGAATTGGAAGTTCACACAATCCTATTGCAGTAAGCAGTGTCGATTTCCCACAACCATTTAATCCAAGCAAGCCATAGCGTCTGCAAAGATAATATGAAATAGACGGTGGTCTCATCAGATAACAGTCACAAAGGGGATTATGAATAGTCCCAAGCAATATAGGTAAGGTCAACAAACCTGCCATAGTTAAGCTCCAATATTGAATCAACAATAAGATCATGTCCATGGAAAGTAACTGATAAGGACTCTATCTGCAACAAAGCCAAAAAGCCAATTCACCATTAATATAAATTCTTACTCAATGACTCATCTTTAAGAAACATAAAGCTTCTTTTACCTCCAATAACAGAATCCATCAAAGATTCCAAAAATGTTGAACTAATTTGTTTATATTCATAAATGGAAAATCTCAGACAAATTCAACCCTTCCAATGTAGTTGGTGAAATGCCTGTTGCAAACGTAGCAAAAATTCTATCGCACTACGCTAAAACAAGCAGCTTTACAAAGGCAAAAATTGAACAGAACATTAAAAATATCCCTTCTTATTTCCTCAAACAGTTTAGAATAAAAACATAGAAAAAGACATCAACTTGCAAAGATATATATCCAAAAACGAATCAAATACTGACATTTTCACCAACAATCACTCGAAAATAACAAAACAATCACATTGAAGCTCACAAAGGAAGAATCTTTCAACTTACACGAATATCTCTCGAAAGAGGATGAGAGCAGAGAACGCCAGTACAGGTCCGATCGGATATCTGAAGCGCACTAACTCCATCGGAAACCTTATCCACTCCGTTTTCCACCGGAGCCGCCGCAGCGGCCGCCTTGGAAGATGCAGCAGCAGCCGCCTTCCCTCCTCTCTTCGCGGCGGCGGCCGCCTTCTTCTGCGCTGCCTTCTTCTTGCTCGCGTCCGACACCATCTTCAATCTTAACCATCACAACAGATCCAAAAAAGCAAAATTATTAATAAATAAATAAATAAAAGCTAAATCTAAAAAAATCAATATCTCGATTCAGCGTTACCCAAGCGAAGAAGATCAGAGAAGGTGAATCTAGGGTTTAGAGGTACGGAGTTTTGATGCTACTGTGTGTTGATTAAGAGAAACAAAGGTGTAAACTCCGAAAAAAAGGGTTGTGAAATGGAGAGATGCGAAAGGTGGGAGTTTCTAAGTATTTATAGGGAAGATGAAAAGAGGACGTGAAACGTGTACGGTGATATCGCCACAGAGTTCGTTTTTAAACGGACCTCAATTTGCCTCTCTAGCTTCCGTATCCGAATCTGACTTGTTAACTTGTATCTGTGTCTGTCTGTTCTTCAGTTAGGCAAAAGTCTATTCCAGTCAAACGTTGTCGTTTAAAGTTTTCAATTCCAGCACCTTTTTTTTTTTGTTTGTTGGGCTTCGGAGCGGACATGTTTGGCCCGGTCCATTTCTCTGTTCTGTCTTTCAGTGGTCCGCAAAGACTACCTCTTTCTTGTATTTGCTAATTGCTGTCTCGGTGGAATAGATTTCTCTTAGGATTCCTGTCTTGCTTTGGGCTTCCCTTTTCTGGTAAGTCAAACTTTTTAGGGGGGTTTTGAAGTTATATCTATTTTGAGGTGATGTTCATTTCTCTGTTGACTGAATTTGTGTGTTTACATTTTTGTTAGAATGTAAAGTGTTTGATCAATTTCCTCACTGAAAATTGGACCTTGCTTTCTTTAAATTGTTTAACTGTCTAATTGTGGATTCATGGTAAATTAAAGCGGTTTTTCTTTTTTTATCTCAGTATTCTAAATTTCGAATCTTTGGTCATTGTGGGATTATTAAATTGCTGCTAAAGGTAACATCAAAGTGGTGTTCTTTTTTATCTGGTAAAATCTTGAACTTGTATTTCTTTGTGGGGTTATTAGATTTCTGCTGAAGTGAAGCCTTTCTTTTTGAAGTTTAAGATAGTTTACATGAGGAAACTTCACTGAAAATCTAAAAGGTCAGTAAAGGAGAAGTGAGAGATTAGGTTTAGATGGAAATTTGATGCTTTAGTTTTCGCATTTTGTCTTGTTTGTATTGTTCTGTCTTCTGCTATTTGGGAATGGTTATAAGTGTAGAACATTCAAAACCATTGTGGCATTGCATGGAAGGATTGAGCAATCACTGCTTTATATGAATCTTAATAAATACTTCGGACAAGCATGCACTTGTTGCTCTACACATTTTCTCTTCTTTCTGCAAATCAAACAAACTACTTAGAACCACCGTCATATTTTACTCTTTGTTAATTTGCTAGAATTATTGACACGTCATTGAGCTTCAAGAAGTTAAACGTGTTCTATATTCAGTAGTTGCTGTTTCTTCCTTGGGTGTTGATGGTTTCCTAAAATTTTCGACAATATGGTAGAATGTTAGTAAATAAGTATTGAAATGCTTACATGTATTTCACACTCCCTCTTTACTCTGTCATTTGAACTGTATGGTGAAGGTGAACTATTAGAGATAAAGATAGAATTTCAGTTGTATTTAATATAGTTTTCCGTCTGTGGTCTTCATCTATTAACCTGAGAATTTAGGCTAAAGTAGTCATGTTTAAAACAAAAGAATTGCATAAGGTCTAACCCCTACTAGATTTGGTGTCTGAGGAAGGAATGAAAATTAGGTGGCAAGCTGCTGATGGCATTGGAATTAGATAAATCAGGTGTTACAGAGACTATGAGGAAAGCTCATTGATCTGAGCTCTTGAAACAAGTTGATTAGACAAAGCAAGCATTCAAGGAATGGAGAAAGAGATTATCTGCAGGAATGTTAGGGTCACAGCTTAGGAAAAAGAAGTAAGGGTAGGATTTGATTAGCTTTATTGTTTGGTCAATGAGTGTATTTGAAAAGATTGGGCTTAGGTCTTTGAGGTTGAATGTATATGGGCCACTAACATTTCCAGCATTGGAAAACAAAGCCCAAAAATCAATAGCAAATTGATAATATCATTCACAAAAATGTTTCATTAAAAATTAAAACCTGAATCAAAATTTAAGGGCATATTTTTTCTTCCTACTCAAAAAAGAGATGCTGATACTAAATGAAGATGCACTCTTAGAGAGAAGGTTAAGGGCATAGTTTTATCCTACTAATTCATGAGGCAGCCAAATATATCAATTCTACTTTTAGACTCTTTATAAGTGAACCTGAGCCCAAAGTTTTGGATGGTAGGTGAGTTAACCCAAATTAAACATTGAAATATGATGCTAGTTAACATACAATATCATCTTGTAAGTAGCATATCTTAGAATGATGATTTATTATTAATGGAATTTTAAGTCTTTCCTGAATGACGTAGAGGATGGGAGTTTGAAGTATTTCTACTTGTGTATCAATAGGTACATCTTCCAATCTTCAGGTCTTTGTTACTATAAAGCTTCATTGTTCTAATCTTTTTCTACTTCTTCTAAGTACAGGGTAACCCCAATTCTCCTAATTCTTAGCATGGTCTTAAAGCCCTAAACCTCATAATTTTTCTGTTTCTCCAGCACGTTATCCTACCAGTTCAGGCTGATGGGACAACTTGTTGCAAAGTTTGATTACCTTTATCTGCTGCAACTGTAGTTTATGGTTGCCTTTGGTTTTTCTAATAACTTGGTTCTTTGATGTGCTGTTGGAATTATCCACTGTGTTATCTAATTTATGGCCATAAATGATGAAAGAACAGAATGGCTAAATTAGGTTATTAGCTGTTTTATTAATTACATATTCATTAACTTTAGAAATTTTGAATATGTTTTTACCGCCATAGTAGCATAAATATCAGTATTATGGTAGTCTTATGGGATATACTTCAGTTTCGCCTGCTAAAAAAATATGAAGTGCTATGTCATGGTTACGTTCTGCTACAAAGTATAAACTGCAAAACCTGAAAACTGATTATGTTCTATTATGTTAAACAGAATGTTAGGGAGATCTCAAAAGGATGACAGTACTGAAGAGGTATGTGCTGAGGTTGTTCATATCACTTAAGTACATCACAGCAAATGTAGTAGACAGAAATAATGGACGGATAGTTGCCACAGCATCAACAGTGGAACATGCCATCAAAAACTCATTAGAGTGTGGCCGCTCTTGCAATGCCAAGGCAGCAAACGTTGTTGGAGAAGTGTTGGCTATGCGACTTAAAGTGGAGGGTCTTGAGCAAGGACAGGGTCGAGGGATTCATGTTGATGTAAACAAGGAAATTGAGAAGAAAGGCTTTAAGAACAGGACCAAGGTTTGGTCAGTCGTCAGCGCCCTTAAGAACAATGGAGTTAAGGTCATACTTGAAGATAATGAAGATAATCCATCCCGGCCAAGTTACTGATATCGTAATATCTTCACTTTTCTTGTTTGACACAGTTCAAAGAAAAGAAACAAAGGCCAGTCGAAGATATCTTATGCATGTATCATGTATGCACTGATGTTCATAAATAATTCATTTTGCTGACCATCCCATTTCATAAATCATCTGCATCCTTATGCTTACATGGCACCAAACATGCCCTTCTGATGCAACAGATAACTAGGGGCGGCGTGATTAGGCGTGATTATCTCACTTAAAATCTTCCAATATCTCTTTCATTTATGTTTGGCAGCTAGGAGGGTAATTATGCCTTGTTGTACCTGTCAAGCATAGTCCTGGTGATATTGTAACATGCTATTGTCAAGGGGACAATGAATCCACACTCTGGGACCATATCTAATATCCCCACTAGAAGTTTCAATTTTTCTGGCAATCAAGAAGAAAAAACGTGATTGAATCATTTTGGAGAAAAAAAACTTTGTTCCTGAAGTACGTGTATCAAAATGTTATCTAAGTTGAGATTTCTGAAGTAACTGAATAGATTGTGATTTGCTAAACTCCTAACAGTCTATAAGATTCAAACCTTATCGACATTGTCAACAGTCTTTGACATTTCGGCATTTTTAGAAGACTTTATCTTGATCTCGTTGGCCATAAATTCACCTCACTTTCAAGAGGGGGCTCCTGTCCCTGCAGTCACGGTACCTTTCCAGGCTTCCACGACCATGTTTCCCACGATGCTCCTTTGACAGAAAGTAAGGTTTGAAGATTCTACAACACAGGCCACACTCCAAGATAAAAAATGAGAAAAAAAGACCTAAACCCTTTCTTTGGTCTAAAACTCATGATTATACATGCTTTCTTTGCACGCTGTGGAGTAAATATTTGTTTCCTAAGCCTATCTTTTCAAACTTTCAGTGACTAACATATCATGGAAGGACTTTTCATAGGCAATGGTGGGATGGAAATTAGGAAATAAAGGCAAAATATATGCTTTGGAAAATTCCGCCACCCAAAACAAAAAAAGCATCTTTCATTGCATTACTTTCCAAAACATGACTCCAACACATCATGGAACAAGTTACTTGTTTACATACACATCAATCAATCTTAGCTCAATAATTCATAATCTAATAATGACAATTTCATTTAATAACTTGAGCGAGCGTATTATTGCTCTGAACATAGTCCAAAGCAAATCAACCTCGTAAAAAAGTTTCGAATCATCATGACCAACGGATTCTTCCACGTAATATACCGAAGGAGTTTGTACCGATGAATATATACTAGTATATGCAGGGAGACTCTACCTCGGGAATAAAGCAAAAATCCATCAGAATAATAAATAGTATTATTAATTTTGAATTTATCAAAAGTTATATTGTATAAAGTAAGGTCTTAGTCATTAATTTTATAAGCTTGCTATATATATCAAAATTAAATTATCAAAAATAAAGAACATTTAACATTTTTTTCTTTATTTGTTATCTCTTTTCTCTCTTTCTTGTCTTGGGCAAAATTCTATATATACTCATCAAAAGCGAATCCTTTTTCTTTTTCTTTAATCCAGTTTTTGATATAGTCTACTTCTACTCACATGGGATTGAGCATTGAGCTCATGCAAAGATCACATCCTTCAAAAGGATTCAAAAGACCACTTTGATCACATGGATATTTGGAATCTTAGTAAATTTGTTTTTCTTATTGTCATGTTGCAAGGAATTAAGAACACCGTTCATTCATCCATTAAACTAAATCATTCTTTTCTTTTCTTTACATTGTTAAAGAATCTTAATCAGAAAGTTGGACGTAGACAAGTGTTTTATACATAATCCCATTTTCTTGCTAGTCAACATAAATGAGATCGCATTTTATTGGTAGGTAGGTTGAATAATCCTTCATTTTATAAAAGCTCTATTTTTGTTTTCTTTCTTTTCTAGCTGGCACATGTCACTTTCCTCTTGATTGGCAAATAAAGAAAATTTGAATTACTACTAGCAACACTATAGTTTTGAAAAGATTAGACTCTTACCAAAAATTTGATATTGAAAAGTGTTTTTGGTGTTGTTTGTGTCTTTGCGTGCTACATTTTCCCACCCTTGCTGGAAGGTTCCCCTTAATTTTACAAAGCGATCAGACAAAGGGGAATGTGGGATTGGTCGCATGGTTGTGCTGTTGCATGAATGGGACATTGAGGCATCATAATGATGGGATTCATGTACATGCACACAACCCACATCATGATTTTACAGGTGCACATGCAAAAGAGATAAGAGGGTTTTTGTTTTTTGGCTTGGGGAAAAAGGGTTAAGTCTACACGACACTGAATCATGAAGTTTCATTGAAAAGGAATATGTTCGCACCAGGAAACTATTTGGAAACTGGAAACAATGAGGGAATAGGAGTATATATCAATGGCAAAAATGTAGTTTTCTTTATGGTCCAAAGAAAAAAAAATCAAGGATTTGTCTAATAAGTTAATAGGTATGAAGCTTAATATTGCCAAGCAAACATTTGATTAAAGAAGAAAAAAACTACATGCTAATCTTGATCTTGTCTTTCCCATATTTTCTACTATTTACTGGTTTTTTTATTTAGATAATTTAGATACTAATATCTAACAGTATCCAATCGTGCCAAAGCTTACAACAAGGTGACGGCAACATCCAACATGAAACATTGCCTTCTTGCACACTGCCCTGCTGGCTGTTGTGTCCCTTTTACTAATTAAGGTGTAAAAACTCCAGCACGGGGACTGGGAAGAGCCTGTGTACATTCCAGGAAATGCTGCATTGCTCATCCAGTCTTGGTAACAGGACAAAAACAAAGCCTTTTCCTATTTCCTAACCAGGACAGCCACAAAATTGGTTAACTAATGTCTTCAGGCTCACGACACCTAATAACGACATACAAAAAGTTAAGCATACATCACAGGTTCATAGGCCAATTTTGTGGAATAATTTGGTAGGTCCCGTCCTATGATTCAAACTCTTTTCCATGCTATTTATTCTGTGGACCCAGAAGAAACTCCGTAGGCAACGTGGAGGGTCTGCTGATTCATTTCCTATGTAATCACTTTCCAACCATTTGCTGAAACCATAGTGGGCAAAGCTTTGCACTTGCACATTCACGGAATCATGCAAAATTCATTCTCTCATGGTTTCCAACTTTGAGTTTGAGACCTTTCCTTTTACATTTACTATCCTCGAAAGATCAAAATTGCTCAATCCTGACGTTTCTCATTTGTATAACTCCTATACGTCCTATATAGTAGTATTATTCTTAGCAATATTCCCATATGGCTGCACATTTCATGGAAAATGAAAATAATACTTCACCTGATTTGGCAACTTACACGTAGATTTATTGCTATAGTTTGCCATTACTTCACAATTTTGATATCAGATATATGTATACTAACCAATCAAGTTCAGTCAAATTATAGAAATAGGGTAAAATTCAATCTGAAGCTGTTATGATCAAAGAAGAGAGCCTCAAACACCGAGTGCAAACTGCAAACCAGAAAAGTTTATTTGTTAAACACATTGAATGGGGTGACGGGTAGGTGTGTTATGACTAGATTTTATTTAAAAACAAAGAATCTTTCCAGGTCATGGATGCATTCAAATATATAATTTCTAATAAAAAAGTTTTCTCTTCCCTCCCCTTTTATCCTTTGGGGTTAGATAGAAATAAAACAGTAGTGAATATGACTTGCATTGTGCTAATGTCCAGCTCTAAGTGGTTATACATCATACAAGAGTAAATCCCACCCTCCTTGGTCATTTTTCTTCGTATGTATTGTGTCCTGTGAGCTTTCCCTTTAGTGTCTCACTAGAAGTAGAATTCCCAGCTGCAAATTAAAACCTGACAAATCCCACAAACCCCCCATCACAAATAAAAATAAACACATTGGCCGCATAGCAAAAAACCACTAATTCACATTAAAAATGCCAACATTCAACTTTTTTAACAACAAATAACAAGATCAAAACCCTTAGAATCCAACATATATAAAACCCAAATGCGCTTTTGGAGCTCCAAGTTTAACCCAAAATTTTGCCTTGCAAAGTAAACTTTCTATATTTCTTATTCACAGCTTCCATTTACCTTAACCTAAAAACAGATACCTGAAACCCATTTCTCCTCACAAAATGGCACAAGCAGTAGGATTCTCATCATTGAACATCTGGTCCGGTTGATGAACAGGAACCGGGTAACCCGGCACGTACCCGGGGTAAGCATGCCACTGCGGGTGCCCGTGACCATACCCATAACCTGGGTGCTCGTATCCGGGAAAACCCGGCATGTATCCAGGGTAAACAGGAATGTATCCAAATTCGGATGGAACCATAGACTCCATCCTGTTCCCTTCCATGTTACCACCTTCACCACCATTGCCACCTTTGTTCTTCTTCCCGCCGCCGCCATTCTTGCCACCCTCTTTGTTCCCATCTTTCTCTTTCTTAGGTGGCACAATCTCAACATCCTTCTTGAGTTTGTCCTTCAAAGCCTCAGCCAAGGCCTTAACATCCATGGTCCCCTTAACTGTTACCAACTCCTTCGGCTTGTCTACTTTCAACTCATGCACTCCTGTAAAGCCGTCAAAAATTAAAAAAGTCAGAAACTACAACAAGATTTCAACGCCGTTTGAGTAAGGTAACAGTAAAAATCTATGCTATCTAAAGGCAATTATAAAGCCACCACCTTTGGTCTCAGAGACAATTTTGTGAATCTTATCAACGCATCCCTGGCACTGGCATTTCAGTTGAACCTTCAAATCCGCCGTCGTCAACGGGGCCTGAACAAAGATAATAAATAATAAGCTTTTATTAAATTATTCCAAATAGAAAAGATGAAAAAAATAGTTTTTTACTTAAAACAACAAGAAAGGAAGCAATAAATTTTGGGCAGATATGTTGATTGGAAAGCACTTCAAAAGCAACATGCAAAAACAGTTAGTTGACTGTCGGAAAGAAATTAAAATTTGAGAGTGAGAAATGAAAATTTTACATCTTTGGGTTTTTTATCCGGTTTATTATCAGAATCCTGGTTTTTCTCTTTGTCAGGTTTTTTCTCTGTTTTCTCTTCTTTGTTATCATCTTTCTTTGGTTGAGGAGAAATGAGATCAACTTTCTTCTTGGTTTCCTTCACGAGTTTCTCTTTAACAGCTGTCGGTTCCACAGCTCCTATCACTGTCACTTTGTTTGAGCTGCTCTCTATTGTTACCGTCTCCACGCCTGCAAATAAAGGAAAACAACGACAGAGCTAAACAGAGTAAACAACAAAGGCTGAAAATGCTTAAAAAATCTGTGGAAAAAATGAAACCAAAAAAAAAAAGATTATACCTTCGAGTTTATGAATGCATTTGAGGATTTGGGAGGCACAACCGTCACAAAGACAATAAACTTTCAGAACAACGGCTGAGGAAACCCCTTCGTTCTTTTCTCCATCCCCTTCTTTCTTGTTTCTATTCTTTTTCTGCAACATAGACGAAGAACAACCCATATATATATATATATATATATCATATATTAGCAACCAAAAATAAAACAAAAAAGAGACAGAGAAATAGGGGAGAGTATTTGCTAACTGACCTTTCCCATTGTGAGCCAAAATCCGTAAAGTTAATTGGCTTTGTGATGAGTGGAACTAGGAGGAAATATAAATGAGTAGAGTCGGGGTGTTTATAGAGGAGATGGCAAAGTAAAGTGAAGTGCTGATGGCAATGGATGATGCATGTATAGATGCGTGGATGGTTTAAACGCGTGTAATGGGGGGCGGCTTGACTAAGGTAATGGTCCAACTTCTAAGCAAAGAGTGGGGTACTAATGTGGTGGGGTTTAAAGGGGAAGAGGGGGGGGGGGGGGGAGATTGGAGGTTCTTGGCTGTTTCTATCTGTCCATTATGCAGAGCAGATGGTTCTCACGCCTTATTACTCCACTACCATCACAACCACCTAACTCAAGGCACTTAAGTTCTCTTGGACAGTACTGTACCCTTCATTTTTTTTTTTTTTCTCTTTAATTTTAATACAATAGTTTCATAGAACCACTCTTGCTCTTGCCCCGAAAATCCCAGTGAAATTCATATTATTTGAGTAGCTAAGAAACTTGGCTTAAAATTAAGAGGGAGCATGGCCCATGACCATGAGCAAAGAATTTTTTAGGCAAATGGTGGCCTTGATTTTTGTGGAAACCCACCCAACTCCCAACTTTAAGTTTTCTGGGCTCATTGGCCCAACAGGAACCAAACCCAGGCCTGGAAAGTTAATTGAGCAATTTGAGTAAAGACTGTGCTTCACATTTTTAAGGAGCACTATTAAATTGTTGGCAAAGCCCATTTGGGTACAGCTATTTGGGTCTCTCATTGTCTTGTCATCATGAGCAGTGGATGAAGAAGTAACGATAGAATCAGATGCCTTCAAGTTCAACGTGTGAGGAAGCCAGGTGGGAAACTACTACAACTATATTAATTAACTTGGAAGTTGGAACTAAAACTCTTTTTATAGTACTTTCTCTGTTTTTGATTTACTCTGGATCAAACTAAAATTCTATGAATCCTTATGTAATCCAATGATAAAAATGGCATTTTTTCGTTTAGTTTTTGAACTGTTATAGTGACACTTATTTAGCTGAACGTCAGTGAGTCTTCGAATTCCCATGTTGATAAATTATGCTTTGGATTACCTTAAACAAGTTGACTCCATAGTCTTAGTTTATTAAGCTTGCTATTTCTTCTATAAATGGCCAAAGATGATTAGACCGACACACAAGAAAATTCATGCTTATCATGATGCTCCTTTGACCCAAGGTAAGCCCAAAATTAAAATTCAACCGGACAGGTCACACCCCAAGATAAAAAATAAGAAAAAAAAAAGTTGAGCTAAACCCTACCAACATACAATTGAAGGACATTTCTCAGGCAATGGTGGGATGGAATTTAGGAAAAAAGGGTAAAAGATAAGCTTTGGAAAATTCCACCACCAAAGCAAAAAAAAGCATCTTTCGTTGCATTACTTTCCAAAACATGATTCCGACACATCATGGAACAAGTTGTTTGTTTACTATACACATCAATCAATCTTAGCTCAATAATTCATAATCTAATAATAACAATTTCATTTTAATAAGTTGAGTGAGCAATTATTGCTCTGAACATAGTCCCAAACAAGTAAAGCCCGTCAAAAAGTTTCTTGAATCATCATGACCAATGGATTCTTCCACGTAATATAATATACCAAAGGAGTTTGTATCGATGAATATATACTAGTATATGCAGGCAGACTCCACCTCGGGAATAAAGTAAAAATGCATCAGGATAATAAATAGTAATATTAATTTTGAATTTATCAAAAGTTATATTGTATAAAGGTCTTAGCCATTTGCTATATATCTCAAAATAAAAGTATCAAAAATAAAGAAAGTTAAACATTTTTGTTCTTTATTTTTTTTATCTCTTTTCTCTCTTCCTTATGTCTTGGGCAAAATTTCATATATACTCATCAAAAACAAAGCTTTTTTTTTCTTTAATCCACTTTTTGATATAGTCTACTTGTACTCACATGGGATTGAGCTCATGCAATGATCACATCCTTCAAAAGGATTCAAAAGACCCCTTTGATCACATGGATATTTGGAATATTATAGTAATTTTGTTTTTCTTATTGTCATGTTGAGATTGCAAGGAATCAAGAACACCCTCCATTCATCCATTAAATTAAATCACTCTTTTCTTTTCTTTACGTTGTTAAAGAATCTTATTCAGAAAGTTGGAAGTAGACAAGTGTTTTATACATAATCCCACTTTCTCGCTAGTCAACATTTATTCATTTTTCAAATGAGGTTGGATTTTTTTGGAAGATAGGTTGAATAATCCTTCATTTTATAAAGCTCTATTTTTGTTTTATTTCTTTTCTACTAACAGGCTGACACATGTTACTTTCCTCCTGATTAGCAAACTAAGAAAATCTGGAATTACTATTAGCAACACTATAGTTTTGAAAAGATTAGATTCTTACCAAAATTTGATATTGACAAGTGTTATTGGTGTTGTTTGTGACTTTGTATACTGCTAGTTCCCCTTAATTTCACAAAGGGATCAGACAAAGGTAAATGGGAGATTGAGAGCATGGTTGTGCTGCTGCATGCATAGGACATTGAACCATCATCATGATGGAATTCATGTACTTGCGCACAACCCACGTCATGATTTTACAGGTGCACATGCAAAATAGGTTAGGGGCTTTTTGCTTTTTGGCTTGAGGAAAAAGGGTCAAGTCCACGTTACACTGCATGATGAGTTCCATTGAAAATGATTATGTTCGCACAAGGAAACTACTTGGAAAACGGAAACATTGACTAAAGTAATAGGAGTATATATCAATGGCAAAAATGTAGTCCTTTTTATAGTCCAAAGAAAAAAGAAATCAAGGATTTTTCTAATGAAGCTCAATATTGCCAAGCAAACATTTGATTAAAGAAAAAAAACTACTTGCTCATCCTGATCCTGTCTTTACCATATTTCCCATTTACTGATTTTTTTATTTAGATAATTTAGTTAGTAATATTTAACAGTATCCAATTGTGCCAAAGCTTACAACAAGTTTGACGGCAACATCCAACATGAAGCATTGCCTTTTTGCACACTACCCTGGTGGCTGGTGTGTCCCTTTTACTAAGGTGTAAAAACTTCAGCACGGGGACTGGGAAGAGCCTGTGTACATTCCTGGAAATGCTGCATTGCTCATCCTGTCTTGATAATCGGACAAAAACAAAGCCTTTTGCTATTTCCTAACCAGGAAAGCAACAAAATTGGCTAACCAATGTCTTCAGGCTCAGGACACCTAATAGCGACATACAAAAAGTCACGGCGTATATCACAGGTTCATAGGCCAATTTCGTGGAATAATTTGGTAGGTGATTCATTTGCCTCAGTCATCACTTACCAACCTTTTGCTGAAACCATAGTGGGCAAAGCTTTGCACTTGCACATTCACAGAATCATTCAAAGTACATTTCTCTCATGGTTTCCTACTTTGAGACCTTTCCTTTTACATTTAGTATACTTGAAAGATCAAAATTGCTCAATCCTGACGTTTCTCATTTGTATAACTCCTATACATCCTATATAGCAGTATTATTCTTAGCAATTTTCCCATATGGCTGCACAGTTCATGGAAAATGAAAATAATACTTCACCTGATTTGGCAACTTACACGTAGATTTATTGTTATAATTTGTTGCTACTTTAGAATTTTGATATCAGATATATGTATACTCACCAATCAAGTTTCAGTCAGATTATAGAAACAGGGTATAAATTCTATCTGAAACTTTTATGATAAAAGAAGTCAGCCTCATGAGGCTGCAAACACTGAGTGCAAACTACAAACCAGAAAAGTTTAATTGGTAAACACATTGAATTTGGTGATAGGTAGGCATTGGTGATGGTAAAAAAGTACAGTAAAAAATGAAGAATGTGCATTGATTTTACCGATTTCAACAGAATCTGTTTGAAAGACAACTTTTCTTTACTTAATATAAATCAATTGGTTGATGTTAGCGTTGAATATGGCTTGCTCAATTTCTTGGACGCCTACTTGGGTTATAATTATATTAAGATAATAAAAGAAGATGAGTAAAAAAATAGTCTTTATAACAAAATTAAGGTTTGTACTGTTACAAGGTAATGCCTTTGAATTGAAAAATGCAAGAGCAATTTACTAAAGGCTGGTTAATAAGATCTTTAAAAATATAGAGATGTATATGGAATAGTGAAAAGCAAAGCCCGACCAAACACTTAAAATATCTGAAGGAGGCTTTCAATACCCTAAGCAAATACAACATGAGTCTAAACTTGAGCAAATGCGATATGATGTTACATCGGGTAACTTTCTTGATTATATGATCAATAAAAAGGAAATAAAAGCAAACCTTGAAAAGGTATAAGCTATTTTGGACATAAAAACATCGATCACAATTACAGAGGTGTAAAGATTAATTGAGAGAATAGCTGCCTTAAACAGATTCATATTTAGGTCAATAAAACGATGCATATCATTTTTCAAAATCTTCTAGAACTAGTGTTAACAAGCATTTGAAGAGCTAAAATAGTTTATTTCCTCCCTTCTTATTCTCTCTAAGCCAAAATCTAATGAGGTATTATATTTATACATGGCTACAACCGATCAAGATATCAACTCAATATTAGTCAAGAAAAAAGAAAAAAAGAAGAGATTGGTGTATTTTGTTAGTAAAGTGTTAACAAGGTTGGGAATAAACTATGTTAAAATAGAAAATTTGACTTATACAAAAATCACATCAATCGAGATCATACTTTTAAGCTCACACAATTAATATTTTGATTGACTCTTGTTGGTATCCTAAACCATTTTTGATGTCTAAAACATTGGACTCTTACTTACACCCATCAAATAAGGTAACTCAAATTTAAGGTTTTTTTGTTCTAAATCAAGACTTTTATTAATATAAAATAGACGTTTACAACAGAAGAAAACTGTAGCTAAGGTGTCCACCTAACATATAGCCAACATATGGAATAAAAGTATGATACAAACTAAATTAGAATAGATAAAGCACAGAAATTCAATCACATTACATCTGAGAAATTGATAGAACATCGACTGTGAAAACAATTAAAAAAAAATAGAGACCCATTGGATTACAAATTCCTTATACCATTAGAACAAATTGCAAGGTTGGTAAATTTTACTATCAAAGTGTCCCGTTTGGAAACATAAGAAGCATCCAAAATACTAAAAAAGTTATAAAAAATTATCTGGAGGGACTAACCCATAAATGATTGGGAGAGAGTGAGAGGAAAAAGGGCACGGTTAGCTTGGGATCAGGGGAGCGAGAAAGACTAATCCAACGTCAAGAAGATGTTTAGTTGGCTACTACATAGGCGTCGAAAAGGATTGGGAGAGATTGAGAGGAAGGGGCACCATAGTGTATTTTTTTGTGGGATGGTAAAGACAGGGATTGAGAGAGAAACAATAAAATGAAAAAAAAATTAAGGTTTTATAGGTTAAATATATTAAGGTAACATAATAAATTACTAATTAAAATATTACAAATAAAAATATAAAAGTTAGATTACATTCGAAAACTATTCACTCGAGTCGAGAATTAAAATTTTTGAACTTTAGAGCTTGACTCAAAAATGATCGAACCAAATTCAAATTTTATCCTAATTGAATTCGAATAATTTGGAAGTATTGATATGTCATTTATATCTCTAATGCTATTAGCACTAGCATTAACCTTATTTCCACCCTCTCCACCACCATTGCCACCTTTGTTCTTCTTCTTGTTGTTGTTGTCGCCATTCTTGCCACCCTCATTGTTGCCATCTTTCTTTTTCTTAGGTGGCACAATCTCAACATTCTTGAGTTTGTCCTTCAAAGCATCAGCCAAGGCCTTAACATCCATAGTCCCCTTAACTGTTATCAGCTCTTTCTCCTTGTCTATTTTGAAGCCATGCACTCCTGTAAAGCCATCAAAAATTTAAAAAGTCAAAAACTAAAACAAGATTTCAACGCCGTTGGAGTAAGGGAACAATAAAAATCTATGCTAGCTAATGCAATGATAAAGTCAATACCTTTGGTTTTATCGACAATTTTGCTAATCTTATCAATGCATCCCTGGCATTGGCATTTCAGCTGCACCTTCAAATCGACTGTCATCACCGAGGCCTAAACAATGATAATAAATAACCAACTTAAATTAAATTATTTCAAATAGAAAAAATTAAAAAATAATATATTTTTTTTTACTTAAATTACGAAAACTTACACACAACCTGTGAAGTATTATTCATTTTGATCCAAAGATTTTATGATTTTATCTTACAAAAAATACCTCACAAATTTAAATTTAAATCTAAACTTATATATCATAACAAAATTTTAAATAATCATAACGTAGACCCGTATCCAACCTGTTAAGTATTATTCATTTTGACTTGAATGTTTCATTATTTTATCTCACAAAAAACATCTTACAAATTTTTAGATTTAGATCTCTCTCTATATATATATATATATATATATATATCATAATAAAACTTTAGATTATCGCGTTAAACTAATAACCTGACTTTGATACCATTTGTGAATACATACATCCAACTTTTAAAGTATTATCCATTCTGATATGAAGGTCTCATAGTTTATCTCATAAAAAGTACCTTACAAATTTAAATTTAAGTCTCTACATATATATTATAACAGATCATCAAAGCATCTCAATATGAAATTGGGTTATTATAAACTCTCATATTAAAGTTTTACATTTATGTTAAACTCAATACAAAAACACACAAATTCACCGAATTATATCAAATATTTGATAAGCCCAACACAAAGCATACACTGATCACAAGATCACACCAAAATTAAGATTTTAAAGGTGATTCTCATCGTGTAGCATTTAACTCCTACAAAATTCAAAAAGTGATTTTCACAATACAACACTTAACTCCCATATAATTGAAGACTATACTAATATTATATGTAAAAACCAACACTGAACCTATGAAATATTATCTATTGTAATCTAAAAATTTTATAATTTTATATCATAAAAAAATTTCATAAATTTGAATTTAAATTTCAAACTCATATATATCGTGTCATAACTCTAGATAATCCCGATTCGGGTGTCACGTAAACAACAAAAAGGAAGCAATAAATTTTAGACAGATACGTTGATTTGAAAGCACTTCAAAACCAACATGCAAAAACAGTTATTTGACTGCCGGAAAGATTAAAATTTGAGAATGAAATGAAAATTTTACCTCTTTGGGTTTTTTGTCCCGTTTATTATCAGAATCCTTGTTTTTCTCTTTGTCAGGTTTTTTCTCTGTTTTCTCTTTTTTGTTATCATCTTTCTTTGGTTGAGGAGAAATGAGGTCAACTTTTTTCTTGGTTTTCTTCACGAGTTTCTCTTTAATGGCTGTCGGTTCCACAGCTCCTATCACTGTCACTTTTTTTGAGCTGCTCTCTATAATTACCGTCTCCACGCCTGCAAAAGAAGGAAAACGACAGAGCAATACAGAGTAAATAACAAAAGCTGAAAATGATCGAAAAATCTGAGAAAAAAATGAAGAAAAAAAAAAAAGAGGAAAGACCAAGTAACAAAAAAGGAAATCTTAAACCTAAAAAAATGATTATACCTTCGAGTTTATCCATGCTGAGGATTTGGGAGATACAATCTTTACAAAGACAATAAACTTTCAGAACAACCGTTAAGGAACCCTTTTTCTTGTTTTCTCCATCCTTTCCATTCTTTTTCGGCAACATAGACAAAGAACAACCCATATATATATATATATATATATATATATCATATATTAGCAACCAAAAATAAAACAAAAAAAAAGACAGAGAAATAGGGGAGAGTATTTGCTAACTGACCTTTCCCATTGTGAGCGAAAATCCGTAATGCTAATTTGTTTTGTGATGAGTGGAACTAGGCGTAAATGAATGAGTAAAGCAGCTGGGGTATTTATAGAGGGGAGATGGACGGTGGATGGTGGATGGTGGATGGTGGATGGTGGATGGTGGATGGTGGATGATGGACGATGGATGATATGTGTATAGATGAATGGATGGTTTAAACGTGTCAAATGGGGCGGCTTGACTAGAGGAAGGGGCTAACTTTTAAGCCAAGAGTGGCGTACTAATGTGGTGGGGTTAAAAAAGGTACACAATGAAGAAAAATGGGGGAGATTGAAGGTTCTTGGCTGCTTCTTTCTATCATGTAAAGTTGGTTCTCGCGAGTCATTACCCAACTACCGTCACCACGACCTACCTCAAAGGTACTTAGGCACTCTGGGACACTATTGCAACCTTCATTTTTTTTCCTCTTTAACTTAATACCATAGTTTAATAAAACCACTCTTGCCTTCAAAATCCCAGTGAAATTCATTATTTTTTTTGTTTTTAGTTTCAAAGAGATAGAACCTTACAATGAGAAGAGGAGAGAGGCTGAGATCGAACCTCAACTTATATCTTTTTAAAGCTTACTTGGCTTAGTGGCCTAGCAGCTGAAGATATTATTTGAGTAGCTAAGAAACGTGGCCTAAAATTAAGAGGGAGCATGGCCCATGACCATGAGCATTGAGTTATTTAGGCAAATGGTGACCTTGATTTTTGTGGAAACCCACCCAACTCCCAACTTTTAGTATTCTGGACTCATTGGCCCAATAGGAACCTAACCCAGGCCTGGAAAGTTATTGAGCAATTTGTGTAAAGACTGGGCTCCAGATTTTTAAGTAGTGCTATTAAATTGTTGGCAAAGCCCATATAGGGCCAGCTATTTAGGTCTTTCATTGTCTTGTCATCACATATTTAGCTGAAGGTCGGTGAGTCTTTGAATTCCCATGCTGGTAGGTTCACTCTATAGTCTTTGTTTATTAAACTTGCTATTTCTTCTATAAATGGCTAAAGATGACTAGACCGACACTCAAAAAAATCATGCATAATGGCGTCTAATTCAAAATTTGCAGCAACCCAGAGTGGAAAACATCAAGTATAGTGGCCTCATTTGATGGATTGATCCGATCTTAGGAAGAATAAGTAAACAAGAAAGGTTGTTGTCAATGGGCCGCTGCAAAATTGAACTTGCAAAAAAAAGTGTTATCCTTTTCAAAAGGAGCATTTTCAAACTGATGTAAACTAAATTAAGCAAATTGGAACAGAAGCCATTTGTGGACCAGAAAAATATCGCTAGCCTAGCTAATTGGCTTTGTCATTGTCATGTTTTTGTATAGTTGAAACTTTAACGGTTCCTATACATGCCATCTTGTATGACTTGGATTTTTAACACATCTATTCCTATATAATCTTCCAAATACCTGAAACCCGGTTGGTTCCCGGGATTCATCCAAGGCCCATGAAATTTGTCATCCATGAAAACTTCCTCTAGTCTGAGACCCTGGTAGCATCCAAAACCTGTCAATGTTGTTAGGGTCACTGTTAAGTGTTAAGTACCAATTAGGCTGATCGCTGATCGATAACAAATCTGCACGTGCAGGGATTGGAAAATTACAGGGGAGCTAGCTGGAATTATACGGGGATCCAGATTCCAGGCCCCATATGCGGGAGATGTACTATAGCAAATATCTTCTTTATTCAACAATTTTCTCCATTATCATTAGTTATGCACCCGTTTGATTCACACTTCCGGGGGGGGGGGCTGATGGCCAAATCGGACCGTGGGGCACCATAAACACTTCCAATTATAAGGTAACGACAGAATAACGAATATGGACACGCATAACATTGCCTTATCTCTTTATTTCATCTCTACAAACTATCCAAAATACTGCATGTGTAGTACTAGTTTAACAACAGTGCTCATTCATTTATTGGACGATTCAGTCGAAAACATGGCTTTACTATGGATCAATGTTTTCGTAGTGAGATGAAACCAAATTTAATCTAAAACAACCTGTAAATTGTACCTGAAGCATTACCATTTGTCAACAACTAAGAATTTTACATAAAAAGGAGCCGATGATTTTGTAGTTGATCTGAAACCATGATTATGTCTTCCCGCTTCAAGGATAAAAAATTTTGATTATTTGCAATTTATTCTGACTCAAAAGAAATTAACAACTCAATGTCGGTTCTCTTACTATAATTTTAGATTTTTTTTGGTCGGTCTAATTAATTAAAATTTTTTTTACTTTCATTAATCGAACCCAAATTAATATTTTGAAAACTTAACTGATTGAGTTTAATTCAATTAATTAATCGAATTAATTAATCAAATTTAATCAAAATATTTCTTGTGTTTTTTAGGAAGCTGCAAACAGTACGAAATCTCAACGATGCAAACTCAAACAGTCAAACTCGCATATCTGGAAAGCGAGAAATGATTTTTCTCTTCCAGGGCGATACGGGCGACCCGATTTTCACCTGGCAAGCAGCATTCCGAGACTTTCATGAGTTTTATGAGAAGCATGCTCGTCCTGCTTATCTGACTAACAGCACAAGGTTTCTTTCACAATGGCAAAAACCACCCTCCTCTTTGATCAAGGTCAATTGTGATGTCTCGTTTGACCCTCTTCTCAAAAAGGCAGGTATTGCCGCGATTGCCAGAGATGATACTGGCTGTGTTATTGATGGAACCAACGCATGCACTGGTATATGCAGGATCTGCACTGGTGGCAGAAGCCTTAGCTCTAAGGCTGGGTTGCGTTCTTGTTGAAAAAAGGGAATAGAGGAATGTCATTCTGAAGTCTGACAATGAAGATCTAATCCGGCGATTGGATTCTGGTTTGAAGCAAAGAAGAAACTATGGCGATTGAAGAGGATCTAAGGGTGCTCAAAGCAGGTTGGCAGTCTTCCATGTTCTGCCATTTTCGAAGGAAAGCTAATAATGCTGCTGACCGGGTAGCTAAGATGACTCCCAAGAGAAGATATCCTATTAACTGGATCTTTTGCCTGCCGCCTGAACTTTTGGAACTGTAACATTATAATGCTTTGATAGGCGTGTTGTGGATATGCAGAAACCAAAAATAAAAAATAAAAAAAATGAATATAGACCTCCGCAAGGACCAAATTCCAGCATTAAACAATAAAGTATCATCCAATAATTTAGATATCAACCAAAGTTGCAAACTGGCAAACTCCAACATACAAGAAATGCTCAGACCAACCAAAACCAAAAGAGAGGTTGAAATGCTCGAACAAACCTCAAGTGAAATGAGAGCGTCGACTGTCGAGGTGTGCTTCCAGTGGCGAAATGAAATCAAGAGCGACTGAACGAGGACAGCTCACAGCAGAAAATGAGTTGATAGGTTTGAGAGATGAGCAAGAGCAGAAATGAGGCTGAGGCTTGAGAAATAAAGGCAGAAATCAAAAGAGGGCAGAAGAAGTGGAAAACCGAAGGTTCCCAGAAATTCAGGGCGAGAAGTCTATGTCGGTCAAAGAGAGAGAGAGAAGGGTCCTACTGACAGGCTATAGTTGGCTTCTAGCCTTATTTTCCATTGCCACGTTGGTGACTTCACAAGTGAAAGAAAGTATACCTGTGGAAGATCTCGAATCTCGACTCTCCTCCAAATGCCTATTCTTTTTTATCACATGTCACAAACCTGAAGCCCACGAGAGACAGGTTCCCATTCAAGTGAAATGGAAGACGTGGCAAATACGTGGCAATTCATGATTGGTGGGGACGCCAAAGCCCATGTGCTCCGATGGTCTGCATCACATGGCCTTGGAGGAACCCCCCACCCCAGCTGGATCATAGGACAGACATATATATAGTATCACTCTGCTTCCCTGTTTGGCTCTTTCGTTTTTTTTTTTCTCACACAAAGACATTAAATAGTGGAGGCTTGACCGTGGCTTGTCAAATCATTATACATTTATAATTATTTCCCTTAATAGTTTTTCTCTTTTTGGTTTAATAATCAAATTCGCCTTGGGCCCTTTGGCTCTTTCTGTTCTTCTCTCTCTCCTAAACTAGAGTTTGAAGCCTCCGACTTCCCTACAAATACTTGACAATTTTTTGTCAGAGACGTGCTAGATGGCTAGTTTTGTATGGTCAGTGCTAATATTTTTGCAGCAGCTTAGCAAGCCTGGCTAAGATGTAGCCTTTATCTGCATTTGCACCTGCACCTTCTTGTTTTTAATTGGTTCGGCTTCAGAAACCAAAGCATTGCAGATGGTTTTGTAGTGGTGAAGGAAGATAGGACCAAGCAAAGAGGTGCAGGTTCAGGTGCAGGTGAATGCCATTTTGGCTTCTGTTTTTCACACTCATCGTTATCCATATAACTTTCCATCCTTACTTCTATCATGGTAGTTAGCTTGAGCTTCTGATACGGTTTTCCTGTTTACTTTTTTTTTTCTATTCTACAGCTTCAGTTTTCGCTTTTCAAAATCTTTCACAACTCCTTGGTTTCCATTGTGTGATTCTAAAAGGGCCAAAACGGCTTTCAGTTTTCAGGTCTTCTTTGGATACAGATCCCAGCAGCCATCGATATATAGGAATAACTAGCTAGGAGGATCCTAGCTGCTAATGAAGCTTTGAAGAGGTTCCATTATATTGCACATCTTTGGGGCTTCTCAAGGTAATATATACATGTGTCTCTTTCCTTTCTAGGACACGCATCTGTTCCTTTAATTTAATTGGAGAATAAATCAAGGAAGAGAAGGTGATTTCCTGATAAGAGGGTGACAAGATTAGGATCAGATTTAACATTTTCATATACGATTCCCTAAGTTTTTTATTGGGTATTTCCCTCTCTCAGCTCTCTCTCTCTCTCTTTTCCTAAAGCTTTTCCTCTCGATCTTATTATAAATATCTTATGTGCAAGAGCCATTTGATCAGTCTTTTTCTATAGCCTAGTGAGTCATAAACTTCTGAAAGGGAAATACTGAAATGTAGTACATGGGGCTTGGGATATATAGTATTATTCCTTAGGGAAAACCATCAAATGCCACATCTATCTGTACTTGTGCAAGTCAAGAACCCCATGTAAGTCCTTAATCGGCATAACTAATGTTTTCAAGATGTATCAAATTCAATCAAGCTATCTTTGAAATTATACTGCACAAAATTTCACAAGCAATTAATTATGACATATGCTAAATAAACATGTCTTTATATAGTATTTAATGGACTTTAGGTACATTGAAAAGCTACATGAAGACTAGTTTTACGCAGTTCTGCAAAATCATCCAAATTTTTCATGGTAATTAACCCCTTCATCAAACTTTCAACAGTTGTTCCTTTCTGTTTCTCTCTCAACTTTACTGCATTTTGGGATGTTGCCACTTCTAAGAGAAGAATAACTAATAAATTTCCGCTTGAGAAAATCGGATATAAGTTGTAGCATGCTTTTGAGATGAGTTTTTTACACTAGCATTTCTACTTATTACGCTAGTTGTTTTTCAGCTTACTTCTTCAAAGTTAAGCTTTCAATATTTGCACGAGGCAGTGGAAGAAATAGGGCCTGCCCAGTTATTATTGGCTTATTTATCCAACATTAGCCAGGGCCAGGCGTTAAATGATGATGAATAGGATCTCCCTTTCTCAAAGAAGAATGTTAAGAAATTGATGCTTGCAAACAAGGATTGCTACAAATTTGATTACAAAATGAGCTCTCTGAGAATGCTTTGCTTTGAAAATAACTTTGTGTATTTAGTATTTAGCATCTCATTAACTCTCAAAATTTTGAGTTCTGATCATCATGTGTCACTTGGCAGGCTTCTTAGTTCTTACTTCTTATGAACATTTTGAGCCACTCGCAGTAAATCATTTAACCTTTGAGAGTTATACCAAGGTAAATAATCAGGTTTCTGCTATCACCCCATATATATATATATATATATATTATAACTATTGCATATTTAAGAATAAAAAGTGGACTTTATCTTATCAATTTAAAATATATGTATATGCTCAATTATGCTCAAATCCATTTATGTTTGGAACTATATGATATATGGCTCCATAGTAGTTAACTAGCATAAGATGTAAAAAAAGTAGCACAATAGTAGCTTATTTGAAGACAGCTCAAATCCTTTCCTCCATGCTTACCGGCTTATAGCAAACATCCAAAGCGCCTCAATAACAGAAAATTATATCAAGCTTAAACTTAATTACAAATTTTATTAGATCCATCAATTTTCTTGTTAATGATTTTGTTCCTCCATGGCTTATTCACACTTATTGAACTGGTAATAGAAGAAAAATATTAAGGAGAAAACCGTTCTTTTAGAAGCTTTGATGATTGGAAGAAAAGGAACGTCCAGGGTAACTGGGTGAACACGTACGCCTGTTGATTGCTGGTCATTTCAGATGGCATGTTCTTGCCAAGCAGCTGAGTACTTTTGGGTTGACCTGCAGTACCGTTACTGCCATGTACTTCGTACCGTCCGAGGTTAGTAGATTGAGCCTGATTAGTGGCTGACTCAGAGAAAAATTTATTTCTTTCTCTCTCCTTATTTAATGTTAATACTGCTCCGATGCGCTTATCTGACTATGACTTAAACTATACATGACTTCAAATTTACAAAGTCTCTGCTATTGTTGCCCATGATCAAGTTTTTCTATGGGTATGTACTGTTCCTATGCAATTAGAGTAGCTTTGCAGGAAAAAATATTTGGGTTAACTTCGTATGGTATCACTGTTGTAGTCACAGCCATTAAATTCTTTGAAACAATCCTTTAATTATAACCTGTACTAAAGCGGAAAATCAAAGGACTAGCAATGCCTAGGTTACGTGAGTCATGGTTATTATTAATCTAGTAGGGCCTTTTGACCCTCCAAAAGACCGGGCGATTGACTGTGTTTTGCCTCCTCTTGTACTTGCCAATCCGTTGCTTTGATTGAAGAAGATTGTACATTTTATTGAAACTCTTAGCCCTAACCACTATTGCTACTACGTGCTGAAAATGGTAGTCATAAAGTGTCACCATTTTGCTTTTTGGATATGCGAAATACTTAACTAGTAGTTTATGTTCATGTTATGCGCAAAAACATAATGATAAAATTTCACATTTTGGATCGTGCTTTGGCTCTAAGTTCTCTCCTCAGGATTTTCCCTGAAGCTGACTTTGGGACACTGCTTATGAATGTCACCCTCCGTATTCTTTTGAAAGGTGCCACCTGATAAGAGCAAAAACATACTCGATTTTATATGCTAAGGAGAAAATTAATGACAAAGGCTTATATATTAGTTCAAGATGAATCACCTATTAACAATCAGAAACAAGAAGATGGTCACTTGATTCAAGTGAAGAGACCTAACTTAACAAGGCTATATCATACCTGTTTGGCCATAAAATTTTGAACATCTTCTTCAGTAAGCGAACTGCTGGGCGAACGAACAACGTATGCAACTGGAACCTCACCAGCTTCAGCATCAGGATATCTGTAGTGTGGTAATGTCTTAACTCTCAATGATGTCTTTACAAGGAAGAACAACATATAGATATATTTCCCAGATTTAAATGATGCAAACAGTTAAAATTTCAGCTATAACTTACGGTATGACAACAGCATCCAATATTTCAGGGTGAGATAGAAGTAGTCCTTCAAGCTCTGCTGGTGCAACCTGGTGAGCATTTATGAAGCAAATGAGCATGCTTTAGTTTAAAAGGAAAGCCATTAAATCATGCACATTAACTTTGGAACCATCAGAAAGGGATATAAATAATTAAAAACCAGAACACTGCAGCTACCAAAATTCAATGCAACACACACACACACACACACACACACAGATATATATATATATATATAGAGAGAGAGAGAGATTGCAAACGTGGGAACCTCAGTCATTATTTAAGTTTTGAACGTTAAGACATACTGAATGAGCAATAATTGTTAAATTTTTGGACAGGCATTCAACTTAAAATCAATCAGCAATAGATGAAGAGGCTCTTGTAATATTTATGTGGTCATGATGCTCAAACTTAACTGATGTAAGATTTCTATTATTAACACTTTGATATTACCATCGATTGATGATTTACAAATATCAGAGAGGAGATGCCATCTCTGTAGATCAACAACATTATCAATATAGTAAAACATAATCAGCAAAAGATGGAAGCTCCTAGTTGAATAGTATGAAAGCATATGCCAAAGATAACAGGTAACAATTATGTGAATCAGTTGTATTCTAGGAAATACTGCTGAGGAAAATATATTAAGTAGGGAAAACCATAAACAAAATGCTCATCAGTTATTTTTCTACTACATATTCTATTAAAATTGTTCCCAAAGAAATAAATGATGATATAGCCAATTCTTGCATGTACAAGCGATTATGTATATCTTTGTCCCTTTTGACGTGTATATTCATGAAGATTGAGGAATCTTTCTTTTCACCAAACCTTTATTTGATAGAAAATGCAAATTAGCCATATTAACTATATAAAGAAATGCAATAAAATAAGTTACCTGGAAACCTTTGTACTTGATCAACTCCTTAATTCTGTCAACAACATAGAGATTCCCATCCTCATCAAAGTATCCAAGATCTCCTGTATGTACCCAACCCTTTCCATCTATTGTCAATTTGGTTGCTTGTGGATTGTTGAAGTAACCTGAAAATGGTTATAGAAATTGCAGTGTCAGAGAAAATAGCAGAAGATGCCAAGAGGTTGCAATATAACATACACCTGGAGATAAATGACCAAATATTATTTAACACTTGTGCCTAGCTGATTAACTGTTTGCACATTACATATAATTTGACTATATAGCTAAGCTCTAGGCTTTCTTATCAGTTTAAGCAGAGAAGCATCAGGGGGACCATAGGGATCAAATTTTGCAGAAAATCAAATTCAGTATCTGCTGAAATTAAACGACTCAAAAGGGCAACTTTTTAGAGTAATTTAGAAGTCATACCAAGAATTTGACAAGATTAAAAGCTATTAGCACTGTTATTCATACCAAAGAATCAATCTTCTTTCATTTCCTCGGGAAAAAACAAGTAAACAATATTACCTTGCATCATATTAGGCCCTCGAACCCATATTTCCCCTACTTGATTAGGAGGAAGAGGCTTTAGACTCTCTGTACTGATTATTTGGGCTTCAATGCTTGAAGCAAGCATTCCAGTTGAACCAGTATGTGGGGCACCAACTGTAGGATTCTCCAATGAGACAATGCCACAAGTTTCTGTCATTCCGTAGCCCTGAAACCCCAGAAAGCTCAATGATGAGAAGGCAGCTTCTCTACTTCAAGCTATTCTTAACATTCAAAATGCATGAATTGGAACAACTTCCAAATTTCTTATCCGAGCAATATGGAAGGTCAACATTTGCATACCCTTTTACAAGTACAACCCTACTTTACATATGGATGACCTGCAACATCAAGGAGTGATGTTCAGCATTTATTGCTTCCCATGAGAATATTGCCTAAAAATCAATTTGGATTGGTGACAACAATGATTAATACAATTCGGATATTTGCTGCAATTTTTAGTACTTATATAGGACCAAGTCAGCAGGCAATCTAGTTTTCTTTTCCTTCTGCCTCCTGATCAAAATTAAACTTTTCAATATAACTTGTGAACTAGTCAAAATTATTTCCTCTTTAAATCAATAATTGACAGCTAAAATACCTGCATAACCACAGTCTGAGGGAAATTCTTTGCGCACTCCTCCATCAACTCCTTCCCCAGAGGTGCAGCACCAGAACCAATTTGCCTCAATGAGGAAAGATCAAACTTCTTAACCACACTCTGCTTAGCCATTGCAAGCACAATTGGAGGCACAACCAACAAATGTGTTGCTCTATACTTCTCCGCATTCCTCAAAAACATCCCTAAATCAAAATTTGCCATTGACACCAAAGTATTTCCCTTCTGCAGCTGCGCGTATACGATAATTGCCAATCCAAACACGTGAAACATTGGCAAAACACACAAGAAAACCCGGTGTATACCGCCAGCAAGTTCCTGATCCATGGTCACCATCAAACTCGCTGCAATGAAATTCCTATGTGTCAAAATAACACCCTTACTGAACCCTGTCGTGCCTGAAGAGTATAAAAGCGCTGCTGTATCAGTCTGCTTAACTGAAACCGCGGGAAATTCTGTTACATGCCCTGCTAAATCGAGAATATAATGAAAAGATAGGATATTTGGGATATTTTTTACATCAGATGGTTGTTGGTTCCGTTTAGAACCAAGCAAGATTACAGGGAGCTTGAAATCTTCAACTTTGTCAAGCAGTTCAGGGACAGTGACAAGAAGCTTCGGATTGGAATCTTTGATTTGTTTTGAGAGTTCATTGACAGTATAAATGGGGTTGGCAGTCGTAGCAATGGCGCCAATGGCGGTTACAGCAAAGAAACATAGGGGGAACTGGATAGAATTGCGTGCAAAGATCAAGACTCGGTCTTTTTTGTTGATACCCAGATTGAGAAAAGCATGGGAGAGCTTGATGACAGTGGATTTGAACTGAGAGAAAGAAAGTGTTTCATCAGAATCAGCATCAATAAGGGCTGGTTTGTCAGGGTAAGAAGAGACGTTTCTGAATAGAAATGAAACCATGGAAAGATTTGGTTCCTTGGGAAGAACTAGAGGTGGCCTTAAAGACCTGTAAATCCCATCTCTTCCATAGCCAGATTTCTCCATCAAAGCTTTTCTTTTCCTTTTGATGCTTCCTTGAGATTGTGAAAAATGGAAGCTTGGAATAGTTACTTTCATATACAAAGATGGACACATCATATCATTAATTTATTATTTCTATTACTATTATATGAAAGATTAGGTTGAAGAAGCGACTGCCAAGTCAGGGCAAGAGGACAAAAAATGATGGCGATGCCAAGATATCAGGACTAACTCCGACCAAGAAAAAAAACATGCGGAAAGCCCGAAGGTTTATTTGCATTGTCTGGCCTAAGATGATAGTGGAAATTGCGATGCACTTTCCATCCCACTATTTTTATTTAAAAAATTTATTTCTTTATGAAAAATTTGGGGAACCCGCATGCCCAATGGTCTTTTGCTTGTATCGTAGGCTTAGCTTATCCAGAACCTGCAAGGTGAATACGCCGATTTGTTTACAACTCCTTTAGAAATATCATCCGAACGATGTTTTTCTCGCGTTTCAAATGCTTCATTCATTTCCTAACAAGTTATTAGATTTTTTTTTAATGATTTCGATATCTACAAGATTATTAATAGTATTTTCTTTCTTTTAAAATATTTATTATATATTAATTTTTACGAAATTTAAAAAATACATATTGATTTTAATATATTTATTATTAAAATTTAAAATTTATTATAAAATTAAAGTTTTATGATTTTTAATTTTAAAAAATAAAAAAATTATAAAAGACAATTTTAAAATATAAAATATAAAACTTTTATATATTAAAAAATTAAGAAATAATTTTAAAATATTTCATTCAAAACAAAAAAATAGTTTTTTTAAAAATTATTAATAAATTTCAAAATCTATTTCATCGTTCAACAGCTGTTTTTTTATTGGTATTGCGCGGCCCTTTAGTTGAATATTAGAGTAATATGGCCGATTGATAAATCCCTTATTAATTTGTTATGTATATTAAGAAAAAAATCTTGTAATTTAATAATTTTATATTAATAGTTTAAAATTTTGTAATATTAGTAAAATTATAGAAAAGTATTATGCAATTTGGATAAAAAATTTTAATATATTAAAAAATAAAAACATAACATAAAGTATCTTTCACATTAAAAAATTATTTTTATAATAAAAATAGAAAAAAAAAACGAAATTCTTTATTTTTCTTCAATTTATTTATTTCTAAAAAATGACACAAATATCTTTGACGGCAAACATGATATAGCATGATAGCAGCGCTGAATTCTTTATTTCAGACTTTTTTTTCTGACATCAATAAAAATAAATTATATTTTTCGTACATATTTTCTAGAAAGTTTTCTTTTTTTAATGTGTTGGATTATCCAAAATCTGTAAATCCCCCTTGCCAGGTTGCCTTGGCCACTGCTTCACTCTCACCGACTCTTAAAATTCCAAGGTAAAAAAGGTCTGTTTTTAATTCTTCATTGATGTCAAAAATGGCTTCGTTTTCGATCTCCACCGCCTTAACTCGACTCTCTCTGTTTCGTCTCACTAGAAAACCCTGCCCATCACCTTCTTCACTCTCATTTTCTTACATTTCAAAACCCCATAATCCAAAGGTTTTTTACTTTCATTGATAGTTGATCTATTCACTAAATGTGTAAACTCTAATACCCAATTCTCAAAACATCTTCTCTTCAGAAATCTAATCGAAAAGTTTGGATTTTTGTAGGATCGAACCCAGTTTAGGTTGTATTCAATGGCATCATCCGACTCAAAAGAATCAGCTGCCAATAACCCTGGCCTTCACACTACCCCTGATGAAGCCACCAAAGGCTACTTCATGCAGCAAACTGTAAGTTTTTCATCTTTGGATGTATGTTCTTAACTCTGAAGGAATTTATGTTAATGCATTTCTTTTGCTTTTTCTTGGGTTGCAGATGTTTCGAATTAAGGATCCAAAAGTCAGTCTTGATTTTTACTCTCGTGTATTGGGCATGTCGTAAGTTATATTTGACTTTCTGTCTCTTTTTTTTGTTTTTTAATTTGATGTAAAGTCTATTGGGTATTTGTTCTCATTTGTTTATATATTTTGATTAATTAGTTGTTTATTTATTGAGGAATTAAGTATTTTCTTCTTTTTTTTTGGGTGAAAATATCTGTGTTGGGAAATTTGATTGAATTAAAACTTTCATTTCTCGTGGCATTTTCGAATTGACTTTGCTATATGTGCTTTGGTTGCTCATGGAATCTATTAAAGCTTAATACAACTAACTTGTTGTCGCTTTTTTTTTTTCAGGTTGCTTAAGAGGGTGGATGTTACAGAATTGAAGTTTACCTTGTTCTTTTTGGGCTATGAGGTAAAATTCATATAATTATACTGCAATAAGTAATATTGGATTAGTATTTGCTCGCAGTGGCTTATTGTAGCATCTCTGTATTCAGTTCTTCGTTTTAGGTGTCACCGATTTGCTAAAAATAATGATGTTGATTCTAGATGCATATTTCCTTTGATGTAGGATGTTTCATCGGCTCCAAGTGACCCAGTTGATAAAACAGTTTGGACCTTTGGAAGGCCGGCTACAGTTGAACTAACACAGTGAGAATACATTATTACTATTATTTTTAAATTTAATCCTTCTTTTGTGTTTACAAAGTCACCATTCTTGTGCCCTAGTATGTTTTAAAAGTTTAATGCTTCGTACAGTAATTGGGGTACTGAAAGCGACCCTGAGTTCAAAGGATATCACAATGGGAATTCAGAACCTCGTGGCTTTGGTATGAGTAGATTTGCCTCATTTTGTGTATTGCTTCTAACTTTTTGGTTCACAAATCAGAGAATGAGACAATTTGATGGTATATGACATTCATTTGTTGTGCCTTGTTAAACCCCAAAATGCTTTTATTTACTGATAGGAAAAAGAAAACTTCATACTGTTGGTACTAAACTTCATTAAAATGCATTTTTTAGGTTCATCTCTTATGGGGACTGCCATCTGGTGTTGTAGTTATTCCAATAATGATTTTTAATTGTTAGGATTAACTGAATTTATTCACTCATGAACTTCTTATGGTATGTCAACCTTACATAGTGGGAAAAGGCTTAGTTTGGTGTTTGTTATTGTAATGTCTTATAATTTTCTTCTTCAAATAAGTGTTGTTTAAACATCACCATTTCTTTTCAATTAACCAACTAGCTTATCTTAACAACTATGCTGTAATTGACTAAACAGTTGCTGCTTCTAGGTGGATTCACTTCTACATTCAAGTTCATAGATGAAAAGCTTGTTTACTTTATATGTTCTAAAAGTGTGGATTTCTGTGTTTAAGGAGTTTTGGGATTTATAGGTGCTCACTGTTCTTTTTCCCTTTTCAGGGCATATTGGCATTACTGTGGATGATACAGTCAAGGCATGTGAGAGATTTGAACGCCTGGGAGTAGAGTTTGTCAAAAAACCAGATGATGGTAAGCCATCTCATTTAGATTATAGATTTTATTAAGAATAATATGATGTCTCAATTGATATTTTAATTTCCATTTAAGTTTTGGATGGGGAATTCGGGTATTGATAAATGGTAATTTGCTAGACAAATTGTGACATTGTCTTTTTAGGAAATTAATCAAATGTTAAGGGAACTTGTCGCATCAGCAAAACTTAGGTGGTTTGGAGCTTGAGGTTGGGTTGAGATTTTGAGTTTGAGCCATGGTGCCCACCACTTGGTCTCCAAAAGGAGTAAAACTAATGAGGGATGGGGAATTCTGGTATTGATAAATGGTAATTTGCTTAGACAAATTGTGACATTTGTCTTTGTAGGAAATTAATCTAATGTTAAGGGAACTTGTCACATCTGCAAAACTTAGGTGGTTCCTTGAGGTTGGGTTGAGATTTTGAGTTTTAGCCATAGTGCCCACCACTTGGTTTCCAAAAGGAGTAAAACTAATGAGGGATGGTAATTTAGGTCTAAAATGATAAGGAAATGTTCAAATGATGTGATAACAGGGCAATTAGAAAAAGTAAAAATGCAAAAACAGTTTTGCATATTTTTGTTCATCTCACACATGCGTGGATGTACTTGGTTATGGTGTATATATTTGTATGAATCACCATATATAGTCCAGCATTATGCCAAGGATCAATTCTTTATTCACCTATATCGAGGAGCATTCTTTACATACTAGGAAGCAGTTATTTTTTACTCAACTTAAAAGTATGATTACTCACTCCCACATTGTGATTTCTTTGATAGCCAGTGCCCCTGTAGAAGTGCTAGTGCTGCAGAAATACTAGGAATATGTTTCCTCATGTGCCTTCATATATTCAAAGTTTACTTGAATGAGATTCCTGAATTAGTAGCAAACTTGTTTTTGGTTTCATGAAGTAAAAACACTCTCAGCATTATCAGGTTCAATTGTGAGCAAATACTAACTTGTACTTACAAGGCATGAATGAGAAAAGACAAAGCCTCTGAACTGTTAGCTTTCAGGTTTTACCCTTTTTTTTTTTGTGTGGTTCAAAGGAGGGTATAACCCTTACAAGGGGAAAGGGGGAGGAGATCCTTATTCGAAACCAAAATCTTTACATCCTCATAAAGCCTCCTTAGCCATTAGACCAAGAGGTGCAGCACCAGGTTTACCTTTTTAAAATGCTTTTATTCATGCCTAATCTATCAATCTGATTTGCAGGCAAGTTGAAAGGGTTTGCATTCATTAAGGATCCTGATGGTTACTGGATCGAAATCTTTGATTTGAAAACTATTGGAGGAGTACTTAAGGATTTTGCCTGAGTTAGCGCATTACAAAGTTCAGGTAGCTTTTTGAGTTTTTATTTTGCTGATCTTATGTCGAAACAGATCCCCTTATGATTGAATTCATAATCTTTGTAATCTCAATGAAAACTATGGCTTTACTTTCTGTCAGCCACCTTCTTTGAAGGACTTTGTAACTTGTTCCCAGAGCCATACAATTGAGTGTCTGTGACAATATTTACATTTTACAAGTCTGGTAAAAGGAAAAATATTTCTAATTTTAAGTGGATAATTGTGTTTGGTGTGTCTGAATCCTTAGTATCAGATTGCAAGAACAACATTTCCATTGAGTCAAGATAGTTCTTTGATGTTGGAATATTTATTTCTGCAATCTGGAGGCATAGATTAACTTAAAGAGGGCTGTAGGGTCTTAACTAACGGAAAATAGAGTTGTCAAATGATTTTGATTGTTCAGCATGCGTGTTGTGGAAGTTTCATTGAACAAGGGCGTTTATTCATTGGAATAATAAAGGACCTCATATCTTGTTAGCTTTGAGAATGGCACATTCCTTTAATGATGTATGGTGTCCCTATTTGTCGTTTTCTAAAATAAGTTTTTGTTTTCTTTAAAGTCAGGATAACATAATATTACATGCTAAATCACCACAAAGTTTTTGCCAAAAAGCTGGCATGAATGGAAAATCATGAACGGAGTTCACCTTTTTGCAGTTACACGCACTCCTAAAACCTAAAACCTTTGTCAACAACTGAAAGAATTCTTTTTTTCGCCAATCTTGAAAAGATGAATGACTTGATATTTCTCGTCCACCACCTTTATCTCAGTGCTACTTATCCGTGTGTATCACACCAGGAAATCAACAGTCATGGCAATTCGCCTTATGATCCCCCTCTTGATCCCTTTATTGAACTTGAAATTTACAAACTTAAATAGAGGAAATGGAGGATGGTGCGTGGTATGAAGGGTAGTTGTTATTGCTTTTTTGTCTATTTAGATCATTGCAAATCAATCTGAATACAGTATTGGTGTTGATGCAGGAAATAAGGGTGGCATTTGCAGGTTTCACTCGTTATCCCGGTTTAAGAGTGTGCCCAATACATAATTTCTTCTGCTTTCCAGAACTTTTCGAGAGAGGAAGCCACCATGAAATTTTAATTTAAGCACATTGTGTTCGAGTCTCTGTATCTTCTGCTTGTCATTGTCAACTGTTTCAAACAGACTGCGGCAGATAATTTGTTGGTTTTCTGAAACTAAAGTGAACCTTTTAGACTATTATCTCGTTTTGTGTGAACTTTTCCACACATTATCGTAAAGCTTGGTCAATCTCTCGTGGCGTTTTAAAATATTTTGAACAAAATGACCATGGCAAGAACTCATGACACTGTTCATAAAGGTCAGTGCATGCCAAGTCAAGCATGAAGTAGATAGAGTCTTCAACGATTGAACCATAGATAATGGTTTTTGAAAACTTGATTCAGGGATTGGTTCTTCTGTTTCAAACATCATTTGCAATATCGAGGAAAATGGAATTCTATGGTACAATTTCGTTGAAATGCGAAGGGCCGAAGATTAATTAGTTCAGTTGTAAACATCAACCAAACTAATCATCCACACCCACACTTGGAAAGTTGTGGCTAATGGGCTTCCGGTGAAATTCAAGAGCTGTTTCAAAAGTGGTTGGTCATTTTGCATGCAATAAATTATTCCAGAATTCACTTTGATTTGCACTGGATTAACTTCTTTTTAACCTTAAGACAAGCTTAGTTGTTCAGCCATCCAAATTGGGATTTTGATTTTTTTTCTTTCCTTGGATATTATCATTGATAATGGTGCTAAGCTTCAATTTTTAAAACCCATTATTAGAAGTTAATTTCATGAAGTATATACATATTCATTTATTCATGTTTCGTTCTTTATTTTTTTTTTTAAAATTCTATATACTAGTTAAATTTATTGATTTAAAAGTCGAATAAAAAAAACAAAGATCATACATTAATTATTAAATCAAATGTTTAGATATGGTTCAATTCATCTGTAGTAGTTTGTATTTTTTTTTTTTTCTTTACATTGACAACGTATCATGTTTTCACTTGGTTTGAAAAAAAAGGGTACCACACTCTTTTGACCTTCACTAGAAAAGACAACCTAGAATTGCTTTCTGCACTGCTTTCAAACAATATATGTCTAAAGAAAACAAGTAGCTAGTAATACCAATTTATTAATAGCTGGCAAGTGGCACCTAGTTAATCTTACCCTATAAATCACGTATTCATAATATATGTAAGTTTCAGATTGGAACCGTTTTTATTTATTTATTTTATATATATCGGCCATACCACAAAACAAGGCTGGATCTCATGACACAGTGATGCAGCCTGACAGAGATCGTGTGATCATGCAATTTTGGAACCCTTTGGAGTGTTTTCCAATGGGGATTCCCTGTCAATCAATTACAATATCAAAATTTATAAGCTTCAACCTTTCTTGAATTCATACATTTCAATTTTCCATCCCAAATTCATCAAAAAAATGTAGAGATTAATTTTAAAAATGACAGTGAGAAAGACAGTGAAGCTCACATGAAGTTTTGATTATGGATTTGGATTAAACTGATCTTGCTGAGCAAATTGAAGTGGCAACTACCCAGAAATATAGGGAAAAAAACAATATACTAATTAGAAAGGAGATATATTAAACTCTTAGCCAGTGACAGCATCCACGCAAATAATTAATGTATTTTCCTATAATGGTTAGCTAGTATAATAATGTTGTCTGTCTCTACCTGAATGTTACTTCTTTTAATGAAGCTGTTACCATCCAAAAAAAGCTAACTTAGGTCATCGTATCTGCGAAACATTGATAACAAGAATGATTGTTAATGGCTTGCTTAATCATTGCATTTAATGATACATATGTATCCTAAATTGGAGAGCAGCAATAATCAAACTCATGTCCTGTATTGAATCCAGAAAACCAACCAAAAAAGTCTCCATATTTAGTTTTCAAATGGTGACTGATCAAACCAACTAATTCCAAACAAACATTTGAATTGTTTATTGCTATCACAATGAACACATATGCATAAAGTTGATGACCTTTTCGATTCTTTGAAATAGGCAGATCTATATATTATGTATAATTAAAGAGGATTCTGTTAGAAAAACTGGGATTATGTTTAACTGCAAGTCATTTCTAAAGCTTTGCCCCTCCATAAAATTCCAAAATCTCCACCGTCCTTTTGTTTTAAATTACATGGTTAACAAGTTTCCACCTTTGAATCTGACTTAGTTCATTAAAATAAGCTTATGGACCTTCAATATTCTTGACAAATAGTACCAGCAGAGAGCCTAGAAAGACCCTACTACCCTCCATTGGAGGACATAATAGTTTTGTTAGGGCTATAAATGCCTTTTCAGAAAGTTTTGGCATCCCATTAATCACTGGCCAATGTCTAGATATTCAGGAAGAAAGTGCAGTAAAATAAAAGGGAAATTTATTTTAAAAAAAGGAAAGTTACAGTGCATGCTTGGTTTATCTTGACATCAGGATTTTTGTTCTTGAATGATGATTACTTGTCTTGTTTTCATAAACATGGATTTCTGATTGGAGGTTGCAGTGAGTGAGGGTCCGTACAGCAATAACATCATCACATCCCAAAAAGAAATGCTCAAAATAAAAAGCTTTACCATGTACTGTCAAAAGAAGAAATGTTTCATTTCATCAGAACACAAAACCCCATAAACTGAAAGTCTTCATCTGAATCTATACACTATCAATCCATCCATCCAAAAACCTCCCTTTCCCTCCCTCACCCCACCCCCTCACCTTTGCCCCTTACCCCATCAAATCTTTCTGATTTTACATGCAGTCAGTCCATCAGTAGTAGTAATACATGACTTTCTCTTGTGTCTTGTTTTCATCAATGAAGTTGTTGTTGTTACAGCAATTATTACTGCTAGAGCTAATCAGTCGCTTAACATCTTCAAGATCATAATCTAATGGGCATTCTCCATAGTACCCACTTGGCTTCTCAGTCCATTGGTTAACATTTTCACCTCCACTATTGGTGCCATAATTTAACATGAATTTGTGATTATCTTCATACACATTAGAGGTACCCAAACCCTGAAAACTCATGTCTTCTTGCTTTATCTCTCTGCCATAGCTGATCTGGCTACAGCTACCATCAGAAGAACTGCAGCTTGGTTCACTCCCAAACATGAGAAAATTTTCTTTCACTGGAAAATACTGCATGTGACTCATCAAACTCTCTGGGGTTTGAATAAGAGAAGAATTGGTAGCCAAGGTAGTGTTGCCCTTGTTCAAAAGATCAGATTGAACCGATGACATGGGGTCAAAGGCTGTGAAAGATCCGGTTGGAGTGAAATAAGAAGTGCTGTCTTTGTACAGTGATGATAAAGATTGAGATGAAACAGGTTGAGTGTAATGAGAAGATGTGAATGGTGGTGGTGCTCTCTGGGATTGAGAAGTCATGACCATCAGCTTCTTCTTAAGCTTGGTGTTCCAGTAGTTCTTGATATCATTGTCAGTCCTGCCTGGTAACTGAGCAGCTATTATTGACCATCTGCAAATTGCATGTTAGAAAAGAAAACGTTATAAGAAGCAAAATAACCGGGCAACTCTTTCTTAACAGTTGTAAGTAGGTGATGATGTTGAATCTAAACTTGGCATGCATGCAGAAGAATTATCCGAAAATAGCAGATTCTTGATGTAAACGAGTTTCTGATATTTAAGTTTTTTCATAAAAAAAACCTAAAAAATGATTTCTTTCTCTTCTTTGTTACCCTTTTAGATAGAAAGGATATGAATGATACCCTTATAAATTTAGATTCTTTCCTTTTTAATTTTTCTTTACTTTGAAACCCTGAGCCAATAGGATGGGAGAGAGAGAAAGGGAATTCTCATAAAAAATGAAAAGTAGCTTAGGAATACCTGCTTCCAATGCTAGCAAACAGGCTGCAGATAATCCTATCTTCATCATCTGTGAATTCACCATGTTTAATGTTGGGCCTGAGATAGTTTAGCCATCTCAATCTGCAGCTCTTCCCACATCTTCTCAGACCTGATTCAAAGACAACAAAAATTAGCTAAAAAACTACTAGATAGAGAGAGAGAGAGAGAGAGAGAGAGAGAAAAAGGCATGATCTTCTTTTCTGATTATTATATCTTTATATTTACCAGCTTTCTGAGGGAGAGCAATCCAATTCCCACCAGTTCCATATTTCTCTATGTACTCCTTGAGCTTCGAGTCTTCATCGGGAGACCATGGCCCTTTCTTCACATTTGCCTTGTCGCAGCAAGGAGCCCTCCCCATCTCTTTTTCCCTCTCTCTTTTCCCCTCTTTCTTCCTTCTCTCTCTCTCCAACACAAGTCTTGTGATCTCTTAGATATCTCCTGACCTCTTTAAGAAACCAAGGGTCTCCCTTTCTAATAAACTTTGCGGGGGATGAATGATGTTGTGACTTGTGCGTGCTCCCTTTTAATAACCAAAAAAAACATTTTTACTAATTAGTAATTAATTTATTCAGGGGTACATTTTTTTAAGTCAAAAAGATATGCACGCTATATCAGTTTCTTAACTCCTATATGCTTAAAGCTAATCGAACTTTCCACCTCAAATTTTAGGTTCCCCACCAAGTGAAAGCTCTTTACTTTCTCTACCTTTATTTTTTTTCCTCAAAGGTATCCAAAGTCCATGTCAATCCATGAAATGATAACTACAGAACTCTAGAATTGAGACATTTTCCAAACCGCAGACTATTCTCCAGGTATATAAAAAATTATTACTACCATATATAGCTAACTGCCTCTGCTTAATTTAATGGTAGTCGTTTGGTTACCGAAAATAAACAATGAAGACATTTCGATTATTGGATTTATTAGCAGTAGATTATGTTAGTAAACTTGGACTACATACTCAATTCATAAAACATGAGTATTCCTTGAAACTAAACCAGATAAAGAATAGAAACTAGGAATTGGTTTGGTAAATTGCTGCAACATTTGTTTATCATAGTAACTTGTCTTTAGAGAATGTGGGGTTGTTGCCGTTTACTTTCTCTTAATTTGTTTTGTTATGCACAATTTATATGTTGCCAAGAGAGGACAAAAGAAACCCTGTTAACTTGTTGGAGATTTAGATACCATTACTTGAAGGATTGAGGTTCATATTGTACATGACAATTAACACAAAATTGAAACCCCATCTGTCAGATTCTTTGTCCTCAATTTCAGCTGATCAGGTGTTTCCGACCGACTCATCAATGCTACCTTTTGAAACTGTTGATGCATCATAGGCTATTGCCAATCTATAGGAAGTAAAAATAGGCAAACAATACTTATAGATTGTTTCTGATATATTTTAACATTTCCCAACTAGGGAGTCCTTTGTTGATAAGTGACACAAAGGGAATGGAGCCCTAAGCAGGGATCCCTTGGCCTTGGAAATGACCCTAGCTGCTGGATGTTGTAGGTCATAATAATATTCAACTTTGTTTCCTTTCCTGCTGTAATTAGACTTCCTAGGGGTTGATATAATACGAGAAAAGAAATAATAATCATGACAGTAAAAATTATGAGTCCTAAGAGGGATCTATAATTACAACAAAGCGTAAATAATTTGAGTGAAAAAAATTTTAAACACTGTGACAACATATCTATAAAAGGAAAATGTTAGCCGCATTAGCTAGTGGAAGTGATATTTATAGAAAGACTTTTTATATATTATTAAATTTAATGATAATAATGCATTTTAAATGAAAAACATTTTTCAATAATATGTATTTTAATTAATTTCAACCAATGTCTATAAAAAATTCACTGGATCCATTACAAAAAGAGAGCATGTATCCATTCCAACTACTTTGTTATACATCAATTAATAAATTAGTAATTAATGACAAGAAGGATTCAAAGTTCTAAACAAACAATATATTTATATGATAAGGTCCCATATACTAGGATTTCTTAATGAGCTTTTTTTTTTTTTTGGATAAATTATTTCTTAATGAGCTTGATTGTGTCACTGGGGACGTATGTTTTAATGCAATTTTGTATGGATAATCTGGCAAGATATAAATTAATGAATGAAAATAAGCTATACATATAATAATCGTGTATATCTGTATTATTTTTTGATAGCTTAATCGTGTGCTAATACAATATTTATATTTATATTTATATAATTTCTCTCATTTAGAAATATTATCATTCTAAGTAATAATTTGGCATATCTTTGTATATAATTAAATTTGTTTGCAGGTTTGCGAGATGTGACCAAACGTAGTTGAAGAAAGAAGATCAAGAAGGTAATTCTAATAAAATAAAAACTTTTAATTTGTTTAATAAAATTATTTGCTTTATATAAAGAGATAAAAACTTAGATAAAATTATTTAGGCGAAATTTGAATATATATATATATACATATGCTTTTAACATATATAAAAATATTGTTTTATTACTTTTGCTTTGTACTTTAATCTTTTTACAATATCATACTTTACTTGGTGCCTTCACACGATGATTTAATCATTTCCAGATCTTGCTTGTAAAAGGGTGTTATTACTTATAATTAATGAACACATCAAGACTCAATTTTATTAATTGAGATTTTAATTGAACTCAAATGATTTCTCTAAAAACGAACCTTTTAGCTTTCTCAAATATGGAAATATCAATTTAAAAGGTTTTTGGTTATAAAATTAATATTTCACTATCAAGCATAACAAACAAATGGTTAATTAAATAATCAAATCAAAATATGATTGGATCAAGTAAAAAAAACAAATAAGAAACTAAAAAAAACAAGTGTCGTCATCTGCATTGACTCTTGGACAAGAAGAGAGGGATCACTTGCATTTTCCTCCCCTTTCTCAACGGTTGGCAAACTAAGCAGGAAAATTTTGCATGCCTTACCGGCTTCATTATTAATAAATAATAATAATAATAATAATAATTGAATATTATATCATATTATATGAACTAATTAAGACTATGTTTATTTTCAAGTTTTTTGCACCCTTGCCCCCTTTGGTACTGCCTAATTTTCTAAGTGCTTCTCAGAGTTTAACATGAATTGATTGTTTTAATATTCCTTCAGTTATGTATACCTGCACACCATTTTCAGTAAGAGAGCCAATTCTTTTAGGATAAAATCGGGATTTAATGAGTCAAAATAAATCACACTTGATAAATTAACGTGAATCGTAATATTTGATATAAAATTGATTTTAAAATATATGTGTTACCTTTGTTGTATTAAAAGAATTTATTATGCTTCAAAAAATAATTTTTAAATTTCATGTTTTTGTATTTAAATGTTTGCATCACTTTTCAATTCTAATTTATAAAATTTTTTATGAGATAATATCATTAATTTAATAGAGAAAAACATATAATAACTTGCAAATTGACATAATTGTAACATTTCATATTTCCAATTAAATTTCATGTTATTGTCATTTCAAAACACACCTTGAAGAATATGATCAAAAAGTCCAAATCGGAAACTTTTAGAAAAATTGAGGTGCAAAAAATAAATGTGTGATAAAAGAGGGTCTTCCTTTTGAAAAACAAGAAAAAGAAAGGGAAAGAAACTTAGGAACAGTTAAGAGACGAAAGTCAAACGAAAGTCCTTTTGAAGGCTTCAAATGAAAATGTCTCCTCAAACTGGGATTCTTTCTGAGTGGACAAAAGACGAAACCCTTTTTCTCGCTAGCTGTCTCCGATGACATCATATGTTGCGTACGCCATGTTCCAAAGGCCAAAAAAAAACAAAAAACTATAGTAATTAAATTTATTTATTTTACTTACGAAAAAATAAAAATTAGAGCTCTTTTTTAAATTTTAATAAAAAAATTCATTTTCAAGATTCTTGCTTTTTATTGCTCGAAACGTGTCCGTTTCTGCCCTGACCTTCGTGTCCGCTTTTCGTCCTCTCTTCGGATTCTTTCTGTGGCCCCCACGTGCGGGTAGTTTCACTCGCGCGTGCTTCTCTCTCTGGCAGGTTTTTTTTTTGCCATATCAGACGTGGCCAAGAGATAAAGCGAGTACGAAAATTTTCGCACTCGGATGTAGACTGTGATAGAATGACATGGCGGGTTTTGTTGGCTGAGAAGTGGCTCAGATCAGACGGTGACCAATCAATCAATCAACTCATGTAATTGCACGCTTTTATTAATTCATCATTTAAAAAAAAAAGGATTTATCTTATTCATCTTTTTACTGAAAAAAAGTACTATATTTTATTTTATTTTTAATATATTTGGACATGGGCCTTTGATTCTGTCATTTCGTTCATCCTTGCAAGATCTATGCATTTGATTTGGTTTGGTAGGAAAGTTCGGTTTAAAAATGGTGTCAATTTCTAGCAGAACAGATAGAGGTTAGCCCTAGGAGTCGAACTCATTTGGCAGAAAATTTTGTAAGTAACTATCACATTCACATATCACCATCTTGAAAATTAATTAACAAAAAATAATTTCTTAAAAAAAATCAACTATACATATGAGTCTTAAATGTCAATAAAATAATTGTAAATGTAATATCATTTGGGCCAATTGGTTTAACCCAATCCACGTACAAAGATAAGCTTCATAACAATTAAAGATCTTAAATTTTAATTAAAAAATATTTAATACATTAACAATAAATTTTTTTATTTTTTAAACAAAATTAAAATAATAACATATATCGCAATTTTTTAAAATTATTTTTTTATTTTTTTTAAATAGAAGGCGTAACCATAAAAAACTCCTCTTAATTAAAAAAATAAAGAAAGAGCAACAATATATAGATAACTGTAACTTAATAACGGTAAATACTAGTATGTGAAATGAGGTATATTCTATTTCCTAACCAGCCAAAGAAAGGAAAAAGGAATATTCCGTTCCCTCAAATAAGCATAGTAATTATTGTATTAAATTCGTTTGTGACCTTTTTCAGTTTTTCTCTTCCACCCCCACACCTTTCCAACCAAAAGGATAAACAATATCATGAATTTCTCTTGGTTTTTAATTATTTTAGCAGACAAAAAGAAGGATCATGTGCAAAACTTGCAAGGGTTTGTTGTTCTTCATTTTGAGATTATTAATTGAGTTACACTAGACAAAAGCTGAACCCCCTCGGACTTTAGGTTGGTCTATAATCTTGCATGTGGAAATTTCAAGACATTTGGACAAATATGAGCCCAATTTATAGCCTAAAGTTTCTGGCAATCCCCTGAAATTTTGCGGATTGCAGGGTTTTTAGCCCATCACAATGTGGAATATCAGAGAACACCCTCGGTCCTCTAAAACAAGTTAGCCGCCCATTTTCAGCAAAGCTATAGTTGGTTCGAAGGCTTGGGAATTCTGGAATTGGTTGAGGTCCTTTCTTTGAAGTTACTCTCACATGACATGACTCATCCTTTGCCAAATCGCCAAGCGTACTTCATTTTGGTGATTAGCTCGAATTGAGTCGTCGTTTTACAGAACAACTGGATTAAAGTACAAGGTAGAGAATATAAAAAGAGTTTCAACACATCAATTCTCCTGGTTTAATACAGATCTTGCCCATAGAAATAACTCGATAGCAACAATGTACTGATTTACAGATACCCTGTTTGTAATACATTACACATAAGGTTGCTTTCCTTAAGTGTTAAATTCGGGTTCTGACACCAGTAATTGCAATCAAACCCAGAGGCGGCTCACTAGTCAGCATGATCACGAATTCTACATTAAGCAAGGAGAATGGGCAAGGCTAAAAGCTTGACTTATGACCTAACTTTTGCAAGTCGAGCTCTTATTTCTTCTAGTTCTTCCTCATCATCAACTCCTTCGGCTATAGCTTCTTCCTGGAAAGTATAAAAAAAAGAAAAAAAGAAAAAGAAAAAAGAATTGAACTCTTCAGGTTCTAACGAGAAAAGATTAGCCCCAGGTACGTTACAAAGCATTTATCCCAAATATACCTCCTGTGGTGCTGCCTGAGCTGGCTGCTTCATCTTCTCCTTCCTGACTGCTTCTGGAAGCTGTGCAGCAGTCTCACCGGCAATTGCTGTCAAGACCTTGTCAACTTCTTCTTCTGTCTCCTCTTCTATATCCTCAGAGTCCAGTGCGTCGTCAAGAGCATCATTGACAAACTCCTCAATAACCCCTGCCTACAAATTAATGCAGAGAATAACTATCTGATGAGTACATTACACATCTTTTCAGATAGCAGGCATATCATCATTGTGTTAGAGATAGTAAGCTGACCACTAGTCCCAAATGTTTAAGCCATTAGAAAATCCCCTAACTTATATATTTAAGTTAGCAACAGAACCATATGTAACCAACAATGCTAGATGGAGAATAATAGTTCAGGCTGACACAAGTTACAGTTAAGGGCAACAAGATAAAAGCTCAGATATTAATCCCAATGAAAAGTTATACAACCAAAAGAAGGTGTTCTGCTCAAATGGAAGGTAATCATTTATCTATATTTTCCATGCTACTCAAGATCAAAACTAAGTAGTAAGGAAACCTTAGTCATCTCTTTGCTGAACTCTTGCATTGTGACAGCCACTTCTGGAGCCTTCATGAGGTTATTAACAAGCTTCATAACCTCAGCACTCTTGGACAAATGCCCAACTGTACGGGCAATCGCTGCAATGTTTTCAGAAATTCAAACAAATTAATGAGAATCAGTCTGGAGAAACAAGTAGTTGATCCAAAAATTAGAATACAGGGAGCAGATTAACCATTCCAAAAAAGGATTATTGGACACAACACTACTGTCAAGAATATAAAAGATATATTGATGAACACAAGTGACCACAATGATAATACCATTCCCTGTCATGATAAAGTCCATATAGGCTGAACAGAAATGTAAACTTAGATATGCAAAACATCATACCTACACTTTCCCCAAGGTGCATTGATATTGAATTCATTTGTGCCTTATTTTCATGTAGACGATTGACTGTCCTCCTTGATCTAACAATTTCTTTGGCAAGTGCCTGAAATAGACAAACGAAATGAAAATGAAAGGCAAAAATGAGTATTCCAACTTTTCAATTAACAACAAGAACCAAATGCAAGAGCCTACAACTCCACAAACGCGTTCGATTCATAACAGTATTCAATACAATTCAAGGATGAAAAGAATAAGTTTAATGTATGAATAATACTTGATAAATTTATGCAGTAATTTATGAATAATAATAATATATACACATGTTTAATGCAGTCAAGAATATGCAGCAAATTTAACATCCTCAAGTATTTCTTCTTGAATACTAGCAACCAAATTAACTTGAAAGTTCATCATCATCACCACAATCAAAAAGGCAAATATATATATATATATATATATCAAAAGAAATTTAAACAAATAAGCACCTTAGCAGAAACCATGTCATTTCTCTTGGCAGCATCCCTAATAGCTTTTTGTACGTTTCTCTCTTCTCTCTGAATATCTGAAGTAAGAATTCAATACCCAATTTAACAACTACCAAAATAAACCGTACCCATCATTCCAAATTCTCCAAATCCACCATCCATAAATACAACAAAAAAGAATTAAAAAAAAAAAGGAAAAAACTTGCCTCTGATTTGGCGCTCGATGTTGCGGCATTCCTGACGGAGCTTATGCTGCCAATCTCTTAATTGCTGTTGTGGATTTGGTTTTGGCTTTATCATATTCATCACCTTCTCCATTTTTTTCCCTTCGGACCAGATCGTTTGGTTCCAAATTAAAAACAAAAGTCTTTACTTTTGGGACAATTTTCACAGCAAAATTGCCCAAAAACAAATCCGTTTTTCTTCTGTTTTCTTCTGCTCTGCGTTCATTTAGATTGATATTTCATGACCAGGAAAGACCGTTAACCGGTCAATTATTCTCTTCCGTTCTTCTGATATTTATCTGAAGGTAGGCCCAATTGCTGCAAGGACAAAGTTGTCGGATCTTTGTTATATTTGGGCTCAAATGTAACTGAAGTTTTGGGCTGTTGTTAACGACTTAGAGGCAGTTCCTTCTCAGACTGCAGTGGATTATGACCGCTATCAGAGCACGAATATTGCAGGCCTTCCTGCAATTACTACTAAACCATTGAATGAGAGACTTTGTGATAGTTAGGGACTTTGATATTAATTGGTGATTGCTTACTTTTATAAGAGAATCTATCATCATGTAGAGCGGAGCTCAGAAAACACAAACCGACCTTAGCTCAGTTGGTAGAGCGGAGGACTGTAGTGGGTAAAATCCAACAGATAATCCTTAGGTCGCTGGTTCGAATCCGGCAGGTCGGATTTTTGTCTATTTCCTTTTTCTACCCCTACACATTGCCAAGTGCCAACGTCAAATGGTCAATTCCATATACTATACCCGATTTTTCCATGTCAGAAAACAGGTTCTGGATTTTATTTTTTTCATCAAAACATTTAGACAAAAACAATATATAGAGGAAAAAGTTCCAAAACTTTCTTTCAATTGCCATTTAGGATTTGCTTCATAAGAGTTGGGTGTTATTTTCTCCAATATGAGATGAGACTAGCAAATGCATGCATGCTTAAAATTTTTCACAGCGACCGCCTTTATAAATATCCATGTCATCACACTGTTTTTTACCACCAGAAGCAGAACCTGACCTTTTTTACCTATCAAGTAATACATCAACGGAATTGAAGTGAAGCAGCCAGCACTACAGGTACAAATATAGTGAAAGGACAAAGACAGAAGCCGTTGCTACTGGCACCTGAAAACAAAAGAAACCCGAAATTCAAAAACTAATCGGCTGCCAACAATGGGGTTGGGACCAGTTAACCGAGCAATGGTTCTGTTTGTTAATTTTAACTTTTAATGACACAGTATGTCGTGACCACTGACGCCAAACCTCCCCCCACACCACGATCCCTTCTTTAAGGCACTCTCTGTCTCTCTCTCCCTCCACTCTGACAACTTCTGATATATATATTTACCCTTTTTTCAATACATTTGCAGGACAATGCCCTTGTCCCCGTACCCAAAAGCTAAATTTTCAATCACATTTTTCCATTCAAGTTATATACTTTGCCATATTTTACAGGATTTGGGCATGTCAAAAAATGACTATTCAGGCTCTCTCTGCATGTATCGTAAAAAATGATTTTTATATTTTTAAATATTTATTTGATAAAAAATTAATTGATTAATAAAAAATAATTTATTTATTAATGAAAAATATGATTTTTAAAAAATATATTTTAAGAATTTGAAAAAAAGAAATTTTTTTGAAAAAAATTTTGTGTGAGTATAATTATTTATTAATATTTTTAAGCATAATTTTATTTATAAATAATATTATATTAATAAATAATATACTATTATATAATATATTAATAAAAATTAATAAATAATAGTATAATATTATAATATATTCATAAATAATATTATTATATATTAATAAATATTATTATAAATAAATATATAATAATATATTAATACTAATGAGTCATATATTAATAAATAATATATTATTAATAAATAATATAATAAATAATAAATTATTTTATTTTAAATATTTTTTTATTAACTTAATATTTTAATATTAAATAATTTTATTAAAATATAATTATTTTTTAATATTAATACTTTTAATAATAAATAATTTTAATATATTTTAATAATAAATAATTTTTAATATTTTAATATTATTTTAAAAAATAAATTTTACGAAACAATCGAAACCTAAAAAATTTAACCAAAACCAGTTGCAGCTAGTGATGGCAATGGGTCGGGGCGGGGCGGGTTTTTGCTCGCCCCGAACTCGATCCGATTTTAAATATAAATACTCGAACTCGACCCGACCTGACATTATATAAATTAAATCCGATCCGAAATTAATAAAAATATTATTTTAAATATAATATAAAATTAAATATATAAATTAATATATAATTAAATATAAATTTAAAAAATAATTAAAAAATAAATTTTTTATATATATCGAGTCGAAGAAAATCGAATTTTAATAAACCCGACCCCGACCCGAACCAAGTTGCAGCACCCGAGTTCCAAGAGACAGCTCAAAACTTGAACATGGATCCAATTTAAATCAAAAAGTAACATGTACAAAATTGATTTAAGCGAATGGTCAAATGGGTTGTCTTGTCTTTGTCTCTAAAAAAGTTTAGATTTCGTATACTGTTAATAAATTAAATAATATTATTTTTTTAATAAATAATTTTTTAAAAATTTATTAATTTTTATATATTTATTTTAAAAATTAATATTTAAAATATTTTCATCTTATTGATAATATATAAACTAAAAAAACAATTTGTTATCTTTCTCCGTATACAAAAGGTCATTTTTGTATATATCACTTACTATTGTATTTCCCGCAAAAATCTCAAAGAAACAAAAAATTCCGTGTTTTATGTGGGACCACCGGCTCACTGTCTATAAAATTCCATCTCCTCTGATTAGTAACGCCGGCGATCCAAGAGACCATCCCAGCTGTCCTCCATTGTAATCCTCATGCACTTGCAGCCACGATGGGAAGAACACCTCCTTACAGCTCGCCAGTGGCAACCCATTACTAACTCATCCGACGTGTTCTCTTCCTATTGGCTCGAAACCTTTGACCTCTTGTACGATCGGTCTAGTTTATGATAAAGCGAGTCGAGAACCTGCCATGTGGCATCCCCTTCTTGCATACGATCATTGAACAGTAGGGCCCGCGTGACTGTCGGGTCCCACAAGCTCCTTTGGATGGTAGACAAATTGGTCTTCGCAACGTGTTCCAGAATCCTCCTCAACTTCCCAACGTCCCTTTCCGCCACCGTGAGGGAAATCTCTGGCCACTTCACGGCGGAGGGAAAAGGCAACCGGATACCGTCTGCTATAATCACCGGGACGCAGCCCAAAGCCACAGACTCAACAAGCCTGGGGCTCCAAGGGGCCCACCCCAGTGGACACAAACAAAAAACCGACCGTACAATTTCTGTCTGGTAACCAGCAAATCTATGTCTTTGCAAGTAAAACCTCCGGTCTCCGTTATATCTCCGCCAAATTTCCGTCCTCACCCTCCTGTTACCAAAAACAAAACAACACTCAACATGGATAAACACGTATTTTTCCAAACAATGATTCAAGCCAACATTAAAAATGATTGAGACTTTGATTTTGGTACTTGCTTGCTGTAAAATTTTCCGCTAATGTTTTTTGGGTGGACCTCCATTTTTCCCCTGAAATAGACCATGATGTCTCGGTTACCGGTCAACGGAGCTTTCTCGAGGGTCTTCCGAACGCTTTCCGGCGGGATATAGGGCGGTATAAGAACATTTTCAACGTCCTGACAAGGGTGCTTGTAATTAACCCCGAAAGTTTGTAATATTATCGAGTTCTTCAAAAACTCTGGAATCCCATCATCAATAGCTAAATCCTCCTTCAGAGGGAAAAACAGAAATTAAAAACCAGATTAAGGGTTCTTAAAAAGACTTTTTTTTTGAGAAATTATTTTTGCTTACCATGGCGTGGAAGCAGGCTCCGTAATCATGAGAGGCAATGAATATGTGGTCGGAACCTAAGGAACGGTTCCAGAAAGGGTAGTTTGCGGAGATGAGTTGAATAGCGGAAGATATAAGAGAGCGAGCGTGGCCAATGGCAGGGAACCCATTAACGGTGCTGAAGTTGCAGGAGACATAAACAGGGACAAAAAAGAAATCAGCTTCGTTAGGGTCAAATGTTCTCAAGTCGTAGGTGCTCATCAACGCTTTGTGAATGGCCACCTCCGAAGCAAACAAGTGGTTGCTGCATCGCTTGTTGGAAAGCCAGTCTTCGTTGTATTCTGATGGTAACTCGTAGATGTATATCTTCAAGTCTTTGAATGAAGCTGTCAAAGAAAAAAAAATTAAAAACATTGCTGTTCAGAAGAAAAAAATGGAAAAGCTTAGTGAAAGAAGAAGAAGAAGAAGAACCTGGATTTTTGGTTTTTAATTTGTGACTAGTTTTGTTGACAGAATCAAACAGGACACGAGAAGCTAGGGAAGATTTGGAACCAGAAACATGGGCTTTTGATAAAGGGATTGGCTTGTTAGTTATGAAGAAAGAGGTGAGTAAATAGAGGGTAAAAGAAAACCAAAGAACCCATTTGTAATATTTAAAAAATAAGCTTTTTTCAAGTTGTCTGCCTTTGTGTAATATCCTCATCCTAACAAGAGAACCTTCTGTTTTTCTTGGTGGGTTTTTGCAGTTCTGGAGCCATCTCATTTAAAAATAAAAAACAAGCCACCAGGAAACACACAGAAGAAACAAGGAGCCCTAACACGAGATTTTTTCCCGGAGGAAGATCGAAGGGCTTTCAGTTGGGTTGGGGCTTTCAGTTTCTGGTTTTGATGATGAACGGGAAGATAAAATACAGTGACTTAAAGATAGATTACACGTTGGTTAATTAAACAAAATTTCTTTGAAAAAATGTATCAACTTTGCTTACCTCATCACATTCATGAATGAAAATTTTTAATTAGAAAAAATTTGTTTAATTTTGATGGGTTTAATGACATGAATGCCCTTGGTGAACAACTACTGAGGTGACATGTTGGGAGTAGTTTTTGGTAAAATGAAATGATAGCGTCGTGTTAACCGATAAGCAAGTGGTAAGCATTGGATTATTGGATTAATGAAGGTGACAAGATAACAAGCCTCTGACTGCTTGGTTTTTAATGAGGTGGTACTTGCTAATTAAGATAAGGTGGCCCTTGTGGTTTGGTTAGGTTTTGATCAACGGTTGAATCTTCTGGTTTAATTAAGGTAGGTTGTTTATGTTTTAAATACATATAAGATAATTTCATTCCGCCCATAAGAACAAATTATTTATTTTCAAAATCCGAACATGAGATTTGTTAATTACAAAAATTAGTTTCTAATGTTTTGAATATTTGAATATGTAAAAATATAAATGAATAATTCATTTATACAATAAACTCAATTTTTTATTTAATTGATACATATATCATCTTAAAAGGTGATATTTAATAATTTTAAAAAATTAATTTTAATTCTTATAATCTTTTTTTTTCTATATTCAGGCTATGATTTTAAGTAAGCTTATTTACTAGGATGAGTAGATAAATAAATTAATGGACAATTTTAAAGGCTGAAGAGCACCATCAAATGTGCAAAAAATCCTACCTGTTTGTCATTATGGTAACCTTAACCCAACAAGCAGGTAGACAATGATTCAGTTACGCTTGCCGATGCAAGAGAACCCCGAGCACTACTCAATTAGGCGTGAATTACACTAACCCGAACTTTCAAATTACTCAATCTTGAGCTTCAACGGTTATAAATGAGACCAGAATTTATGACATCTTACCTACTATATATAGTGCTTGAAGATAAGTCCTTACCGGTTGTTAATATAACACTGCATCATGCTATAATAGTTGGATATAGAATTCAGCAAGATGCCACCGGTTAAAGTTGAAATATTCATTGTTTTCTTCTCCTACTCATTTAACAAATGCTAATTAATCTGATAATTGCATAACTAACCTATGGTTTGACTAAAATATATGTTAGATTAAGAAGTTACAGTTGGGGGATTGGTCCCTTTCGATTCGAGGTTTAGATGCCATAAGAAAAGAATAATTTGTTGACTTTGAACAGAACAATCTAGAAAGAGTGCATTGAAAAATGAAATGCATGGGCATTAGGCACACACAATGACACAAATCATCAACAACCAAATGCTCTTCCGCAAAAAGAATGAGTAGGACTTTGATTGTTTGTCGTTTTTGAAGAGTCTCGTTGAGGACGGCAAGGAGATGAGAAGGAAGCAAAATAAACGGAGGACTAGAAAGTTGGGCCTCTATCCTGATTTAAACATGAAACAGCAACAGCTTTAATGGTCTTGCTCGAGTTTTTTTTTTTTATCTGACTTGGATTAATGATGAACAGATGAAGTTACTTGCTAATTGATTATTGGAGTGTCGAAAGCACTTTGCCTAATCCACACCATGGTTGGCCTTCGGGTGCGTTTCTCATACGTTATCTTGCCATCTTGTATTTTTAAACTTGTCAACAAAGGTCGATTTAGTGGCACACGTGTTGTCTCTTTTTCACTTGTTGGCAAAGCAATGGCCAATGACCAAACTCCAAATTGACAGCCGCCTTTCTGACTTTCCATCTTAGTTGGTTGGACAATAGATTCGTTTCATTTCATCACCATTTGCGTAATTATGAGCTTTTTGGGGGAGTTTTAGTCATAGGCATCATTATCATTGTGGTGGTCTTGACAATTATGCTCCTACAAATTTCTTATTTGCTTTTAAAATAGATAAAGAAGGCTTTTTCTCCTTAAAATAATTTGCATTTTGTTTGGTTTCTGATCAAAGATTTGAAAGAATGGAACTTTTGAAGGTAAACTGGCTAGTAGTAACCCCCATCACTTTTATATCCTTCCTCCCATGGCAGAGGAAAAAAGAATGAAAAAGGTGACTCTAATTAATGGGTCAAGCGCAGATAACTAGAAATTTGACATGAAAAGTTTACATAATCGTGTTCATTAGACAGATTCTTTCTGTTTCTTGTATGCAATTTCTACTTTTCTAGTAATTCTAGCTCTAGGTACCAAAATATCAGGTCCTTGGAACGAACCTTTTTCCTGGAAAAATCTATAAGCATTATATTCATGTTTCCATGTGCTCAAGGGAGGGAACAGTGAAGGCTTGAAAAATTTATTGTAACAAGGAACATATTATTGATCCTGCCCTAATTAAATCTCTTGCTTGACATGTCAAACTACTATTTGGGGCACTCATTAATTGGGAAAGGATCCTCTCCTAATCGTAGTTGGTAATGTGGATGATAAACCAAGAAACTTTTAGTACTATTATATTAGGTGGGATGAAGAAATTGGAGGGTTATTACAATTTCCCATCTTTCTTGGGTCTTGTATCAGAAAATATTGATATGGTTTTCCAAAATGTTAAAGATATAATGTTTCAGATTGATCTGTGCTCGATTCGTCATTCAACGACGCTTATCAACACATTAAATTGAGATTGTGGTGCTTTTCTTTTGTATGTCTGGCCTTTTTTGCTTCTGAACTTTGATGAATGAGTGTGATTGGGCCGTCGGCTAATCTGTTCTTTTTTAGAAACCCAAAAGGTTATAACCTTGAAGAAACGTCGGGAAAACAAACAAAGGTTACCCTTTTATGCACTATCATTAAACCCACGAATCCTTCTGAATGGGCTTAAATGAAATAAGGGGCTCTATTTTATGGACCGGTGTATGCTTGCCACAACTAATGGACCTCCTTCCTCTTCCTTATTGGAGATGCCAATAAATAATTAATAAATAGATATCCATTATTATTCTTTGATCTATTAATGTCAAATTTAGATAGTTATAAATAGATAATTAATAAATTTAGATAAAAAATTTATCATTTGTGATGAATTGAGATAGAATACTGATAATATCTTCTGAATATTCAATATGAAAATTTGTTTAAATTTTAATAAATAATAACATATATTTAAATTTATATCCGAATAAGTTATCCATTTATATATGTAAAATATATAAAATTTTATATTTGTGGAAGTTTTTTAACCTTAAAAGATAATGTTTATTTGTTATTAGTTAATAGTGAATTGAATTTTAAGTTAAATTCTTGCTTATTTTGCATTTTGATAAAAAATTTAAATAAACAAATATTTTAACGAATTTAGATATCAGAACAAATAGTATTTATTTAAATGGATTTGGATTTGAACAATGATATTAAAATTAAATAAATATTTAAATAGATTTAAATATTATAAATATTATAAATATTAATTAAATTCAAATATGAATACTTTAAAAATAATGGATATTCATTTCATTGCCATCCATATTACTTATGCGTGCATTGGACATGGATCTTCACAAGTAAGAAATGGATCAGCTAGTTAAGCCTTATGTTCATGATACCTGGAGAATGATCCCTATTTGTTTCAGGATTGTTCATGTTCCTCAAAGAACAATCTAACCATGTTTTGCAGCACTGCCATTACCCACCTTGATCACAACCTTAGCATAACCATTGCCCACCACAGTTGTGCTCCCCATATCTTACCCTCTACAGTATTGCAAAGTAAAAACGATGTGGATGGCCATTATAGTACATGTAATATGGAGTCATCATCACCATGCAAATGATAAGAGGCCGAGGCTGCGATTCAAGTGGCAAAATCTCTTGGTATCATCATAAAGGGGACATGCGTGTTGGAATGATTTCTAATGATGTTATGGTTGACCTCGATTTCTCCTTTCACACTTAGAAGCACCTTTTGGAACTTAGGAAGCAACATCAACGGATATTAGAAAACACCATATTAGTTAGTCTATTTGTGTTCTGTCAGAAGCCAAATTAGAAGCTGATGCACAATAATGTGCCCAAGGCAGAAACGTCTCAGACATATAAGAGACTTCCCTTTAGGATCCTGCGGGTTGGAAATGGCTTGTAAGCAAGACAACTTTTGTTTCCTTGTCATTCTTTTAGTTATACTTCGTCCCCAAGTTGAAAATGCCCAATCCTTAATAAGCATCATCTGTTAAACACAAATCCTTTTTTCATTATTCAAATCCACAGAAAATTTATACGTTTCTTAATCTTATCACCAAAATATTCCTTTTTCATTATAGAATTCACCCCCAAATCCCTTCTTCCATTGATGGGAATTGACATAAATGAATTAGAAAACGTTCCCTAGCATTAAGCTTGAATAAGGGAAAGTCTTGTAATTGGTGGAATTATTGATTGAGACATATACTCCAACAAGTCCAATAATTGTATATTCCTTTGCCTAGACAACTGTCCTTTAGCTTTCATGTGAATTTGCTCGTCTAATCTAAACCATTGTTTTTCAAATACGTCGGCCCCAATCCATGACATCGGTATCAATCTAGAAAGTGAACACAGCCAAATCTTTAAACTACCATTTTTTTTCATAATAGTGTACTAAATACTTGGTAAAAAAAAAAAACAGTATACAAGTCAAACAAAAAAGACCATGCTAACTAAACTCTCCTACCTAACTGTAGGAATTTAAAAAAAATGTTTTGAATTTGGTTTAATTAATTACAAAAAATCCGTTGAGCCTTTGAGATTTAAGCAAAACCAAACTAATTTTCCTTGCAAGAATGCTATTTTTGGACCTATTACAGGATGACTTTATCCTATATGACTTTTTATACAAATGAAAATTACTCTATGGTTTTATCTTTTAACAAAAAAATGCATCAGAATGAAGTAAATTCTCGTAAGAATAGGGCCACAGTCTGGAACCGAAACAAAGGCAAAGGAAACCTGTCATGTAAAAAGTTTCTACCCCCTTCAAATTTCTATAACGCGGCCTACCAAACATTAGTCGAATTAGTCTTTGTTGTCTTATTTACATCCCTTCTTGCGAACAACTCTTAAATAATCCTGGAAAGTTTAGTTCAACATATCCCCCGTTTCTTTTTCAGGAATTAGATTCATCATCTTCTTCTTCTCCTGTCCGATTTTTCTTGACCAACTGTCTTTACTCCATTTCCATAGCCTCAGCAAATAAGAGAAATTGAAAAGTATGGCTGAGGAAGCAATTGGCAGCATCTCGATCAGGAGAGGACTCAAAGGCAATGAATTGTTGCCTTTCGCGATACAGTTCCTAAGAGGACGATGGTTTGCACTTTTTGCTTCCTTCCTTATCATGGCAGGAGCTGGGGCAACATATTTATTTGGAACTTACTCCAAGCTGATCAAAGCTACTCTTGGTTATGATCAGACAACACTCAATCTCTTAGGCTTCTCCAAGGATCTTGGCGCTAATGTTGGGGTTCTCTCCGGCCTTATTGCTGAGGTAACACCGACTTGGTTTGTGCTCCTACTTGGGGCTGCACTCAACTTTGGAGGCTATTTCATGATATGGTTAGCTGTGACAGGAAAAATAGCCAAGCCAAAAGTTTGGCAAATGTGCATTTACATCTGTATAGGAGCCAATTCTCAGAATTTTGCAAATACAGGAGCTCTCGTCACCAGTGTCAAGAACTTCCCTGAAAGCAGGGGTTCTATGTTAGGTCTCTTGAAGGGCTATACTGGGCTAAGCGGAGCTATCATGACACAAATTTACTTGGCTGTATATGGAAATGATTCGAAATCTCTCATCCTTCTTATTGGATGGCTTCCGGCTGCAATTTCAGTCATATTTGTATACACAATTCGGATAATGAGACCTGTTAGGCACCCGAATGAGATTCGAGTCTTTCAACATTTCCTCTTCGCCTCAATTGTTCTAGCAGTTTTTCTCATGGCAATAACTTTAACTGAGAAACTGGTTTCTTTCTCAAAAGCAGAATACGCTGGCGCCACCACAGTGGTTTGTTTCCTCGTCTTTGCCCCTCTCTTTATTTCAATTAGAGAAGAATTACTCGTTTGGAACATCAAGAAACAGCCTATAAATCCTCCAACCGAGATAACATTTGAGAAGCCAAAACCCGAAGTAGTTGAATCAAAACAAGAAGCTTCGGAGTCCGGTTCTTCAAAACAGGCTGATGAAAAGGCAGAAAAGTCTTGTTTCCTTAGCATTTTTTATAGGCCTGAGAGAGGAGAGGACTACACAATTTTGCAAGCACTGACAAGCATTGACATGTTGATTCTGTTTCTTGCAACATTCTGTGGACTTGGATCAAGCTTAACAGCCGTAGACAACTTGGGGCAGATTGGTGAGTCGCTCGGCTATCCTAATAAGACAGTAAGTTCTTTTGTGTCCCTTGTTAGCATCTGGAATTACTTTGGGAGAGTCTTTTCTGGGTTTGTTTCCGAAAGCTTGATTGTAAAGTACAAGCATCCGCGGCCACTCATGATGACTATGGTCCTTCTACTTGCATGCATCGGCTACCTCTTGGTTGCCTTTCCAGTTCCGGGTTCACTCTACATAGCATCAATCATAATTGGATTCTCATTTGGTGCACAACTGCCATTACTTTTCGCCATCATTTCTGAGCTTTTTGGCCTAAAGTACTACTCTACATTGTTCAATTGTGGACAATTGGCTAGTCCTCTTGGGTCATACATATTCAATGTGAAGCTTACTGGGTTTCTGTACGATAGAGAGGCATTGAAGGATCTTGCACAGAAAGGTCTAACACGGTCCTCAGTGAAAGAATTGACTTGCATTGGCACTCATTGTTACAGGCTACCATTTATAATTTTGGCTTCTGTTACATTTTTTGGAGCCTTGAGCTCTCTAATTTTGGTGGTGAGAACCAGGAAATTCTACAAAAGCGATATATACAAGAAGTTCAGAGAAAATGCTGAGAATTTATGAGACAGAAATGGTCATTTGGCCTTGGAATCCGATAAAAGATAGGAGGTGAGATTTAACTAGGTTCACAATTGAGACGGGACCGATGACAAAGTAGCCAAGTGGGTTTGTTCCATATTTTCTTTTCCTTTGTTTTCCCCTTCCCTGACCCAGATTCCATGCTGTCAACTATTACCATTTTTATGTACAATTACTACCCATAATTTAAAGTTGCTTTTAGAACTTGCAAATTTGTCTGAGTAAGCAGAAAGCAGAGGAAATCAGGAAAGTGCTCAGTGGCCACTGCTCTTTAGACTTGTGATGGCATATATTTTGGTTTTATCGTTTGTTCATACACGCTCGCTAGCATTACATGACAAAAGAAGCATCACCCAACCCTTTTTCCCCAATTCAAAGTTTATTTTTCTCTTTCTTCTATGTAAGATTCTGTGATTCACGGGTGGGATTGTAAGTGGCAACTTGTGATATGGTGGGTTCGGAAACACGTTCCAATTTGTGTAGGATTTTTTCTTTTATCTTATTTTGGACAAAGTTAAAGATTATTCACATTGTCAGCCAACCCTGATCCTTGGACTACCCACTAACTTCACTTCTTATTACTCATCAATGATCCCCACGTAATTAATGAGACATTGTCTCAACCTCCTGTTCATCAACAAGACAACAATCATAGACAAAAACATAAATCTAAAATTGGAGAGAGATAAATGAAAAAAAGAATAAAAAGAAAAGAAAAACTTATAAACAAATAGCTAGAACATTCATTTTGCCCAAGCTCTTCAATCACATAGCCCATGTTAGGCCTTGTTCCAACTTGCAATGGATCATCTTACTTAATGGGTTTGGCCCTTGTCTAACCCCAAGCCGCAGCTTTCAAATTTCTGGCTTTTAGCCTAGAATTTGACCCAAGGTGAGCTCTTCTTACTGAACTATTACATCTTTCAAAGCGGTTACTTGCTTCTGGTTTTGGCGCTAATGGACGCACATAAAATGCAAAAGGGAGGGAATACCAGATAAAAAGAGAGAAAGATTACAGAGAAAGGAAGCTTTTTATCTTTTAGAGATAGAGAGAATCGGAGACAATGGATGTTGACGATCCGCTTGACTTCGAAATAGAAGACTCACTTCTTATTAACCCTGTTGTCCCCAAGAAAAGGTTTTCATTTTCTTTCTCTTCAATACAAGAAAATATTAACGGTTACCCATTTCTTAATTTCTTTTTTTTTTTCCAACCATTTTCACTTGTATATTCAGAAAGTTTTTATCTTTTACACTTTTTGTTGTATGATACCATTTGGGGATTTGGGTCGCTAGGGTTTTCGGTTTCTTTTTTTTCCCCTTATTTTCAGTTTGAATTTTACACTTATGAAGTTGATTGAGTGCCATCAGTTTGAACTTCCTTAAAGATAGTAGCTTGTTCAAAAATTTTAGGATTTTAATCGAGATTTTAGGACCTTTTTACTTTATTATGGTTTTGCTTTCCTATTTATGTTAAAATCACTTTCTTTTCGGAGGAGAATTGCTTAAAGCATTTCAAACAATTTGAGATTATTACTATGTTCATTTATTAGTAATTATGGAGTTCTATATGATTCTTTGTTATGATGTGTTCTGTGTGAATGGTATTTAGGAAAAAGCTTATTGGATTAGATGAGCTTTTGAGTGAACACTATAAGGAGCAAAGCAAACTTATTGAGAAGGAAGCCAAGAAACAGACAAAAGCTCAAAAAAGCTATGATTCTGATGAGGATAAAAATTGCAAAGAAGCTAAACTTTCGAGTCTTCTTGATGATTGCCAAGAACAGGCATAAAAATAACCTTTCCTATTTTTATTTGCTCTACTATGATGTTTTCTGTGTTTGTTCCTTTTAAACTTGACCGAAAGTACATGTACTCTTCTTTTATAGATGAGAGCAGTTGGCAGCCAGGAAGAGATATCCGAATGGGACTTATGTGTCTTTGGACAGCAGGTGCTCTCATGAATAACATTAATTTATCTTGCTTGACATTGTGTATGCCAACTACTGGGAAAACTTCTCCATGGGACCAGATTTTCAAATGACTGAATCTCTATTTTTGGTTTCTCTATGTAAATTACAGAAGACTACACCACCGTTATCCTTTCCTGAGCTTGGAAGTTGGTCAATTTTGCAGTCTTTCATGAATAATGAGCTCAACTCTCTGGTGGGGCTTGTTACAAAACAAGGTTCTTCACTTTCTTGTACTGGCTTTCTCATATATATATATATATATATATATATATATATATATATATATTTCCCCTTTTAATTTCAGATTGTAGATTTCATCTATTCTAGTTTCCTTCTGTTAAGCCACAAGCAATTTTCTCTTTATATCACTGACCTCTTTCATGTGTTCTTTCAGACTGCTCTTTCCTTGAAGGGTTATTGATAAATGGATGGCTCTTAAAACTGATCTTTAAATGCGGTTGTTTAGAAAAATCAATAGCTACATGGACCTTTCTCTTGAGTGAGTACATTCATTACTCCTGGCTTCACCTTCTTCATTTAACAGTCAATGATGGTAATTATGTATCTGTTGGTTTTACCAGTGTTATATTCATCAAAAGAAGAGTTGAGGTCATCTGCTTGTGAATTCTGGTGTGCCATTCTTTCATCAAAAATTCAGGTGAATTGGTATTTATCTTCAAGGACTGAAAACTAAATTTTGATATATGTTAAAATGAGCATGTTCTGCTGAATTTCGTCTTGGAATTAATTATTGTTTGTCTGCCATGATACTTATCCAGGATGGTGTGCCACCTGTTGAAATTGACTGGTACCCCAGCTATTCTGAACTAAAGGGTGCTCTTGAAATATATGGGTTTCTTTTCAATTTTTCGTCCAACATACCTGATAAAAACAGTAAGCTCTATCGACTCTTTGCCAGCTTCTAGTTCATTTCATTCAGCAAATAAATTTATTCATCTTTTATCTTCTTAGAATATGATAGGACATTTTCTACATAACAAATTAGGATGCATGGCATGTGGATACCAAGTTTAATGATGTAATTGGCAGAAAATTTGTTTTTGTAGTTTAACCATCATGAAAATGATATGACTTTTTTCAGTATAAGTATTGCTTTCTCAAATCTAATGCAACAGTTTATTTCAGGACATGATCTATTGCAACAATTGATTATAAATGATATAGCACTTTAGAGCTAACCTCTAATATGATATTTTTTGCCTTCTTTCCTGTTGTCACATTCAATGACTCAATTTTGAACTCTTGCCATCTTACTTTACGTATACTAATATGGTGTATTCAATGCTATAATCTTTAATATATTATCAAACATATTGTAGGTTCGGTTTTTAAAGGGCCACCTCAGAATATCATAACCTGGATCAAATTTACAGCTGTTTTTTGTCAAGTAAGGTATGTGAAAATGGAGTTCTAATCTCAAAGTGTGAGTACTTCTAATTTAGTGCTATATATGGACTTTTCTTGTGGTTGATCTGAATGCAGCTATTAGTGCTAAAAGGGCCCAATATGTGCTCTACAGAAATGTTGAATTGCTCCCGCATTTCTACCTCACTGTTTTTAGATTAACTGAATTTTGTGATATACGATTTGAAGATAGCCCCTTAGTGTTGTATTGTTGTTTGGGAAAGACCATCTATAGAAACCGAATGTGTATGGGCTTTCCTACAAGTTGGATGTTGCATGAATATTTTTAATATAATGTGTGATAATAGTTTCATGATGCTCTCACTACACTTTTGCCCTTGTTCACAAATATTGCTGATTCTGAAGTTCAGTATGACATTTTTTCTCTTTGCAGTTGTAAGCAGTTGTTCCTTTTGACTTCAGACCGTCAAGAACTGGCAGAAGTCATCATTTGTCTATTTTTAGATCGGCGACTTCAAGGTCTCTCTGTTCTTATGAGGAGCTGTATGCAATCAGTTATCAGTTCATTCACAGAAGAAGAATGGATAAACAGTTATTCTGAAATAGCAAAATCTCTTGCTTCAAGGTTATTACTCTTTAAAATAGTTTCTTAACCCAACCCCATCCAACCCAAACTGCCCAATCTATGCTTGAGTGCATACTATTAGTTACATTCTCTAACTTTCTTTTTACTGTTTTTTTTTTTCTACTTTCTTTCTTATGCTTGCCTGACGTGTATTCAGAGTTCCTATGGACTTGAACTGCTTGCGAGCAGTGCAATGCATTTCAGGAGTCGAAACTCGTAGCAAGCATCTCAAAAGTGCTGTTGCCTTCCAAATTCTAGTTAATTGTTTTGATAATAAGGTAGCCCTCTGCTTTTTACATTATATTCCCCTGGGTTTCTGTACTCTTAGACAACTATAGTTGCTTCCTTGTTAGTCTCTGATGGTAAGTTCTCATTTTCTTGCAAATTTCTTCCAACTCAAGATTACAGTTATAATAACATAGTGTTTTTCAGGAACTAATGCATGTGTTGATGCTAATTGTTCATGTGATGTCATAACAGTGGCATCCAAAATATAGTAATTGCAATGTATTATTTGTTTAAACCAAAAAGTTGATATTTGTGAGTTTGAATTTTGCATTTTATACACCATATATTAGTGTTGGAAATGTGTTTATAGCCTTACTGCTTGACTTTATCATCCTTCTCAGGTTACTGATGAAGAAGGAATCCTGAATTTGCTCATATCGATAAATGTGAAAGAGAAGGACTGTGATTTTTTCAAGATGTACCTCTATCTGGTTTTGACTGAAAATTGGCTTCGATATGATCAAATGTTGAGAGATAAGCCAGTAGTTCATGAAATATGGGGCCTTTTTCTTCGAAATTGTTCTTGCCAAATTAGCAGCACAGATTTGAGATCTCATGCATCAAAAGTATGAAACCCAGATTCTTCTTATCTAGCGCTGATTCGGGTTGTTTCCATCTATTAATTCCTTCCACCATGCAGGTTCGTAATAAAGCTGCATTTCTTCTACAAGGCGTTGGCAACAATTAATCAAATGTGAGTTCTAATCCATCCCCAATAAAGAATCTAGAGATGATTGATATGGAAAGTAACCAAAAGAAGTTAACCTGGCATAATTTGGGGTTTGAGGTAAAGCCATATTGTCTTTTACTTCTCTCTCTCTCCTTAACTATAATTGATGCTTGGACAAGAGAGTGTCAAACCGATTTGCTAGTTTTGACACCGTCTAGCATATTTTGGCATGCATCAAGGGTATTGTAGTATGTGTTAAATTTCAAAGCAGTGGACAAATTTCTGTCCTCATGATCGGAAAAACAAGGGGTTTATATTTGGTGTTTTTGTTTTGCTGCAAAATATTTCTCAAAGTTGTACTCTTTTCTGCTTCCAAATAAATTACTACTGGAACTGCTTCCCATAACTCTTCCCAACTTCATTTGATGGAATTTGATCTTTACAGGCAAGTCACAACACAAAAGCTGGTGCAAGTGTTGACAGGATCACCCAGATTCAAAAGCAGGATGTTTTGAAGAAATATTTTTGTTTATCTTGGAAATCTTGTTTTTTATATTCTGGGAATTAATCTTGTTTACTGGATATAATTATGTATATTTAAGTTTAACAATGACCCCAAGCTCATCTGCTTGGGGAATGTGGACTGTGAAGGATGATGCCTGAGATATGTAATTAGCTTATTCGTAGTTAATGTGTTAATCAAATGTTCTTCCCTTAGTTATTGGACTTCCTTCTCTTAAGGCAAGGAGAAGAATGGATCTTTTATTTATGTTTCTAACCTCCAATTACAAAACAAAAAATCAAAATCAAAATCACCCTGTTGAACTAAATTGCCAGAAAAGGGCAATTCTTAAGTAAAAAAGGTAAAAAAAAAAAAAAAAAGAAGAAAGAAAGTAAAAATAATGCAGAGAGAGTAGGCAGGCCAGGAACAAGGTTGGGAAATTTAAAATTATGTTCGGAAGCCACTAAACTACCTTTTTGGGCTTCTGGGGCTTTGCTTTGGGAAGCCGTTAGAGCTCCCAAACCTCCCATCTTTTCTTTCTTTACTTCGCCAGTTTGCCTTTGTTCCTTTGCTTTCTCTCCTTTTTTTAATCTCTTTAATCCCTCTTCAGTTCTTTCATTCAATGTTTTCCTTATTCTCTGGGAATCTAATCCTTGTTTCACAGATAAAGACCACTTAAGGAAAGATTTCAAATTTGCTTCTTTATTCTTCATTCTAAAGAACAAAGTAAGTTCTTTCTTTCACTATCTTCCCGCTTGTTCAAAATTTCCTCCTTTTTTTTTTTTTAACGTTAGTCTTCCTTGATCTATCTAGTTTTAATGGTTTTGGAGACAGTTTTCGCATAATGGGAAGCAAAAGAAAGGCAAAAAGTTCATCTTTTGGGAGCATAGTGAGGACGAGATTGTCTGACATCACCAATTCACAGTTACAACCCAAGCCTTCAAGCCAAGAGGAAAAGCCTCAATAGATTTCTCCTGCTGCTGAAGACTACATTAATCAGTTAATTAAGGTATTTTCTTACTTAGGTCTTTTTTATTTTATGTTATTTTAATAATTTCCGAATTTTTGTTTAACCTTGGCTTACTCTGTTATTTTTTTTCATTTATGGTTGTTTACATCTGAACCAGGAAAAGATGACACTGATGAAACTTATTGACGAGAGAAAGTATCCTTTTTTTTTTCAGGTTTCTAGCATTAAATGAATGGATAGAGACTTTTTTTTCCTAACATTTAACAGTAAGATTATCGAATTGAGTGGAACTGAGTTGCAGAATCTGAGAATTCGTTTGCAAAAATTACAGCTACAGAATTGCAACCTTGCACAATCAAACAGTCAGATGTTAGCGGTCTGTTGGCTCTGTTGATTTTGTCCAAGTATGATTCATTTCTGAAGTATTTAGTTATTATTAAAATTGATCGTTTTTTGCTGGTTTTTCAGGAGCTTAATTTAGGAAGAGATAGGGTAAGTTTGTTTGGAACTTTTTACTCTTCTATGAAAACTTAAAGAGTGTTTTGTTTCCTGGAGTTTTAAACCTATTTCAATTTGTATAATTTGGTGTCAATCTTTACAGGTGAAAGCTCTGCAGCATGAGCTTGTATGAAGGATGCTGTACTTAAAGCAAAGAACCTGGAAAAAGAGGTTAACATTAATCTTACTTTTCATTATTAGAATTAGAGAACAGCTGCATCCTTACTTGCAAGAACTGAACAACTTTACTGCAATTAGCTGCTTGTATTGATTGGTGTAATAATTTCACTTTCAATTTGTCTACAATAGATTAGGAAATTTTCAAGAAAAGATTTCACGTCTTGTATGTTAATTCTTGCACTTCAACTATTACGAGAGCAGGGAAAAACGGATATGGACTGTCAAAATACTGGCTCACATGGGGGAGAGCAGGCAGATGAGAAATGCATGCCTAAGGCTGATGATGATGACAAGCCTTGTACCCGCAACAGAAGACGTAATGCTAGAAGCCAATGTAATCTTTTAGATTCTTAGATGATTCGCTTGAATTTTTTATACTACATTTCATTTTTTATTTTTGTCTTTTATCTCCTCTAAATATTTTGTGAGCTATTTTGCAGCTATGGCCCCTTCAACGACAAGCCAAAGAGGTGGAGATAGAGAGAAGATTGAAAATAAAAGGTCAGCTAACACATCAAGCTAGTATATACAGATGTAATATTTTTCCCTTGACAGAAATTTAATCATCCCCACAGCTCTCACCTACCTACTTGATAGAACACGTCTGCTTTTCTACTTTGTAGGCGTTGTTTGAGAAGGCAATCTGCAAGGTTCAAATCCCAAGAACGAGAACCTACAGAGAATCTATTTGAGATTGATGATGTTAAATTTGCAGCCACTCAGCAACTTGATACTCCGATGCATGAAGATGGTCCAACTCCTTTGGGTCCATCCATTACAATTGTAGAAACTTATAACCCAAGAGCTGAAACAGAAATATTGAAAAGATCTTCACTCGGAAGACCATTACGTAAAGCAGTTGAGAAAGTGCAATCGTACAAAGAAGTTGCAGTTAATGTTAAAATGCGGAGAAAAGAGTGAACAACTATCAATTCCCCACACATTCCTAGAGACCGCTTCATGTTTCTAATTTCGTCCTGTAACCTATTTATCGTTGTTTGTAGAACTTACATTGATTTTTGTTCTTTCTTTTTGGGATGATTTTTAAAGTTGCTGTAAAAAGAAAAAAGTGTCATGTAGTATGTGAAAGACTGAAAGGGTTTGATGATTATGTAGCTTAGTGAACAAATCAGTTCAGAATATTGTTGGCTAAACGTCTAATCAGAATGAAATGCATGCATTTTGAGACTCAATGCTGCTTAAATGGAGTGTTAAATTAAAGCAATTTGATCCCTCACTACATTTAAAACACTGTGAGAATCCTTTAATGCTGCCATTTATTTTGACAGCTTCCTCCAAACAACTGGTTTTGTCCTATTTAACTGCTGACTGATTGTAAAAGAACAAGACAAAAAGCATGGAAAAAGAAAATCTTGCGTTCTCAAGTAAGATTTCCTCCTTTCCCTTAATTTCTTGGCCAGCTGGAACCAGTTGGGGGAACCCAATTTCTGATATGATGGAGCACTGAGGCGGATCCCTTGACTCAATTGTTTGTTTCTGAATGAACTGAATTTGGGGATTGATTTAACTTTGATGCTGTGTTCTTTTGTTGTTCTTGCACGTTTGAGAGAGATATGGTGATTGACGAAGTCGTCCGAGCATCCCAGACCCAGACAACTGTCTTTGACCTTTTCCATATTTATGGTTTGTAACTTATTAGCCCAGTTACAAAACATGGGCTTTGGATTTTTCAATGTCCAAAATTCTTTGATAAAACTAAAACTTGATAGAATAATAACAAAACCGTGTGGGACCACACCTTTTTGGACAATAAATATATAAATATATATGTAAATATTTTTCCTGCTTTTGGAGTATGATTCCCATCATATCTTACACACACCCCTTCCCCCCTTAATCTTTGATTAATGGACAAATCTGTCAATTGACAAGATCTCAACAGAAGATAAAGAAACTGGATTTTAAGTCACTCTCGTGAGCTTTAAGACATGATTCTGCCCCCATGTACAAACAACTACAAACAACTAGTATGCATTTTCATCACAAAATTGTTTAAAAAATAATAATTAAAATTTAGATTAATTAAAAGCTTCACATGCAATTTGCCAAGGAATATGGTAAAGCGACAAATTGGGCCATCGTTTTATCAGACTTTGAGACCCTAAAACCGCGTTTCTTCACGGCACCGTTTGGCTTTTTTTTTTTTTTTTCTTAAATAAAATAAAAAATGGAAAGTGATTTTATAATAAAATATACTGCCGTGAGGTCATCTTAAGTTTTAAATTCTTTCCTTAAAATTTCAATATGAATTTTTTACTATCCAATAATAAAAATTAATTTTTTACATTACATTAGCCATAATAATTACAACATAACATAAACTTGGGTTAGACAGAGGGCTTTTGCATAACGACCGCTTGGGATTCCAAAGAACCCAAAACAATTTATAATCTGATTTGAGATGGAATTGACGACCCACCTAAAGGGTTAATGGGACCCCACACGGCTTAATCAAAAGGGTTGGCAACCATGATTACCCCTTGGGACCCCACTTTGATCATCCTCTGCAAAACTCAAAACCCTCTCTTCATTTTGGGATTTTATTCCAAAACTTTCTTCTATGGGGGATTTTGTTGCAATCATATACTATCAAATTGATTTGATCTGCAAAAAATTTTATAGGTAATATGTTAAATCTTAGTTTTGGCCATCAGATCTTCAAAAATCAGTGACTTTCTAAAAATTTTCTATATTTTTGCAGGGAACAATATCTAGTGTCACATGCAAACAGCAACATAATCAGTACTTTGGTTCACTTCTAAATTACATGAATTTAGGGTTTTTTTTGTTATACAAAAGAATTTACACTCAAAAGTGTCAGTCAAAGGAATATAAGTAACCTTTTTGTTACTTGGATGATTAACAAAGTGATAGTCAAAGGAATAACGTACATATATTAACAAGTTGCTATAACTTTTCGTAGAATTGATTCCTTTAACCGTCCTAAAAGAATTTCGTTAACCCCTTTAAAAAAAAAAAAAAATTCAATCTACCAGCTTTACCTTTGATGAGTTCATTATAACTTTATATAGTCACCTTGATTCAGTGAAACGCAGGTTTTGTTTACTTACAACCACAAATGGTGGTGAAATCTCTTTCAAAATAGTTGGCCATGTCTTCATTGAAAAATTACTATTGTGAATTATGAAACTCAAATTTGGCCGACCAAATATCAATTTGATTGGATAAACCCATGTTTGTTTTGTTTCCATAATTTGGATTTAGGCAAGCAAATGGGGATGCCTTTGTAGCCTTGTTTAGGGTTCAAACTCATTTCTTAACCACTTCTTTCTTACCTTAGAATTGTGTTGTGTCTATGTTTCCAACCATATCATGGTTTAGGCACTACAACAAATACAATAATGTGGGGGCCATGGTGTAAAAAATGGGATATGGGTCCCTCCAAAATTGCTCATATTTTATTATATGTTGGAGCAAAATTTTTCTTGTACGAAAATATTGGGTTGTTATGTTGGTAAAGGTGATCCTATAATGATAAATCTTGTCTCCTCTTTGTATATTTGAGGATGACTGTTGTACATATACTGGAAGGAACAAGCAGAGGGGTCTAGGGTTTATACGAGGGATCTTTAGCATGTCTTTAAATTATTCGGTTTATTTAAATAATAATTACAATTATAATTATGACTATCATGATTATTACTATCTCATATCAATACACATGCCTTAGCCAAATGATATGGTGAAGGTATATTTGGGGGGTTTCATTTGCATCATGAATCATCACACAAGAAATAAGCACCATTTTCAACTCTACTTGATTTATATATCTTAAAGGCTAAGGTCATCATCGCAAACCCACTAAATATTGCTGAGGTTCGCATGAAATCAAATTAAAAAAAATCAATTATATCAATATATTGACAATGCATGTTTGAAGTTAAGGTTATATCCAATGAGTATTAAGCCAATGAAACACAATATGGTAATAATAATGCAGATATATAGTCAAAGAGCAAAAGTTGTGATTCCAGAAGCCAGAATATAAGTAAGAAATTATCTGAAAGAGCTATCATTCTCACACCCTGTCCAAGCCAAGCTGGGGCAAAAGGAAAAGAAGAGGGAGTGGGGATGAGGCAGGGCTGGGACGAGTGAATTGTGTTGGTCTGATGCTTAGGATTGCCGTTTCCTAGCTAGGGCAAGCCCACATATGCAGGTTGATATTGATAAAGTTAAGACATAATACAATAATGCCCATAGCTAATCACATACCTTAGATGGGACATAAAGGCAGGCAGCTCAGCGCCCATTTTATTCCCTCTCCCCTCCTATTTGGGGATTTTTTCACCATTCCTTTGTCCTAAAAACCACTCCATTACTAATAAAGCTAAACCCTTAATTTAACTACTTAATATGGTTAACCATTTTAAGGGTAGGTTGCATGATTTAGGACTCTGTAGCCTACATGTGTCACAGATTAAGAGAGGTTTTGTCATTAAGTGTAGAATTAATTAATTGATTAAGCTTGTTTTAATAGCAAAGGGTCTTGAATTAGTCAAATGGAAGCATTCCCCTTTCCTACAATGAGGACTTTATTGTTCAAAATGGGTCCATTAGCTTTCTAGGGTAAATGTTGGTGGGAAAGTTTGGTTACCAGCTCCCTTTTTGGACCAATGACACAATAAACCATTGACCCCAATACATGAACATGATTGAGAGACAAAGACACACAAAGAAAGATATCAGATTTTGAGATGGGAATTGTCTACATTGTAGGGTTCTAGATTGTAGTCTATTATCAAAAAGAAAAATTTACATGCAAACATTCTTTAAGTCAAAAATGAGTTCCATGGGTTGTAAAAATGAATAATGTGTTTGTTTTCATCATTTTTCGTATTCGTTTGTCAAAAAAAGCATGCTGATTTTTGTTTCCTAAATTGAACAAAAACAAATATTAAGACACATTTTCAATTAGATAGAAATGGTTTGGGATAAAATCAAACAAAATGCTTCCTTGTTGGACTACGTGGTACTAAAAGTTTTGAATCACATTATTGCACAAGTGATTATTCCACAAACTAACTCAAAGAGACAGGCCAAGAAATTATTCCACAAACAAAAGAGAATAACAAAAACAAGAGAATGGAGTTAGATTATTTATCAATGAAACGATATTCTTGCAGGTCAATAAAACAAAAATCGTCTCTAATTTCAGAGTGAAAGTTAATGGAGGCTCATAAAATTATATGCTACGGCTTTGTAATAATTTTTTTTGTTTATAAAAACTTATGATTGAAACTAATGTCTTGCTCAAGATTCTTGGCCATTTGCTATATGATTGGAAAAATATTCGTAACTAAAGGGCTATGGCATCTTAACTAATTGGAGTACGAAATCCAACTAGATTCAATAGCTTTGATCCTTGGTTGATTTTAATAGTGATTAAATCTTTAAAAGCATTAAACTTTTTATATTAAAATAAAATATAAAATAAGTTCGAAATTTAAATCTCAACATACAATTTTTTCTTTTATCTTTAGGCTGCGACATCTTTTGTTAAAAATAATTATCCTTATATAGAGTTTATTCATACCTTGTGTTCAACTATATAAACTATACAAAGGAAAAATCAAACTTCTGGTTTTCAAAATCTAATCAATGGAAATGAGAAAAATGGGAAAAGGACAACATGGTTTCAATTTACCCATCCATGGAAAATATTGCTAGCACTATCGATGTCTATGGAAAAAAAACATCTAGAAGAAAATTGGTAACAAATAATTATAAAATTTTTGGTTAATCATAGTGTTAATCAAAATCTAGAAGAATAATTTCGAAATTAATCATTGAACGACTTAAAGACTACTTTTGCTAATATTTCATACCATATGATAAAAAAAATAGAACTGATTTTACTCTGAAATTCTCAGCCACTTCAATTAATTGAAATGACATAATCTCATAAATATCTATATAAAAATTTATGTTCGAATACGTTCAGATTCTTCAGAGCTTCTTTTTTTTTTTTTTTTCCATGCAAGTGTATATCTCAAACTTTTTTTCCCCGGTAAGCAATAACAGAGAATCTCCCTTTGCATTCGAACTGATTTGTCAAATCAACAGGTCCAAAAGTAAAGATAAATAAACCAATGTAGATTTTGGATGTTGCTTTTTTACAGTTTTTTACGGTAACATATTGGAGTGAATTTTTCTTGCCACGTTCATCTAGGTGGCTAAATGAAGAAAAGCGGCACGCTCATGGCCAAAGGACCAGAGACCAGGAGGTGTGGTTAAAGTTAAAAGCCAACAGTAGTCGGTAAAAAACATAGAGAAGCGACTGCTTTTCTACTCCCGCTTTTGGCGCTGATATCTGATTTTTCACGCTAGTTGATGTTTGGTGCGTTGTTAAGAACAAGAACGTTCCGATGGACTGGACCGGACTGCGTACAAAAGACTGAGTAACAATGCAAAGGACGGCCAATTGGTAGGCTTTTGGCCTTTAGTGGCTTTGTCCAACCCCAGTTAGATAAAAAAAAAAAGCAACAGAAAAATGAAAATAGTAGTTGCTGTTGCTGTTGCTGTTGCTGGCCTTCTTATAAGACTCGGAAGAATCACTCATAAACCCCACCTTTGTTTATCCTCTCTTTATCTCTCTCATCCTCTTATTATTTTATTTCTCAAACTTGAACAGAAAAAAATCACTTTCAAGTTCAATTCAGTTTAGTTCTTTTGAGTGTTCCAAATTCTGAGAGAGCATGGATAGTCAGAGAGGTCCTCTTGTTAGCTGGGCTTACTTCTGTCAAGGAAAGGTAACACGCACATTTCTTGTTTCTTGGTGTACAGTTTAATTTAAATTGGTTTAGTTTGAACTTTTCTTTAACACGCACATTTCTTGTTTCTTGGTGTACAGTTTAATTTGAATTGGTTTAGTTTGAACTTTTCTTTCTCTTGATAATGAAAATGGGGCCTTTTTGCTTGCAGTTTTGGGCTAAATTGTTAATTGGGTGTTTTAATTATGCAGACAATGGAAGAGCTTAGGCATTCTCTTTTGTGTACTACTTTGGAGCTGGAACAGACAAGAGTGGCAGTTCAGGAGGAGCTGAGAAAGAGAGATGATCAATTAATTCAACTCAAAGAATTGCTGAGCAAGGCAATGAGAGAGAGAGATGAAGCACAGGAGAAATGTCAAAGACTTTTCCTTGAGAAACTCCTGCTTCACCAACAGCAACAGCGTGTCGCTCATCCTCTTTCTGGAGTTTCTAGCATCGAAGATGAACCCAGAAGAGGGATTGACTCCAACAATGGCTTCTCATCATCCGATTGTGAGGAAAGCATTGTTTCATCTCCTGTTCTTGATCCAATTCAACAAACCCAACTGCCAATAGCACCACCACCTCAACCGATGCCACAAGAAACCATAGAGATAGTGCCTGAAAAGCCCTTGCCTGAAAAGGGAAAGCTTTTACAGGCTGTGATGAAAGCCGGTCCACTCCTGCAAACCCTTCTTTTGGCTGGACCACTGCCTCAATGGAGACACCCACCACCACCACTTGAGTCCTTTGAGATCCCACCTGTGTCCATTCCTTCCCCATCACTACCACCACCTCCACAAGTCTTCCACCAAGACTCCTTGATCAGCATTAACGGTTGCAACATCCTAAACACCTGTGGTAAAGTTGACAGAAAAAGGGTTCTTTATGATGGCTCTGATTCTCCTACAGAGACCAAGTACCAAAGATTAGTTCTCCCTTGACTGCTACTACAACAAGAGTAGTCTACATAGTATTAATTCATAAAATTTACCATTTTTAAACTTATATTATAGAATGGTGAAAATCAGCCTATCAGGTTACGGTGACTGATCTAGCATATTTGTACAGAGGTTTGCTTTAGAGAAGCAACTACCCAACTTCCTAGTTAACTCTTCGGAGAGAGTCATAGAGAGCTTTTGTTTCTTGGCTTTTTGCCAATGTTTTTGGTGAAGATTTTTTGTCCTTATTTCCCCCCTTTTTCTTCAAATTTCTCCAAGTTTTTGCTCCAAGATGTGAAAGGGAGCTTTGATTTCTCCAAAATTGCTGTGGCATGATTAAATTAGCAGTACAACTTAGTTTTCTATAGTCTTACTAAGGTGTGTGACTTGTAAGGGTGGGAGAAGTGTGGACTGTTTGAGAATTGAGAGATTACATTAAAAATTAAAAAGATTTTTAAAGCAGAAATGAGTGTGGAGCAGTTGAAACGGGGAAGATGGGTATGGCCAACAACCAAGAAGGTCTAAGAGGCTTGCTTGTCGGATTAGTGGATCCCACAAATCAGAATCAGGATCTGCTACTGGTGTGATGTATGATTATATTACTCTTTTCTTTTTGGTGTGAGGGAAGTATGATTATTTATATATAAGTCTAATCTTACGTTTGTGGAAATCATTTTTTCCCTCTTCTCTATTTAATCCTAATATTCTAAAGCTTCTTTTTATCTATCTGCTCCCACTTAATTTGTTTATTTGTTATTTCAGCATAATAACTTTATCTCCCTAAACTAGAGCGAAAATAACGTTGGGCTTTCCTTTTCCATGTCGCCTTCCCAATATATGGATCTGGGAAACCTTTTCCACTTGCTAATATTTGTGAAAAAAGCAATCAAGTCACCAATGAAACCTTGTGGAAATGAGGCTTCTATCTATATGACATACTGAATAGATATGCTTCCCACCTTGTTAGCAAGGTTTATGTCTCAATTGCATGGGAGCAGTAATTGAAATGCTTGAAGTTATGCTATTCCTACAACAGTTTTAGCAAGGTGATTCTCCTTGGCCTCAAAGTTCAGGATTTGAGCCTCAAGACCAACTAGAAAAGGAAAAAAGAAAAGAAAATCTCAGGTCCATCAAACTCCCGCTATTAGTCGAAAAGATTTATAAAAAAAAAAAAAAAGCTTCTTATGCTCTCAAGTCTCAATCGCTAGATGGCAAGTCAGATTAAACAACTTCGATCCTTTGCCTCATGCATATTTTGTCAATGCAAAGCATAAATGAAAAAAGAGCTATTACAAAGTCATGTTCACATTGACAAACTCGAAGGCGATGGATTGATTTAATTGGTGAAGCCTAGTGCATGAGCATTGAACTTGTTTCTAGTCTATCTTTAACAAATCTACTAGTAATTAAACCCAGCAAGTTATTGGAAGAAAACTCGCTTTTTATCCATTATATAATTGACAAGGCGTAAAACAGAGGTCATGCCCAGTATACAAGAAGAGGGATCCAGATAATGACACATTTCATTTTAATTTAATGGGACAACCCAAAGTGTTTTAAAGCATAAACATGGTTAGAAAATTGAGGCCTAACATGTTACAGGCTGACACAAAATTCAAACGCGCAAAGGAAACTTGAAACCTTGTGGTACTCGTACTAAAGCAGCAAAACAAACAGGAGCATGATATTTTATAGTCGATATATAACGGAAAGGAAGAAGAATTGCACCATTCAAGTGCAGTTCATATAAGACTTTGGTTGAAAAGTTAGGCGACAAATGAAAAACCTGTTTCCAGGGAATTGTCCAGTCTACAAGGCGGTCGCTTGGACATGAACAAGCTAGCATGTTTTACTTGACTGAAGACTTGATCCCCACCTCCAACGAGTTACACCATGATTTGACTGAGATCCTCTGCTCCTAGGTGTCTTCCACTTATAGAGGCTAGAAAGTTTTATCACAGCTCAGAAATAAGAAGAAAAGTACCAAGTCTGGAACAACTTTCGGTTCTAGACCTTCTGTACCTTGTTAATTTCCGGTCAAGAGACTGACGTCTTAAGACTTAAGATGATTCCCACTCAAAAGAGCGCTAATACAATGGACATGATGAAACAAAAATCAAAAGCTGCACTAATTAACAATTATAAAAAGCATTCCATGATTTTCAATAAAATACATGAAAATTTTGTCAGCTTTTAAGATAATTGATAAACAAATTAGCCCATCTAGCAATAGAAGCTTCTTGATTGCTACTAAGAAAAGGAATGTTTGTATTTACATTGCAAAGTTTAGAAACTGGAGAACTATAAGTCCCCTTCACATTTGAAATTAAGGTTATTAACCTACCTAGGGTGGAAAAATATTCATACACATTAGAGTTCCTCAATCATCGTCACCATCATCTTCATTGTTAGTCTGATTGTGTTTTTGAGCATTATACATCTCAGCAACCTGCAAATATTGCAGAAAAGTGATTAAGCAAAAAGAAAATAGTTGCTCTTCCTTCTCTTATCATGTGAAATGAATAATTTGTTACTATCCATTTTTCCATTACAAAGACAGATCATGGACGAGCTCTAGAGAACACTAGACTAGTACGTGAGAAATCCACTGTGGTTGTGTTTGTTCATATATCATCACACAACTTATTTGTTTTCACCTGCTCAGATGATGAAGCTTGCTCTGGAGTCTTATCTTCTCGAATGCGAACTAAACGTGGAAATCGAAGAGATATGCCCTTTTACCAAGAACAAGGAATTAGATGAGTTCATTTTCTATTCCCAGAGAAAAGCTTTGAGAAAAACAAGAAGTTGCAGGATCCAAACTGATGGGTCACCCTCAAAATTGAGTCATCATGCACTACATTTACGGAATAAAAGAAAACAGGAAATGGGAGAAAGGCCAAAAAAAAAACTGACTCTTCAACATGTGACAACTTCCCACCTTATCAGGATCCACAATCCCAATTGAAGCACGATGAACAGGACTGATAGTCAAGTCTGCAGCCTTTACCTCCCAAACCTGCAAGAAATTAAAAAAAAAAAAAAAATGGAACAAACTCCTGAAAACAAGACTCGCAATAGCCTAAAGTGTATCTAATCAGCATTTATTGAATGCAAAGGGATATGAGCGGACCTAGGAAGTTATAACAATAACTATAGAAACACAAAATCAAGATTTCAATTCATAATCCATTTTGAATCCAACATATCACTTGTAACTGTTGTAGGACAACAAAAATTATCTCCATTGAATCCACAGGAACCATTTAAATTTTTTGATGTGAGACCAAAACTACTGATAAATTTTATAAGAATATTCAGCAACCCAGATTTCAACAAATGGGAGCAAGTACACAGAATGAGAAAAGCATTTATAGCAGTCACTGTAAAGTTAATGATTATTTCAAATGGCAAAAATAAATATATTCTTAAAGAAGAAAAAGCACACAAAATTCCAGCAGACCACGGACATATGCAGATGGGGCGAATGGAGAACAGAGTCAAAAGAGACAACATATAACATAAGCATGCATTATGCAAAAGAATGCTGAAGTTGAGAAAGTGCACCAATCCTCTTGAGAGGCTATAAATAGAAATATGTGGCAAATGCCCTGATCAAGAGAACTGAAAATTCATTGTCACTGTTTGTATCATATGACCTGTAAAGGAATGGACCATAGCGGAGAGTAGGGGAACACACTTCCCACCCCAGCCTGATATGGAATAGGCTTGAGTGCCTTTCTAACTAGAACTGAGGCAAGCTCACAACCAAACCATTCCTTATCTTATTATATGCACCATACAAGGATACTCCTTCCACTAAGTAAAATTTGTCCACTTCAGAAACATAGACATCATAAGACATGCAATTAACAAATCCACCAACACCCAAATATACTTTTGTGAAAGAAGTGTAATTTTACCTCAGTAGCCTCAAACCACACATCTGGCTTGATCATCTCTGAATAACGATAGTATGACTGTGATCAACAAGAACATTAGAATATGCATGTTAATCAAGAATTCGTTCTATTTGCTCACGATTTCCTTTCTTCCAACAGAAGATAATATCAAGAGATAAACCTTTGGTTCAGGAATCACTTTAGAGCGGAGACTGGTGGAACGTTCTTCAAGCTCTGCTTCAGTAAATCCAGTACCTATTGAGCATCAAAAAGAGAAGGAAAAGGAAAGGGGGGACAGTAGATAGTCAGCAGGAAAGGCAAGAAATATGTTGAACAGTCATAATTCAAATTTCACTAACCTATTTTACAGATACTCTGGAATTCTTCATTACTGTCATCATAACATGCCAAGAGAAAGGCACCATAGAATCCTAAGGACAAACATTATTGTACCATCAACATAAATCATGCATCAATTAAGAACAGAATCACATAAGCAATAAGTTGAGAACCAAAACAATCAACAGAGAATAAACTCTACAACTCTACGTAAGCTCTGGTCATCTGATATGTTAAATAAACAGAAATGGTTCTTACCAGTCCGCTTCCCACGGCCATGGAAAGCAGCAATAGGCACAAGGTCTAATGTGTCTCCAATACTGTATGGTACAAGGAACATAAAAAGTTAAATATGAGCAAAATAGCACATAATTTGCACTGGGAATTAAACATTTCTAACACCTTACCTTTCCATGTAGTCTTTCTTCAATTTTAGCCAGTTGAGTGACCGCTTTGATGGTTCATATGTAGCATCTCTATCCAATGTTTTGATAATTAAACCCTCACAACTGAAAACTAAGACTAATATTAGCATCATAGAAATCCAAGTACATTCTGGAAAAAAATAATTATTTCCCTGATTTTATTTCCGATACTCATCGGCTCATTCTAGCCACCCACTAAAAGTTTCTGGAAGAATTAAACAAATACCTTGAAGAAACAGCAGAATTAAGGAAAGCTTGTATTTCCTCAAGATCATTTGATGTTAAGGCTGTGGCAAACTGAAAAAACCCAGCTTCTTCTTCAAATGATTCATAAAGCCTCTGCAAAGGGCACATGCAATAAGAACCTAGTGAATTAAAAAGGGTATATCATATGCAGTGAACAAGATAAACCCTTAATGAATACAAAAAACACTCCAAATCAATTAATTAACCATGCAGGCCAACTGCATCTCCTTATAATTAACAAAACATAAATCTTCATAGTGAATTTTTATTAAAACTAATACAATTAACATTTTGCATTTGACATTAAAAAAAAAAAATCATGCAAGCTGCATGGATATACATGATGGGGATACAAGCAGTTAAATCCTGACAAAGAAAAGTTTTTTTATGAAAAAGTCCAGAACAATATATGCCAGAGAAAAAGGCATAGCATACCTCTTTACGAACTTTCAGTTGTTCTTGAAGAAGTGGTTGCCCATTAAGATACAGGATGTCAAAAGCAAATACGCACACATCAACTTTGATGTCACTCACTACAACATTTTTTCGAGCTCTTGTACTAAGGATCTGCATAAATCAACTCAGAAAACACTTTATCAACAATATCAACTTAAGAAAACATGGATTCAGACCACTTTGGTGCACATCATCCATAACACCCAAAAAAGAATCAGTCAATGATTAACTGCAACAAAATATGGCCACTTTTACATTACAAAACGAATGCAAACCTTTTAGAAATTCAATAATACCAAAATGCTAAATGATAACTGAACAAAGTCAAATTTTATAATCTCATGTGTTGGGACTTTATGTGGTTAACCATATAGAACAATCAAAGGTTGCATTGGTAAGGCTTAGTGCATGGAAGGCTTGCTTCTAAGTAGTATTCATATATATTATTCTCCCATTTGTAATCTCCATGCTACACAAATAATTTTTTTTAACTCTCTGCAACTTTCATGCAACAAATATTTTCCCCTTTGTACAAGATATGTTTTGATTGTTGAAGGATCAGCCAACTACTACATGAAGATGGAATTTTCAAAGACAAACAAATTCCAAAGTATGCAACACATTACCTGAAAGGGTAAAATTTTCCTTTGAAACCGATCATAAGCAACCAGCTCACAATCCAAAACAAATGATTTTACAGAGGACTTCTTGAATCTACACAAGAAAGTAAATTTTAGTAACTAAACCAGCATATGCAGAAGCTGTAGCATGCTATGTTTTAAAAAAGTAATGGCTTAAGCTCATCAAAGGGTTTAAAAAGCTTTTAGCAAGCATCAAGCACTCAAAATAGAGATTTTAAGGGACTGTATTGAAATTGTGTGCCTCAAAATCTCGGAAATCGCTAATATCCAAATCCTTATAGGAATTCTCAGCATATAATGTCAATATCTAAGTTTTCAAACACCGCCTTAACAACAACAAAGGGAACAAACGCCTATAACTTATGACCATTACTACAACTTTTGACTACCAACACATTTTGAATGGTCAAGTTGGGATATAAGATGAAGAAATAAACTTAAATGGTGAGTAATACAATATTAAGTGCCAATATCTGGATCTCAATTAACTACAAATTTATTTGACATGCATTGTAAGAAAGCCCTAATTTAAATAAGTTTTGACCAGTATGCTTTGTTTTGTGTGTGTGGGTGGAGGGGGGGGGGGGGAAGAGGAAACCTTATTCAACACACACAAAATAAACAAATAGAACACATCAGCACATCAACACAACAAGTCACAATAATAATAGAAGTCTACCTAGAAATTGCAGCAACAACATCAGGAAACTTTCCAGTGTTCCACTCAGCATTTCGACTGTATATCTCAACTGAACCATTCTCCATGAAATGTATCTACATAAGGCACGTGATTTTTTTTTTGTTTCACATAATGTATTGCTAATAACAGAAACAAAAGCGCTCGAAAAACTATTACCTGTGCACGTTCTCCATCATACTTATATTCACATACAAAGTCCATATCCTGGAACTTATTTATAATTTCAGCAACCCCTTTGGTTGGTTTTGCTAGCATAGGTCCAACAGGGACACCAGGCGTAAAGTTACAGGTTTTTGGAAGATCCCATACACCACCAGTCAAAAGGGCAGGGACTATTTTATCATAGACTGGAAGGATAGAAAAAATTTGTTTGACAATCTTAGCAGCCTGCATGAGAGTAATCAAAGATCAATATCGAAGAGCAAAAGGTGATTCCTCAACACACAAGGAGCAATTTATGGTAAGAAGAACAACTCCTGAGAGCCGAAAAACCATTTGCAGGCATTAATAGATGTTGACCTCTTTCACCAGCCAATTTCCCTTGCCCCTTCACCACTATCAGTCTACAAAGGTCTTAATCAGATGCCAACTCTAGATCTAGCAAGCCTCAACAAACAACCAGCCTACCTCCCAACAACAATGATGAAATATCAGAGCACTGCAAGCCAGCTTATTCTAGGTACCAAAAAAGGTTTCCCTAACCTCTAAATTATGATGACATGTCATTCCACATATGTCTAAACCACATACTTTTCAATGGCTTTGTGGAATCTTAAAATGTACTTCCCATGCATAATCTATGAACTGCATTATGAATCGAACTGATAGGCTGCACTGATGATTCAGGAAAAAGTACCACGTCAAATTCTACACCTATAAACTTTACTCACCTCTTCTAAAGGAGACTGAACGTTCAGAGGTGGTTTAGAATGTTGTTCATTATATACAGCAGCCTGTCCTAATGCAGCTAACAGAGTCTGCTCTGAAAATCCAATTCGCAACTTTGTCTGCAAGATGAACTCAAGAAACCTTACAACAAAGGAACTAATATAAAATAGTTGCAAATTGCTCTCCTAGTTACAACCTGAAGTAGACGAATCAAATATTGAGGTTCGCAGTCAGTTGCGGCAACAATAAGTGCCTTGATACGATTTTTTTTCTTCTCCTGACTATCCTTTCCAGATTCCTATATAAGTTGAACAGAGAAAAAAGGCAAATCAAAAGTATTAAGCCTATAATATTCACCAACAAAAACCTCATAACTAATGCATTCTCTTGCCCAAGTATTAGGCCAGACAGTACTGCAGAATTATAAGTGCATCAACTATAGTAATATTCAAAATTAACCAACTTATCCAAGTAATGAATATACCAAGTGAAAACTCGTGTCAGCACAAACAACGTAAAATGTCCACAGTTACATGAAAATGAATCCACAATTCCACATTCAATGTTGATGGGCATATGCAGTAGTATTCATTAATTACGAAGCAATTAAACAACCATTTCAACCATGGATGTCAAGATCACAATAAGATTTCATTCATTGGAATAAAATGCATCCCACTATATAAAAGTCAAATTGTGGAAGAAGATGGTGAACCTTAGCAATTAGCCGAAACGTGTCAAACACTTTGACAACAGTTAATGGATCAGGCTTGCGCATCATTGATTGAGATGAACGGCTAGCTTGTGCAACAAGGCCCAAGTCTCCCTTCTCCTGTCAAAATGTAAATGTACACCGTTATATGCCAACATTTTCTGTTAAGATTTTTTTTTTTGGGTTTGTGCTAAGAAGTTTTAATCAATCCCAACATTATACCTTGTACTGACTCTTAACCTGTGATTCAGTCCTCCCACAGGCCTCTGCGAGAGCCTTGATAATGGAGGCATCTCCAATTCCCAGCTCTAATCCATCATGTGCCGGAGCAACCTTATTTGCTGCCAAGTAAACCGTCGCCACCAAATCATCAGGCGTAGTATCTATAACAGTCCTCAACATATTGCAAACAATATCGGTTATCACAATCCGACCCGTCTCACTCGATATCAAATCAAACGCCAAGCACAGAAACAAAAATGGCACCCTCTCTCCTTTCTCCCAACATGCCACCATCTTTGGATCAAAATCCGCCGGCTTCTTCTTCAGTAACTCAATTTTCCCCTTCAATTTCGCATTTTTTTCAGAGACACTCACCACCTTGATTTTCTTCGAATCCGGGGGTTTCTGCGTCTCATCTAACTTGGACTTCGGGGAATCTTTACCGGGCTTCTCGATTGCATTACTAGCGTTTTCGTGGTCGGGCTTGACCTCGGTGGAATTTAGGGTTTTGTTAGGATTAGGGTTTTGGGTCGGAGATGGCGATGAGTCGATGGATTTGCGTTTCTTGGTGGGGGAAGAAGAGGAAGGGCCCTTCTTAGCAGCTAGACGGCGAGCGTTGGACATGAGAGCATCGAAGGCGGAGGGGCGAGAAGACATGTTGGAGTAAGGGTTCAAGGAGGAAAGAGAGAGGGGTTTGGAGCGAAAGAGAGAGGATTTAGAAGGGAGGAAAGCGAGGGAAGAGGAAAGAAAGAGAGGAGGAAGAAGACAAGTAAAGCGAAGGAAATGGCATGGACGAGACTTTAGCATTCAATTCGAAGGAAACGAAAAGAAAATTGAGAAAAAAAAAAAAAACCGGAGAGAGAGTGCAGCGAAAAGCTTGAAGGATATTTAGAGAAATGGCGGGAACTGCCGGGATTACAATGGAGGAATGTGGGCTTAGGAGAAGAGAACTGAAGGCCCAAAAACAAACACTTTAACGTATTGTAGTTAAAACTAAAATATCTTGCAACCAACATCATAAAAAAGAGTGTGCTTGAACAAAAAGACAATATCCCGGTCAAGCCAGAAGCTTTGACAAAAAAACAAAAGAGAAGAGAGTCAAATCCCATCGAATCCGCCAAAAACAGTCGAAAGCAGCCACGACATAAAACAAGAAACTCAGTTCCCCACCCACCCCCCGGAGTTTCCCTTCCTTTCTCTTCCTTTTCCCTTCTACTCCGCAACCAATCACTGTTAACCCAACACCAATTTTTGGCATTAAATTTCACCTCTCTTTCATCGCTTTCCCTCCGTTTCCCTCTGTTCTTCGTTTTAACAAAATCAACTCACCTTTCTTTCTCCGTAACCCACATTCTCTTTTCTCTTCCGTTTTCAGTTACAACTGTTTGTTTCGTTGTTTCAATTGATTTAGAGATTTAAAGCTGTTTGGCTAGGGTTTTGAAGCGATGTTTGGATCGGACATGGAGACGAGAATGAAGCAATATAGACAAGTCAGTCCAGAGAGAACCAAAGTTTGGACTGAGAAATCGCCCAACTATTATCAGCATAACCGGAAAGTTCCTGTTGTTTATTATCTCTGTAGAAATCGCCAGCTTGAACATCCTCATTTCATCGAAGTTCCTCTCTCTTCTCCCAATGGCCTCTATTTGAGAGGTAATTATTAATTAAACTTTCAAATTTTGTTCATTAATCTTCTTTTTTAAAAAGAAAAATCTTAATTGAATATTTTTTAATTGTTTGTGTTGTTTAGATGTAGTTGAGAGGCTTAATAATCTTAGAGGCAGAGAAATGGCATCCTTGTATTCTTGGTCTTGCAAGAGGTATGGTTGTAAATGATACATCTCGTAAGCTACTCCGGTTTCAGCTCGGTCATTATCTAGTCGAGCTTCAGTCCGAATAGCCGAGTATATATTAATTCAAGCTTGAATTCGAGTTTGAATATATAATCGAGTTTGAAATGGAGCATGAAAATCGAGTTCATTTTTATTGAACGAGCTTAATTAAGCAGTTCGTTTAGTTCTATTTTTATCTCCAATCCAGCTAAAACTTAAAAATTAAAACTTGATCAAGGTCTTTTGAACAGCAAATTTTGAGTCAAGCTTGAGTTTAAACTTCTCGTTGTATTGACTCAGCTTGACTCGATAAAACCTCTAACAAGAGAAAAATAATTTTTTTCTTTTTTTAAGTAAATGAACCAACAGAGAGGCTTTTCTTTTCTCCTTTCTTTTTTTTTTTTTTAATTTTTTTCCTGTTATTTTTTGGTTCTTACATTTTGGAGTATTAATTATTGCAGAAGCTATAGGAATGGATTTGTTTGGCATGATCTTTCCGAAGAAGATTTAGTTCTTCCTGCCCATGGAAATGAATACGTTCTCAAAGGCTCCGAATTATTTGAAGAATCTAGCTCTGGTTAATATCATTTTATATTTTTAGTGATTTCATAGGGGAGAAAAAGGAAATATATGGGTAAAGCTTTAATGCTAGTGAATTTTTGTGTCAGATCGTTTTAGTCCTGTTGGGAATAGCATTAGATTGCAAAATCTGAAGCAGTTACCTGAACCACCATCTTCTTCTAGAAGCCAAGATGATTCTTCATCGTCTTCCTGTATGAATGGGAAGAGAACAAAGCATTCTCAGGATGATGAACCATCTTCTCCAGTTAATCATCCGACTCCTGGCTCCTCTGTTGCATCGCCAGAGTCTAGATATGGAAAGAATTCTTCCTCCTGGGGTTGTTCGCTTAGCTTGACTGACTGCAAGGTTTGTAAGAGCGATGGGTTGGCAGATGCTTCGACACAGACTGAGGAAAACAGAAACAGACCTAAGACACGGGAAACTTGTATAAGGGGTGTTTCAACTGATGATTGGTCGTTAGAACCTGAATGCAATACGGGTTTCCAAAACCAGGTCCCTAAACCTTTTCTTAAAGATAATTCTGAGATATGCAGAAATTCAGTTTCTCCTCCTCCGTCCATTTCTAGTGCATCATCTTCAGGTGGGAAAACCGAAACTTTGGAATCTCTAATCCAAGCTGATGCGAGTAAAATCAATAGTTTTAGGATTCTTGAAGAGGAAGAAATTCGAACGACAACCAATGCAAGGCTCAAGGCAACAAGCGTGTTGATGCAATTGATCTCATGTGGGTCGATATCTGTGAAAGACCATAGTTTTGGCCTTGTTCCAACATACAGACCTAGGTTTTCACATTCAAAATTTTCTTCACCATTGTTCTCTACGTCAATCATGTTGGGAGAGCTTGATTGCTTATCCGATAATCCAAGGCTGATGGGCCTGAGATTGGAAGACAAAGAATATTTCAGTGGTAGCTTGATTGAGACAAAAATGCTCAAAGAAGGAGATGGACACACCACTCTGAAACGCTCTTCTTCATACAATGCTGATAGGTAAGTTTGTTTTTGAATCTGGTCTTATTGGATTATTCCCATACTATTGTTTTTCTTTTGTTGCCTATGCTAGAAACTAAGTGGGATTGCAGGACTTGTAAGGAGTTGGATTCAGCTGAATACAAAGAAGAGTTGAATTCAAGACGTACAAAATGCATCCCCCGCTTTAGCAAGGCTTCACTAAGCAAGCAACCAAGAAGTGAGTCCATGAGATCTCCTGTTTCTGAAAAACCAAGAAACTCCTCTGATGGGGTCGATAACTCGTGCTTTATACCGAGTAGCATATCAAATGGTGGCAGTAGAAGAATCACAGAGTCAGTTTGTAGTAAAAACGAATCAAAACGGTTGGATTCATTCAGAGAAGAGAAGGTGATCAAAATTGAAGAAAGTTAAGTGTTGACTCCTCCCAGCACTTTCAAGATAGATGGTCAAAGTTATTGATATGCATGATATTTCTTGTTTCATGTTGGTTGACGAATTGATGTGATTTCCGTATACAGGCTTGCATCAGGAGCTCGGGTTATAATCCAATCTAAGGTGCCTTGTGATGCCATTGTTGGTTGCTCCTAAGTCTTAGGGGAGCATGTTAAAGGTCAGGTCAGGCAAATGGATACCCTTTTGGATCCTTTTGGGAAAGATTGTTCAATGTAAAACTACTGGTTTTCAAATTTGGTTTGAATTTCAAATGACGTATTAGATTATATTGGCGGGTCCATGTCTTCTGTAAATCTGGAAAGCGAGAAAAGGGCAGAAAAGATAGAAAGGTAGATATCACTCCCGATGCTTGGAGTAAAATTTTGGTTCTGCTTTTTCTTTCTTAGTTAAGATTGTGCTTTTATGCAACTAAAGATGCAACGATATCAGTATTTCACCATCCTTTTTGCATTCTTTCTTGCCATTGCAAAAGATACAAAAGGTGTAGTGATTACGATGATGTGTCCAGTTTTTGTTATTGGATTTGACGTATAATATATCAACAATCAAAGGTAAAAATCTTTTTGAATGTGAATTAGGTTTGCTTCCTTAGATGATTGCTATAGCAATGATCAAAATTGTCGAACTATTATTACCTTTTAGTTTTAGGCTAGGCTTTGCTTGAAAATGAAGCATGGGGTTGGAAACTTGGAATCCTATGGAGTTGATTTCTGATTGACCCTGAGATCAGTGGAAAAAAAGCCTTGTTTTGTTTTTACTCTGAAAAAAGTCAAATCAAAATGTTCATTTTGAAAGTCCGAACGCCCACAGCTTCGTTGACCGGCGACGCCATGGCTCTAGTATCAAGCTACTTGCATATTGTTTCTTCCTCTGTGGGGACGTCGTTGTCAGTTTGCGGTGTTTGGTCAAAGTGGCTTCATTATTGATATAAATAATCTGCAATTGGCAATGCTAGGTTTAGTGGGACATTTAATTTTTTAATTAGTTACGGTAATTCCACAATTGCTTGAAATCAATTTTAAAACTGAAAGTCTTTTAATTGTTTGAATTTGAATCATAAAACGAAATTCAAAAGAGAAAAAAAATTGTGCATCATTGATAGTTTAAATAAACTTACATGAACAAATATAAATAGACTCTTTAATTATACTGACATACATTGCATATTTTTATATGGGTTAAAATTCAATGTACCATTATTATTGGGTATTTCCTTGTTTTATTAACGCTTAAAGATGAATAAGGGTTAATTATGAGGGCTTTGTCTTAGGCAAATGTATGGTGCACAATCCAATAGCTAAAGTACTTTGAGCAACATTCCTTTGACAAAATTTGTTCACTCATGTAAGATTTGGAGACAAGAAGGGTAACATGATACTATGTTCAAATTTGTCTGAAAGAGCAAGATCAGCCATTTAGTAAGTTTACTTACTTTTTAAGTTAAAATCCGACAGGCTGGATTCTGTTTATAGAACAAAAGTGACCTGAGAGACTGGAGGCAATGGGGGCAGGGGGGGGGGGGGGCATCGGCTGCCCAAAATCTCTAAATTCACGTGCGATGACAAAATTCAATGCGCGCACGAAGTTTAACCACATAGAACGGGGAGACGGAAAGAAGAAGAGCTGGGGGGCGCCATTAATGAGTTGTCTAAAAAGCTTTTCCCTTTTCTAGGAAATCGTGGCTGTAACTACTTTCTCTCTTTGCTTTTGATAGGATCACAGGACTGAGGGAGGAAGCTTGGGGGACCGAGACCATCACCTCTTTTTGGTTAGATAATAATGCAGACAATCCTATTCTTGTGCTTTAAAAGATAACTTAACAAACACATGCAGTTTGTACAAAAATTTTTTTAGTATCACATCAATTATTGTTCAGTATGTTATAATGATCCAATTATTGTACATTGTTGAGTATGCTATAATGATCCAATTATTGTATTATCTGAGAAATAAGTTTTTGGATCAGAATTTAGACCAATCTCTCCTTCAGAACTAGTCATTTAAATCATAATACTAATATTTTGTTATTTATGTTAGATTAAAAAATTATAATATAATCGTATTAACAAAAATAAAATTAATTAATTAATTAAGTATATAAAAAATAATAATTTAATATAAGTCGACATAATTGATCTAAGTTTATAGATAAAAAAAATCAACTAATTATAAAAAAATTATAAACAAATATTAAATCAAGTATCACAATTAATACTCATAAACTCTTTTAATCTCTTCTAAACTTATAAAATATTCTCAACCTAAATATACACATATCCATGTGCACCCATACATCATACCTATGTGGTCTTCTCAATCTTTTGTAGTCAATTTTAACATATACATCAATAAAAACGTTAATTTCTTTTAATTTTATAGGGTATCTATTTAATAAAATTATACAATTCTCTTATATCTTTTTTTCATATATAATTCTATAAAGACTTCACCTATTTATAAGTATACTAACTTATTTATCAAGAATCATTTTTCTCTTAAAATTTTTATCAAATATTATTTTCCTTTTATAATTCTTCTATCAATAATCTCTTTTTTCTTAGAATTCTTCTTCTACAAGTCTTTTTATCCATTAAGTAATATCTAACTAATCTCAAATAAATCTGTTATTAGATTTAAGTTACTATTCCTAACAATTTTCACATTTGTTCAAATTTCATCAATCATCAATTTAATGCTAGACATGCTTGGCAACACTTACAATGGAAGTGTCACAATTATATTTTTTGTGTATTTTCGCATTTCACATAAATTAATTTTCAAAATACGAACTCAAACATCTTATTTGAGTAGAGCTCTTCTGCACCTACCTCTTTTTATGACTTGAACTATACTCTAATACCACTTTTAAGTAAAAAGCCTCTATCCAATTAAGCCTGCAAAAGTATAATCAAATAATTAATCAATCACATAAGAGATAATAATTTAATATGATTTGATCCAATCTACCTACGTATACGGATAAAAAATAATATTCACTAGTTGTAGAGAATTACAAATATACAATCAAATCAAACATTCATAACCAATACCTATAAACCCTCTAAATCTCCTATAATCCTATGAAGTATTCTCAATCTAAACAAATATATACGTATGTGTACAATTTCAATGCAAATAAATACATACTTATATGCACTCATACATTATACTTATGTGAACCATCTCAATCTTTTATAGTTTATTCACAAACATACAAATATACACACTAATAAGACGTAAATTTTTAATAGTCTTATTGGGTATCTATCTAATAAAACTTTACAATTTTCTTATATTTTTTTCATACTTAAACCTATTAAAACTTCACCTATTTATAAACATATTCACTTATCTATCAAGAATCTTTTTTCTCTTAGAATTCTTATTTTACAAGTTTTTTTTCATAAAAGAATATCTAACTAATCTCAAACAAATCTGTTATGAAATTTGAGTCGCTATTCTCAATAATCTCATCAAATTTCATCAATCATCAATCTTCATGCTAAACATGCTTGGCTTCACCTGCAAGAGAAGTCTCTTAATCATTTTCTATTATATATTTTTACACTTCACACGAATTAATTTTTAAAATGCGAACTCGAACTTCTTTTTTTAGTTGAGCTTTCTGGACTTGTCTCTTTTTATGGCTGAAACCATACTCTGATACTATTGTTAGGCGAAAAAGCATTAAATCAATTAACCATCTAATTACACTAACAGAAGTAAAATCAAACAATTAATCAATTACATAAAAGATAATAATTTAATGCGGTTCGACCCAGTTTACCTACATCTACGAATGAGATAAAAAAATTTACTAGTTGTAAAGAATTATAAACAAAAATCAAATCAAGCACTCACAATTAATACCCATAGACCTTCTCAATCTCTACTATACCTATGAAATATTCTTAACCCAAACAAATATATACCTATGTGCACCTATCAATCATGCCTATGTAGACCCTTTTAATCTTTTGTAATCCACTATAACATAAATACTGATAAAAATATTAATTTTCTCTAGTCTTATGAAGATCTAATCTAATAAAACTCTATAACTCTCTTATATCTTTTTCTTATATTTGATCTTATAAAGATTTCGTCTATTTATAAACATATTAACTTATTTATCAAGAAATTTTTTTATCTTAAAATTCTCTTATCGAAAATCTCTTTTTTATAATTTTTTATTAATAATCTATTTTTTTAATATTTTTTTTATAAATTTTTTATTTATTAAATAATATTTAATTAATTTTAAATAAATATTATGATATTTGAATCATTATTTTTAATAATTTAATGATTTAATGATGAAGAGAACTGTATGTCTGACACGTTAATAATAGCATACACAAGTTTTTATACATTTGCCAGCAAATCTTTCTTACCTCCGTTTTGTTTTGTTAATGAGTTACAAGCAGTTGAGCTAAGGGTGCGTAGGATTCTGTTCATTACAAGTTTCAGTACGAAAAAGGGGACAAGAGACATGAATGCTCTATTGGTTTCAAGAAAGGTCAAGCATGATTAAAAACATACTGTGTTAAAAGTGTTGATGTAAAGTTATTTGCTAGAATTAAAAATCTTTGTTTTCTTTTTGACTGATGCGGTGAAGAAAGATTTAAATAAAGTTTTTTTAAGTAAAATTTATGAAATTTTTAATTAAAAATAATTAAATTAAAAATAATAAATTAAAAAATTTTATTATATAGTTCAAGTATGTAAATTTTGATATATATTTTTATGTAGATATTTTGAGTAAAAATATTTACGAAATTTTTTATTATTAAATAAATATTGATTAAATTTAAATTATAAATAATATTTTAAATATTTTTTTATATATTATTAGATTTCATATTAAATTTTTTTTAATATATCAATTTAGATTTTTTATTAAAATTTTATTAAATTATTTTTTAAAAAAATTTACAAATTTCACCTAAAAAATTTTATATAATTTTTTTCCCAACTGGTGAAGGTGTAATATTGGAATGTATTCCCCTCATTTTCTATATCTTTTACAAGGGAGTACCCAACATACGTGATATTAGGAGAAACATTTTTTTTTTTTTGGGAAAAAGGTCTATTAGGGTGGTATTAATCCACATTTAATAAATATATAATTTTTTATAATTTTATATTAAAATTGAACTTCTTTACTTTCTGTTAATTAGTTTTAAGTTAAATACTTAATAGATACATCATTGATAGAGTGAAAAGGAACAATTAGAAAGTTTCTTGTCTAGCCCATGCCATTAGACAATATGATGGAATAACTACAGTCGGTTAGTTCACAACGTGATGCCAATCAACCCAAGCCTGTTAAATGTGATTTCAATGGGAAAAGAACACGAAAAATGCAAAAAGAAAGAATAAAATTAATTATTGGATTTGGGTTTGAATACATGCAAGATTTGTCCTATCATCTATATTTACAAAGACTGATGTTATTTTAAGAAGACAATGTAGTAAAATTTCTCACTTCAAGTTCTTTTGCTACTGGTTATTTTGGCATGTTATTAAAAATCTTAGTGAAAAAATCTTTAGTGGGTCTGAATACTTTTCTCAAAGCTGTGATCATTTCACTATCTCAGACATACCTGATGAACATAAAGCAGCAAGGCCTCCTCATTTGTGTCTCGTATTGTAGGACTTGCAATTCAGGCATTTATGTGCCATAATATGGAACTGGACATGGGAAACGGCTCCACAATCGTTGTAGAGAATCCATACCTATTTTTCAATATGAAACTCAAAGTTAGAGACTGGTTGCCATTGTTCTATATAAACCCATTCTCTTGCTCATTGCTTAACAACACATTTACCATTTTATTTTGGTATATTGCAGGCATTGGGGTAGAGGCAATCTACATTAAAATTTTAAGAGAACAATGTCAAGACTTAGAGCATGAGTTACACAAATATAAGCACACTAGCATGTGAGAATGAAACAACAATGCCACAAGCCCGTTAAG